GATTCTATTGCTACGGATAGGCACTGCAGGCAGGTCAGGCTCTATTGACAAGACGTAGCTCCAGGAGCTACGTTCAGGAGCTATCAGGCGGTCGGTCAGGATCTTCTGCGATAACGTATCGCCACGTGACTGAGATCCACTTGGCCTGTCGGTCTAGGGTAACCTAGTCTGGTCTTGCGCTGTGACACAGGGAGCGTACTGGGCGTACCAATTGACTTTGCCTTCATAGCAAGGAGGACATGCAAAGCACAGCAACTTCAACGCCGTTGTCGCCCAGTCCTCGGTTGTCTGCGGTGTCAATCGATGAGAAAGCTCTTCTTGCGCCTCAGGCGATAACGACCAAACAATCGTGCCATCCTCCAAAGCCTGCTGAGTAACTTCCGGCCGTTGACTCAACTCCTCAAGACGCTCATCACTAGACAGCAGCCTGATTATTTCAGCATTGAACCCGAAATCGGAGGCAGTTATGCTCTGTATCTCTCCTTCATTGGTCCATCGTCTCATAGGAATCTTGGCGCTTTTCAGCAAATCGAGCGGAATGTCATTACCGCCAAGAGCATGCAGCAGAAGCAGACCTTGCTCGGAGGGTGATATGCAGTCTCCATACTCTAACAGCAAATTTCGATGTGACAAGACAAGCGAGGGATCTAGTACGTATTAGCACGGACCTCTCGCGTATACAACAGGCACTCACCGTCAAGTTGAGCCGTGATGAGGCGCTGAACGAAAAGGTTCAGGTCGGGCGCGTCGGAGCCAAGGTTCTGAATGTGATCAAAGGCCTCGGCGTCATCCATGTTTAGGTAACGCTCATATCTGATCTCGTCAGCTCAGCCGATTGGTTGGAGGGCTAAACTTACGTTGAGGCCGGTATTTCTAGCGGCAGCCAGAGGATCGACCCAATCCCTCCCAGGCGTCGGGCGATCTTGATGTACTTGCTGCCCGCATATCTCAACTCGGATAACGTGCGCCCTTGGATAAGGTTCGCGACATCATACGACGCCCACGCATCATCATCCACTTTCGATCTCAAGAAGATCGTAATACACGCTATTCGCCGTCGTAATTCCTGATGTAACGCATCACCAGACGCCACCCAGAAACCCTTGACGTCATCTTTAAACACGCTATGCAACCTCTCAATCTTTAAAAGATCAATAGAGTGCAGCGACAAGATCTTTGCTGTGCGCTGGTTACTCGGGATGATCTGGTATCGAACCTCCTTGGCGAGGGATTTATTCCTAGCGAGGATGCTTCGGATAGCTTCGAGGTGCTTATTCAGGCCTGACGCAAGACCCGCGGCCGTTTTCGGATCAAAGTTATCAATCAGTTGATTGATGCACCCGCATAAACAGGCCATCTTTTGGACCCAGAAGTTTATCAATCAGCTGCGAAGTGATGAACTCGACTTTTTTCACAGTGAGAAGTGGAAGAAGGGAAGAGTTTTGCGGGTCTTGGTGTCTCACTGTGATAAACCTCTCGCTCCGATGTCAGGCGGTTTCGGGGGGTCTAGCCTCCTTACGGCAGGGATATGCACCCATGTACCGAGGAGACGGTAATTTAGGGGGCTTTGAGCTACCGCGCAATGCGTTATCAGATTTTGACAGATCAAGCGTTTTTAGAAAGAAAATTGCTTTTGAAAGAGTCATGAAGGTGAGATTTTGGTGGCAGAAGGATAAACACATCTCCGGGGGTACGCCCGCTATTATAAACATCTCCTTTTTTTAAAGGGCTCTAGAAGGAATTTAACGTTCAATAGTTCTAACCTGACATCGGACAATGCGAGGGTCCAGACTCAGCTCGCGTGAGTGACACGCCAAGTGGGCCCTAGCTCAGAACGTGAAGAAAAACCTGGTTGGGAAATATAAACATCGGAGGATGACCCACTGAGATTGATCTGATAAAGACCTGACAGCCGTTGCGTTTTATCTGATAATCTTTTCCATCTCATCTCATCTCCTTCCGTCATCAGCCTGTCGCTCAGAGCATCATGGAGTCCAAAGAGCTCAAGACAGAGACCGTCACTCCCGTGTCTGACCAATCAGACAGCGGGAGCGATGACCATGGCAAGAAGCCTGTGCCCTTGAGCATGAAGATCTTATCTGTCGTCATCGTTAGTATGATTGGCTTTGGAGGGCATTGGAGTAGTGGAGTCACTGGTGCTTTGAAGAGTACCCTCAAGAAGGTAGGTCTACTGTCCCGAAGAGGGAGAACTTGGCTAACCTAGACCAGGAACTTCACATCACAAATACCCAGTATGCTGTTCTTGATACAAGTGAGAACTTTATCAAGACTGCTCTTATTCTCGCCAGTGGTATTCTCACAGATCGATATGGCGGAGCTAGTACGTATACGCTCATCCCTTCATATACATCTCGTCTAACATATTCAGGCACCATGCTCTGGGGCAACGCCGTCTTCTCCATCGGCGCCATCCTCGTCGCAGCAGCAACCCAAGTACGCTCCTACAAATTCATGATTGGCGGCATCGTAATCCAAGCCCTCGGCGACGTCGCAACCCAAGTCGCCCAATACAAGATCTTCTCCTCCTGGTTCCCTCCCTCCTCAGGCTTCGCATCAACACTCGCCTTTGAGCTCGGCATCGGCAAGATCGGCTCCTTTGTTGGAAAAGCCACCGCCAATGTCATCGCTGATAATCTCGGTAACTTTAGCTGGGCGTACTGGATGGCTGTGTTCATGAACCTCTTCACAAACGTTGCGACACTGTTCTTTTGGTGGTTTACACGCTGGTGTGAGAAGAGATATGCGGGGACGAGAGATCCTGCGACGGGGGAGAAGTTGACGGAGAACAATAAGAGGTTTGAGATTGGAAAGATGCTTACCCTGCCCTGGTCATTTTGGCTGGTCTGCTTGTTCTCGCTCTTTCAAACGTCGACGGCGAATGTGTTTTCTACGAATAGCACCGAGTTAGCGGAGCAGCGGTTCAAGATCTCAGCTGTCAAGGCGGGTTGGTACTCCTCCATGTCTCAGTACCTCGGCTTCTTCTTTGTGCCCTTGGTCGGTATCTTTGTCGACATGCTTGGACAGCGTCTTACGATCATGCTTGTCTGTGGACTAGGCATGCTCATGTCCATGTGTCTTGTGGCCTGGGGACCTACTGTGTCTGGCACCGCTGCCAGCTTTGGCATCTTTGCTGTTGCAAGTTCCTTCGGCCCTACAGTCATCATCGACAGCATCCGCACAAGCATGTGGTATCAAGAAGTCTTTGGGTCAGGCTACGCCATCAAAATCGCCATCAACAACAGCATGACCATCATCGTCAGTCTCATCGCGGGCGTTCTTCAAGATCGCGACGAGAACAACTACGACAACGTCACTATTCTCTACGTGACACTAGCAGCCGGCTCCGTCGTCGTCGCAGGTATCATGATTGCTTTAGGTTTCGCGACAGACTTCATCGGACAGTTGCAGTGGAGTCGCAAGAAGAGAGTTGAGAATGGTCACATTATCAACGCCAAGAAGCAAGAGTTTGAGAGCGAGGGTCATGCAGAGAAGCACAAGAAGTTGGGTGTTATCAACTTTTCTGCCGTCATTGTGCTTATTCTTGGCGCGTGGGTGGCTTACTTCTGGGGCTTGGCTACCAAGAATACTTATTAAGAATGACGAAGAAGTCTGGGGAAGGGATCGTCTGAAAAGCTGGGGGATCGGCATGTCTTAGTATCTTAAGAGATTTAATGTTTGATGAAGGGTCTGACTTGATCATCTGTGGCTTGTGATGTAAACGTGTTTGACGATGGATTATCGTGTGATGTAATTGCATGCATGACACTTCCAAATTGGGGAATTGAAGAACCAACAGTAAAGAGACTGCCACACTCAAGACTTTTTCGGGGAACTCAGTGCTTAAATATGTCAACCATGATCATCCCCTCATTCCTGTAACCCCAAGACTCGGACTTGTCTCCGTGTATAAGTGGATCTCTCCGTCTCCCCGCCACTCAACCATCCATGCATCACAACAAGGTTACCCTATTCTAGAACAACACAAAATATCTTGGCCATTTGCGGCTCCGATTTTTTCCTTCTCTTTTATGTAGCCAAGAGACAAGCCAAGAATCATTCAATATGCCGTCTACGATAACCGCGAATCTCCCCATGCGAGCACATTTTCTTTAACCAACGAGGAATGTCTTGTCATTGTTGTGCATCCACCGGCGGAGGTTTGAAGTTCCGCGCCCAAGACCACGGAGTCAGTTGCGGGGAGATGAGACCCTCGCTGGCAAGCGCCTTGGAGAAATATGGGACAGCATAACATTGGATGGAGAATCCGCGTACAGGACCTGGAGGATTGTTGTGATATGACACGTCTCAATTGTCATTATGACCAAATCCTCGGTTCTTATAATTTCACCGAGACTTCACCTTGGCATTCCTTCGCCTATTTCCACCCTCACCGAGATTTAAGCTACGCAGTAGCATCCAGGTAATCAAAAATAGACTCAAATTCCCCTCAGATTCCCCGAGTCAAGTGGAGTTCTACCCCACGCGCTGTTACTCCAGCAAGGAACCTGATTCATGAGACTCCTCTCCAGGCTACAGCCAAGACCCCAATCCCACATCTTGCAAAAAGCTTCTCCTGGCATCCCGGGTTTTCCCCGTGGGCTGCCAAGAATAAAAGAGGCATTTCTGACCCCAATTGCGAGGCTGGTCATTGGAGGGTTGGCGGAGATGGAACGACTGACGGTGGAGTGAGGGGATTTCGTTTAGAGACAAACCCCAGATGTCTTGGCTGGGTGAGAATCGGCAGTTGAAGTGGTCGCCGACCAAGACCTGGGGAAAGGAAGGAAAATCACTCGCCAAGAGGAGCTGAGAAACAAGTCACGCCATCATCAACTCAACATTTGGGGGAAGATTTTGGATGCACTTGTTGTCTCTACAAGTTAGCGTGAGGAGTTGAGGCTGAAATAAACGATTCTCCGTTGTCTGGAAGTGAGTATTCCCGTAGAGTGTTGAGCCTCCTTACGCGAGAATTACTCCAAATTTAACCATATCCGTCCCTGTCTTCCGACGACGGTAACATCAAACTCACTCCACAGTATAACCGTCACCAACTTAGCTTTTCTCTTGGCTTTCTCTTGGCCGTGAGCGTTTACACAAGCCAAGACTCTTAGCACCTTCTGTTACAAGAAAATGATGTTCCCCGTCATCGCTTCCCCGCAGTCTTGACGCAGCACCCTGCTTTCTTTCTGTGGAGTTTGGATCAGGAAGTTTTGAGCTGGGTATAAAAACAGGGCGCTCTCATCAAATTTTCAGTGCCCGGTAGACAGACTTTTCTCTCTGTCCTCCTGTTCTTATCCTTCTATTGGCATCTGTGTTGAGGTAGTCTTTCACCATGTCTGACGAGAAACCAACCGTTGGTGGTGATGACCACAAGGAGATTGGTTCAGGCCTCAATGACACGCCCTCCATCGTGCAGGAGAAGGCGACGGATGCTTTCGCAGACATCAACCATGTTGCGCGTCTGGGCATGCCGAACGCGGCGGAGCTGGAGAAGAAGATTGTGAGAAAGCTGGACATGTGGATGCTGCCTCAGCTTTGGATCTTGTACATGTTCAACTATCTGAACAGAACAAACATTGCGCAGGCGCGTTTGAACACGTTCAATGAGGACCTCAATCTTGGAGAGGGAGATTATCAGGTATGTTTTATGAGAGTGGTGACGGATTATGAATGGTGCTAACTTGGATAGACTGCTGTTGCGGTTCTAACTGTTGGATACATGCTTGCTCAGCTGCCGTCTAACATGCTGATCACTCGTGTTCGACCTTCCATCTTCCTGCCTGTTGCTGCATTCATCTGGTCCGCCATCTCAGCCTTGACTGTTCTTTGCACCAGCGCTGGTGGTCTCTGGGGCGTCCAGTTCGTTCTCGGTATTGTCGAGGCCCCTCTCTTCCCTGGTGTACGTCCCCTTCCCACCCAACACTTGACCCTCTTCATCTACTGACAATATACAGGCCGTCTTCCTCATGTCCTGCTGGTACACCCGTCGAGAATTCGCCCTCCGCGTCGCCCTTCTGTACTCCGGTCTGGTCCTCGCCCAGGCCTTCTCCGGACTCATCGCCGCCGGCGTCTTTGCCGGCCTTGACGGCCCCATGGGACTCGCTGGCTGGAAGTGGCTCTTCATTATTGAAGGTGCTGCCAGTGGTTTCTTTGCCATCACTGCCTTCTTTGTCCTGCCCAACTACCCTGACTCGCCTACAGGTGGTGCTACACGATACATGACTGAGGATATGCGCAAGCTTGCTGCTGCGCGAATTCTCGATGATAGAGTCGAGTTCTCTGAGAAGTCTACTGTCATGCATGGACTTAAGCTTGCTGTTACCGATCTCAAGCTTTACATGTTCTTGTTCATGAACATCTTCATCACTTCGTCTTATGGCTTCAACAACTTCTTCCCCACCATCGTCAGAGGTCTTGGTATGTTCAATTCTCAATTAATCACTTGAACCCGTCTAACGATTAGCAGGCTTTGGTCATAACGTTACCTCGCTTCTCATGACTGCCCCTCCTTACGTCTTCGGTACCCTCTGCACTTTCTACGTGTCATGGGACTCTGATCGCAGAAAGGATCGAGGTCTTCACATCATCATCCCCCTCTCCTTCTCCGTCATCGGTTTTATCGTGACCGTCGCTACCGGCAACGCGGCAGTCCGATACGCTATGACCTTCTTGTATGCCGCTGGTTGTTTCTCCGCCAACACTCTGCAGTATACTTGGGCTGTTTCTACTCTTGGTCAGACCCCTGAGAAGCGTGCCGCTGGTGGTGCCATCGTCAACATCTTTGGTCATCTTGGCAACGTCATCTCTCCCTACTTCTTCCCCGATAGAGACCAACCTCGATACACCATGGCCATGATCTTGCAGATCGTCTTTGCCAGTCTTGGTATTACCCTTGCGTCTATCATCAAGTGGCACTTGACCAGGAAGAACAAGAAGATGAAGGCTGAAGCTGACCGTCTTGGTGTTGACTTTAACCCCTTCACTACTTGATCGACGCATAAGGATAAGAGACAAGAGTGCCATCAAAGGATTAAAGCGGAAGTCCTAGAGTGAATAAGAACCTGTCTAATACGTACATGATATATGAATAGAAAATGCTATCACAGCTATGAGAGGCTGCAAACTCAAGACTACTGCTTCTTGCCGATCTTTGGCTGAATCGCAAATACTGAAGCCTTATGATCCTGATCGATATAGGTATAATAGGCTCCCTAATTTATTTACGTGCACCTATCCGTCTATCGATTCTCATGAACACCTCCTCTCTCCATCCAAGAAACCCAACATGAGCTGCAGCTGGTCCAAGCACCGGTTGCGCAACCAATACTGCTAAAGAAGCCGTCAAAGCTTCCTTGCTAGTGATGTAGCCTAAGCGTCGCAGATCAAGAGTCCGGTAGAAACTATTGGCAAGAACAGAAACGGCATTCATGAACATGTCGCGCTGTAAGAATACATGAATCCTGCCTGCTGGATCAGACGGAGACACACCAGACACTAAGTATCTGATACTACCGAAAACACCCGAAAAGCTGAGGTGTGGACTTGATGCTGTGCGGTAAAGTGTATAGAAATGGACAAGTGCTGTAGCTGCAGTTCCCACCGCGTAAACAGATCTCAGTAGCGAATGGGTTTCGGCCTTTCGCTTCCTGGGGCCGCAACTCTCTTTCGAGGTTTTCGGCCGAGTTTGAGTTGCCGCGTTTCTGGCCCGGTGTCTACTTAGAATTGTCGAGAGACCGGAAGTCACGAGACCGACGTAAACAGGGAATGGCTGCCAAAGCGCAGTAAACCTCTGCCAAGTGGCCTTGTTCTTGAAGGGCCAGAGCATCAACGCAGTGGGTATGATATATCCAAGGGTGATGCTAGGCACAAACGATTCGACGACTTCCTTTTCAACCAAACGATCGCTAATCGAGCTGATGAAACCCCCGAAGATATGCTCGCACACTGAAATTAAATGGTACAAAGGTGCAATACGTCCGACCGCCTTCACTTGGTAGATAGTGCTGAAAATCGACGAACTAAATCACACTTCGGTCAGCTCCTAAACGTAAATACCTGCCTTTGCTGCATGACTTACAAGGAAGTTATGAGACCTTTCGAACCGACGCGGTAACTCTCCAAGGTCCAGTCAAGGGTAGTCGACAACAACAGCGGCGTGAAAGAAACCCACTGCAGGTTCGCCGCCATGTTATTCGAAGCAAGAGGAACTCCAAAAACAGCAACCAAGCTTTTCAAGATCTTATCCACGACTCTAAACCCTGTGTAATACTTTACTAGAGGCTCGCCGCCGAAAGTGGTAGGAATCTCCAATGGTCCAAGACTCTGAGTCGCGAGGCGGAATAACGCTGCCTGACTTAATACCCCTAGACCTATGGGAAGCCAGCTCCAAGAAAGAGGACGACAAGGTAGCTCATCGTTGAATGGGATTGTGTGTTCTCGTGGAGGTACAGGAGTTCCCTTGATCCGTGTTGCACCAATGATTTTGCGAGCGCCTAGTTGAAGTACAGTTTGTGTGTTTGTATGACAAGCCAAGATTGGACCAATAGTTGCTAGGAAAGGTGTTGCCATAGCCTGCATTTGCTGCGTCTTGTGGGCATCGTTGACGAGCCACTGTACCCTCTCGAAACGTTCATCCTGTACGGCGGTGAAGGCAGCTTCGATCTGTGCATTGCTCCAGTCTGCGCACTCGTCTGACATCAAGTGGTTCACAAGAGATGCGGCAGTCTCAATGGCAGAATTACCGCCGTGACCAGTCAGAGGCTCAAACTAGGCGTGCTTGGTTAGCATAGGGAGCCAGATATTCGAAGAGACTTGGTACCTTGTGAGCCGCATCGCCGATGGTGATGATGCGTTTGTAATGCCACTTTTCGAATACGTATTCATGAAGTGGCGTCAGAGTAGAGCTAGTTCTTGCTGCATAAAGTTGACCAAATGTAACCTGGGTTGTGATCTGATCGGAAGCATGTTGCAGAGCCAGGTTCTCTTCGTCGACCTTTGTATACCTCGGAATATCATGGCCGTACAAAGTAACAGGCAATTTGACGAAGAGAAACCAGTAAAACTTTCCACCGGGTCCAACCAAAACTAGGTAGGAGAAGTTGCCGTTGTATACATAGTGACTACCCTTCGCAAGCTCCTCGATGGGGCGTGAGATGCCGAAGATGCACTTGTAATAGCACGGTACGCTTGACCACTCGTCAGTAGGAAAGTATCCGGGTGATGTCTCATTCGCGATGCGCCACATTTCCTTTCGAACAGTACTGTAGATCCCATCGGCCCCAACTAGGATGTCTCCTTCAAAAACCCTCCCCTTATCTGTCGTAACTTGGATGCCGTTATGTAGCTCCAGAACTGAAACTACCTTCTGCCCAGGGTATACCGAGGCTTTTGATTCGAGCTTATCGTAGAGAACCTGCATCAGCATTTGCCTGTCGATAAAGATAGTGGGATAGCCGTGTCTATTGAGTGTGAAGCATTAGAAATCTTGTTTCTCTGAGCCTTTCTTCTCCTTACCTCTCAATCAAATGATCTTGGACACTGCTATGATGCCTGATCACTGAACCATCGGGGTATCGTATGTAGGTATTATTTAGTGGGATGTCGACTAATGACATAAGCTCATCGGCGCAACCAAGCTGATCAAGGATCCGGAGTCCGCTTGACTGAAGACCAATACTCGCACCAACCTGAGGTGCGATTTTGCCATGAGTTTCCAATAAGACGTAGCGTATGCCCGCCCTTTCTAGCATACTGGCGAGGGAAAGGCCGGATATACCTCCTCCCGCAATTATTACTGTCCGTTCGGATATGTTGTTCATATCGTAGGTTAACAAACGGATGGAGACGAAATGACAAAGTAGACACAATATCGCTTTATGAGAAGCAAAGCAGCAGCTCGTTCAAAACCTTTATACTATCTCCTACTGCTGCCAGATCGTCATTATTGCTACCACGGAAGCTACTAAAAAGCCGAGGCCCGGTCGTCGGACTCTCGGGCTATCTTGGCAAACGAATATCGAGCATAATTAATGGTCTTGCATAGTCATTAAAACTGCTCCGTATCTATACGACTGTAATGTCAGTGCGGTGCAGTGCAGATCATTTCTTCATTGTAGCATTACTCATTTAGCCTCGGTAGATCCACAGGGTCTATATATTGTGACAATTCAGGGAGTAATACTAAGTTCCATCTGCCGAGCGACGCGTATGGAGATCCCCATAAGCCATGCAAGGACCGTGAATCGTTGTTCCCAGCCAATAGTCTTCTCAGGCCACGCATGGACCTGAAATCTGACCATCATGGAGATTCCATAGATAAGAGGTGATTAAGTGGATATAGTCGTGCTTTTCTGTTACGTTCCTCTTGTTCAACGAAGTCTCAGCATAATGACCGCCCTAAAGGCAGATAGAGTTAGAGTAAAGAATCTAAAACTTTACTTAGACTTGGTCGTAGTCTCTAATTTAAGGTTGTGTTATAAGTTTATTTTCCCCGAATGCTCCGACCCTTTATCCTATACCTGAATAGATTCTCTTGCGACGACTTGTTTCTTCATGTCAGTCGATGAGAATAACAGCGGTGACGGGACTTATCTAGCCGATTTTTAATTTTAATGCGAGCCAGGATTTGGCTCAATGATTATATATAAGATCAGGTCTGATAATAGACATATAGGAGAAACAAAGCTGCCTCATTCTAACACAACTACGATCTTCTTCCCAGACTTCTCGTTCCGAACCCTGTCCAGCCCATGCGAAATCGTCTCCAACCCAGTTCCGACAACGCAAGCCTCGGAAGGCAGAGTATACTCCCCAAGGTCCAGTGCCTCGGTCAGGTACTTCGATAGCTTCCCATCGGTATCCCAATCGATTATGTCCGTGCCGAATACAAACTTGCTTCGGACTCCGCTGCTCAAGACCTTGAGTCTGTTTGTTGAAGATAGCCAGAGGTACTTTGCAACAAATGGAACCATAGAGAGCTTGCCTGTTGGTGGCGATGCTGGCATATCAATCGTGACTTGGGCTACGTTCTTCGCAGCGCCAAGAGTCATCTTGATGATGTCGATACACTTTGCCAGAGAGCCTTGACCGATGGCTATGGCGCCTGCACACCTTGTGTCCTTTAGACCCGCCACCACATCGTCTATGACTGACGGGCTGCGATAGTCGAATACTGCAGATGCGCCGAGACTGCGCACCGTATCCCAGTTCTTGGGTGACGCTGTGGCGATGACATCGTAGCCAGCTGCGACTGCAAGCTGTACGGCGTTCCTCCCAACACTTGTGCTTGCTCCCCAAACCAGCACTGTCTCGCCAGTATGCTTAAGGTGCGTCTTGATCTGCGGCATTTGAAGGCCTAGCTGCTCTTTTTGGAACAAAGCGCACGCAGCAGTTACAGCAGTAAGAGGCAGCACGGCCGCATCAGCACTTTTCATCCTGCCAGGAACTTTTACAGCCAAATGCTCTCTGATCACAACAAGCTCTTGGAAAGCGCCCTCGTCAGGTCTTCGTCCGCGCTTATCCATACCAGCTGCCAGTCCAACGATCCTATCACCATCTTTGAATCGAGTAACTCCAGAACCGGTCTTGATGACTTGGCCGGTAACGTCGTAACCAAGGACAAGGGGATATGTGAGCCACTCGAACATCATGTTGCCCATGGACTGTTTGACGGCGTCGACTGGGTTGATCGCGATGGCCTCTGTTTTGACGAGTACTTCATTTGATCCAGGCTCTGGAACGGGTGCAGATTTGACCTCGATCAAGGGACTGCTAGGGCTGACAAGGTAGGCGGCTTTGTTGGAGAGTTCCATTGTCAAAAGAATGACTAGTATTGAGTAAAGGTCAAGTTGAACGTAGAAGATTAATTGTCTTTGATCACATCTTCAGGTTTTTGTGAACTTTATATACTACAGCCCCCATAGTCAATGACGAAAGTCAGCGAAGTCGATTCCATGAGTATATGCTTATTTCTACGATTTCTGATACTATTCCCGCCAAATAAATGCGAATCCGAACTTCAACGCGCTGCTTTCCATTTTGGGACATGACTAAGCCGCACCACTGCTGATCAACACCATTCATTGGCTCAAGACTTCATGCTGGTCCACTCTAAGCATAGATAGAAGATCAGCTTATCAGCTAGCATTCCTGTTGGGATCTCACTTTATAGTGTAATCGACTATTACTCTAATTATGTCCTAATTGGCCAGGCGGAACCCTGAGTAGAAGAGCCTGATATATCTGTGCCTTAGTTAATCTCTATAGAAATTGCTTTCTTATTATTAAATAGAACTTTAACTATTAATGCGTGAGGATCTTGTTGATCCTCGTTTGCGGAAGATTAGATAATCCGGGCCTGGGGTTGAAACCACAACACCACGGCCCACCTCAATTCAATCCCCCCCTGAATGCCTTCACTTCGTGACCACGCACGTGACCTAGCATCAACTATATAAGTTTATATCTTTATAGTTATATTTAAGTTAATGTAATACTTCATAGAGATATGTGAACTTTAAGACCTCTCTCTCTCTTAAATTTTAAGTGATATTATAAAAATTAGGTTCAGTTTGTTAAAGTTTTAGACTGCTTATCTCTTGGCCCTACATCTCTGTTTCTTCTTACGGATGCCCTTCTTATCTCGAGAAGTCACTCCAGGTACTAGTCTCTTCGTCGACAAATACCCACTCCTTCTTGCCCAAGTTTGATAAACACCTAATGCTTGAGTCTGAGATGCTGAGAGTAAAGTCGATTAGAGGCGAAAACATGGTGCGACCAAGGATAGCACAGCCTTTCTTATCAAACTGATCAATGTGGGGGTAGGCAGGGGCCGGTGATTCATGAACGTGGTATATCTATGATACAGGTATAGGTGCTTCGCTAAGCCAAACTGACAGAGCCACTGGCAGAGGAGTTAGACTTGGGTGCAGTGGAGCTACTGTTTATCTGTTCCTCTACTCTGAATTCGAAGCGGTGAATATCCTGATGAACTTGAGCAAGATCTGCTGTGAGCTGTGATGTGAGATGTTGAAGGAAGAAAGAGAGCCAGTGCCTGGAAAGGATCTGCTGCCTTGAGGCCATTGCCAAGGCAGCAACCCCTGTGAGGGATTATTATTTATTTATTTATTTTATTTTTTTAGGTGGCGCATCACGTGCTCATAGTTAAAAAACAGCGAGTTTGTTAGACTTTGCAATTTTAGATCTTAGATTAAAAGGGAAGATGAGAGGTATCAGCCTAGTGTTAAATAGATTATTCCGGTCTAAAACTGCTTGCCCCTAAGCTGCGGATTAGTGCTAGCATTTCGGCGTGTGAAAGCGCTTGATAGCCCCTTAATTATTACCATAGGGCTGGTGAGTGGCGAGCTCGGAGGAGTGTCCTGGCCCAATTAGTACGTTTCCTTAAGTTATGATACGATGTAGACCGCTGTTGGCGCTAAATTGCCAATTGCCAAGGCCAGTCTGAGATAAGATTACCATACTCTTTACGGGAAACTAGGTGAAAGAAGAGATAACTCTCTGTCAGCAGGGAAATAAGTCTAGGCAAGCCACCGCCGCAGATATGCGGCTATATAGGCTAAAAGTCGGCTTATTATTGGCTATTTAATATAATAAAAGATAATAGGAGAGACCCTGGTCTAATACAGTGGGAGGCAATAAGTATGAATACCGGGCGTGTATTGTTTTTCTGCCGCTAGCCTATTTTAATAGTTAGAGTGTGCATATTAACCTCACACATAGCTATCTTATATACTAATCGGTTAGGGAAAACCTCTAACCAGGATTAGGAGTCAACATAGCTTCTTTTAGGCTAAGAGGTGTGTGTCAGTACACCAAAGGGTATTCATACTTATTGCCCCCCACTGTAATATAGAACCGGCAAGAGTCTTTTGTTAATGGCCTGCTCAATATACTTAGTAATCCTCCAGCTGTTGCAGCAATTGTTAATAGCTGCTGAAACATGTTTCACGTCCATGACCAGTGGGATTAATGAGGTTGGCTAAAAGGGATGCCATCGAGCAAGGCTATGTTCTGTCTCCAGTGTAGGAGGAGTAAACAAATGATGGGTCTAATGGATGGGATGAGATGATTGCGTTTTTCTTTTCGTTTTAGGCACGGTACATCACCGCTCTTTCTATCATTAACAGGGTACCTTTTATTCTAGACTTGCTACGCGCCGCTCGGTTTTATCGCTGTGGAACTCTTGGGTTGGATGGGAGGGGGTGGGCATATCGTCGCGTGGTTGCATGTTTCCGGCCCAGTCTGTATGCCGCCAAGATGCGGCTGAAATAACAAGGTCCGCCATGATATTCACGTAGTAAGCAAAGAGGCAACAGATCTAAACTGTTCTTGTCAAGCCACATTGTAGAAAAACTGTTGGTACCAGGATGTATAAGATAATTCATTATTGGTCGATTTGCCACATCCTTGTCTGTTGTTATTTTGATTGGACATGGGCAGGATCAGGCTGTCACATCAAAGAAGCAAGCAAACCAGTTCTCCTTTTTCTTCTTCTTTTCCTTTCTTTTCATCTACTGTTGTGTGTAGTGTAGAAGTGATTCTGTTAATAAATCGCCCGTTACCATTTCGCTGATGCTCTAAAGCGCCGTTGACTATCTATACGATATTATCTCGTTGACTGAGACAGTAAGCGGCAGATCCATTGACCCTACTGGCTAACCCAGCGCTTCATAGCGTGAACTATCCCAAGACCGCCTGGAATGGAGGGCCATCAATTACAACCCTCAGAACGAATCCCCGCCATCCAGGAATTTTTCGCACGATGGATACCCCAAATTCATCCTGTAAAATCGCCAGAGGAAGAGTTTCAAGACAATATTAAGGGATCCCAAGATCAATTCAACAGCCTAACAAACTCGTCCCAAAACTCATTCGAAAAGCTCGATGAGATTCTTCGCTGCGGAGCTCGCATCAAAGAGCTTATGGCGTTACATCAGGATACTAAGGAACAAAAGGAGCACGAGTATCAGCAGAAGCTCTTGGACCAGCAGATTTCCTCACTTTTTGAACATATAGACCTATTTGGTCCTGAACTTGGTAAAAGGCTATGCAATGATTGGTGCGACCGGGTCGATCACCCTCTTTCAACCACTACTGCTCAGTCAGACACTATACCAGGCGCCGTCGACACCCACCAACCCGAAGACACAACTGCCTCGTGTTCCGCTCCCATACAAGAACAAGAACCTCTTACCCAGCCGACAAGCACAAGAGAACCGCCGGCGCAAAGCACGAACGACTCCATACCTAGCCCTCCCAACACCGAAAATGCATGCGAGCCAACCACCCGCCCGGACGAACTACACAGAACCCGACAGAATACCTCATCAGGTCCCCAAAAGAGACCAGTCGACTTCTCCGGATCCCCCGAATCTCATCCAACCCGTCCAACGAAGCGCGTTCGATCGGATGTAACCCAAGGGCCTCTTACAGGCGACAGAACCATTGAGTTCGAACGAGTCTACCAAAACGGCCAAGCCGAGCCCAAATATGTCATCATCAAGCATAACAGGTTCTGGTACATCCTCGAGTGCAAGAAACATAGACTACATTTCAACAATCATCCCATTCGCGGTGCCGTGAAGCATCTTCAGGGTAAAAAGCATAACCAGACTTCTGTCAATTTCGAAGAAGCCATTCGGGCTCTTGGAACTCGTGTTCTTCACTGCGATGAGAATGGGGTCGCTGAAAATAATGAGGTTGCGCGAAGACTTTCTTACTCTCAGATGTGTCGGCCTGCCGATAGCCTTTCCTCCTCATTTGCTCACAGTCTTTCTACGCGGAGTAACCAGAATGTCACCCAGATTGATCCCCAGCCCGGAGAGGTGTACACGACCTTTTGGAGTGAGACAAAGCAGTTCTTTGCCATTCTGGTTCTCCCTTGGCGCAATGCCGGACAGCTTGGTAAAGACATGTCGCTCACTGTCCAGGACACTGCTCTCATCAGGAAGGTCCCATCCTGTTATCAATACAACCATGTTGACGAGTCATTCGAATGGGCTCCGGACTACCGCCCCTATAGCCAGGACTACTCAAAGAGGAAATATCCCATCATGTATTTTGATGCGTCGGTGTTTCCGGGGGAGTGTCGCGTTAATTGGGTTGCTGCGCGCGAGTTTCAATTATACGATCCCCAGGTTGCTACTATCCCGTTCAAAGGGATCGTGGATGGCTTTATTGCCTCGAGAAATAAGAGTGGTAATGAAGCGGGTAAGTCGTGACCGTTACGAGTAAGCTATCTGAGCCCGACTAACCGTATTTTTTTATTTTTTAAAGTCCCCCATACCGATGACCGACCGACTGCCGAAATATTCCCCCGCGAAGAACAACTTACAGGCGTCCCCGGTCGAGAGATCATTGTCATCGATGATGATAACGACGATGAAACAGCAGGCCATGAGCCATGGCCCGATACACCCGTCGGATCCCCTCTTCCCAAGACCGAACCTCAGGAAGAGCCTATGACGGCGGGTAATGCCCAGCAAGACATAAGCACCGGCACCAACCACAGCAATGCGTTTTCACAGCAGCCGTTGAAGGCTGGGGTAGCGAATCATAGTCAATGTCCAACAAACGAAAATGCGGACTCTCATGACAACTTGATCCACCCGGCAGAGTTCCCTCGGCCTTTAGATAACGCTAGTCAAACAGACCCTATGCTGTTAAACCCCGATCACGCTCGGCAACTTGATGTCATGTCCGAGGCTCAAGTACCAACCGGAGCCGCCTCTTCAAACCCTTTGTTTGATATGCAACCCCAGGCGACTGCTGTTGCTGATGCTCCATTGTCTCGATGGCCTCCGGAGCTTTCGGCCGAAGAGCACGAACCGTCCCCAATTGACAACACGAATTTTCATTCCCATCTGCCACCTCAACCAGCGGCTACTGACACCCGCCCGCCTGAAGCCATCATGACCCCGCTGCATTGTAACCAGAACCCACCAGACAACTCTCAGAGCCAGCCTGCCCAAACAACAGGATTATACGGTTACTTCAGCCAAGCGCGAAGTGCATCATCGCAATGCCGACTTGATAGCGACGGTCGTCTGAAATGGATTGCCCCCAAGACCATTTCCGGGATGGCTAGGAAGCAGATGAGCATGGGTGCTCGTCAACATTAAGAGTTTGAGGCACGGATGCAGGGTTTTTGGCAAATAGCCCCAACCCCCACAGCAGCAGCCGGACCCTCGACCTATGCCAATTGTATGGTAGTAGGCTATGGGTCTCAGATGATAGAACTGCATTAGGAAAGCCTAGAATTACCTGATTATGTAAGGCAGGGACGAAACAATAGATGGGGGAAGTCTGGACCAGGATCTAATACTCTATTGATATCTTTGTGTACACTAGTTTGCTAAAAGCAATCAACGTTCAGAGCTTGGGTACTGTGGCTCCCTCCCTTAATCATATAACAGACCACTATATATCCAAAGCAACCAAGTTTTAAATATAATACTATTAAATTCAATAATAAGTTTAATGTTATTAATAACTTATATAAATACATATAAGTATTAAAAGGGTTGTTACTTATACTTATACTTACATATAACTAGTAACCTTATACACTTTACTAAACTTGGGCCTCAACAATCTCATCCCCCTCTTTAGCAAGGACCAGTCTTGGAACGCTATGCTTGAACACATTCCCAGGATCATACTTCCTCTTCAAAGCTGCCAACGTCTCATAATGCTTCCCATAGATCTTCTTGACATCAGCATCCTCGTGAGAGCCAAGCGATATATACGACCCCTCCAGGATATTATCAGCATCTTGTGCCTGAAGTTCGGCCTTGACCTTGGCAGCCCATTGAACTCGTTCTTCCGCGATATTTTTATCTGCAAGAACTGCGTAGATCTCAAACATATGATGGCGCGCCCTCGTTCCAAAAACAGACTTTTGTTTAGGCTCTTGTGCTGAGAGAAGCGTATGGTATGAGAAGATTAGACTTCCACCTGGTGCATTGAGGCAATGCTTTCCCAAGATTTCAATGGCCTTCTCGGTCAGAGTCTTACAGTTCAGAGTATAGACTCTACCGTATGAAGGCCAGGTAACCAACTTCTCATTATTCTCGAGCATTTCCGCAAGTGTAATCTCCTGCGTGTTCTCCATCACACAGGTAGCCGCCCCAGCTATGTTCTTTATCCAAGATCGCCCTTCGTTTTTGTCGTCGCCGTGCCAAGTCGCGATGACCATGAGACTGACGGGCTGGCCTGGCATTTGGGCGACCATCGGCTGTAGTTGTAGGTACACCGGGAGTTTGCCTGATTCGAGAAGCTTTTCGTAGTGTTGGGTGTAGGAGGTGAGAGCTGCGGTTAGGTCGCTTGAGTCGTAGACAATCATTGACGAGAGGAGCTAGATATGTGAGCTGAGGTCCTGGTTCGATGGGAGCGAAGCGTACCTTGTTGATTGGGTAAATTTTGATAGTTAGTTCAATAACTACACCGAGTGATCCGCCATCGCCTCGGATACCGACAAGCAGTTCTTCATTAGCATCCTGGACTTCTCCACGAGCGTTGACGATCTTTGCTCCGATGATCTGGTCAACGCCGAGGCCATAATGCGACGTCAACGGTCCGTAGCCACCGAGAGTAGCCCATCCAGTATATCCTACACTTGCGACCGTACCGCTAGAGTCTTTGATCAGTATTGGAACCTTACAAAGCTTGGTCAAAGTACTCACGTCGGCGTACTCAGGCCTTCTTTCCCCAATGCCTTGGCCAATTCGCCGCTGAGAATGCCCCCGCCGACTCTTGCGCTTTTCTTGTCTTCGGCTATAACAACGTGCTTGATATCTCGCATGTCAATCACAAGTGCCCCATCCACCAATGTTCGACTGGCACAATCATGGCCTCCCCCTCGCACGCTAAACTCGACGCGATGCTCCAAGCAGAACTGCACAATCAGGGCCACTTCATCGCTGGTCTGAGGTCTGACTACCCCAAGAGTTTGAACTGGGTTGTCAATAAAGCACTGTTCGACTTGCTTGTAGTCTGCTGCACTAGGCGAGTAGGTTTTGGCTTGAGTGTCGGCCAGGTGAGCCTTGAGTTTCGAAAACAGAGATATTACAGTCATGATGGATGCAGCTTATGTGGAATGAACACGCAAAGAGATTGAACGTCGCCTCGGTCATATTTATATCTTCCGGGACTTCCAAGCCACAGCCCCGCTGGGCAGCGTTAACTTGTCAAGCTCCTTCAATGCCTTAGAGCCGTGGCGTATGCATGTTTCTCACGGTTGATGAATAAGCCAATCACCGCGGAAGTAGACGCTACGCCGACATCTCAAGACAATTTCTTATTCGTCTAAGAACGAACTAATGCAAGCCTGGCTTACTTGCTTTCCCGATGCATCCATTACTAAGACTGAATGAGATTCAGTGATCAACCCCTCTTTTCTCTGTCATCTATGATGGAGGATGGAAGTTTGTGTACGATATGGTAGAGCCAACGTCGGTCAGAGTAGCTCAGTTGCCAACAAGGGACTTATGGAGCGGAGCAGGCAGAGAATTGGGGTCTGTAAGCCCTTGCGCTTCACTAGCGTTGCCTAAGGCGTATGGTGAGCGTATAGCGCATCCAGCGTATTACACATTGCATCATTGACGATCAACAAGTGCAGATCTCGTCTAGCCTTACAACTGTTGAACCACCAAATATCACCTAGCCTTCTACAGGAGTTCTCAATCAGGGCCCCAGAGAAAAATGAATGCCGAAAGTCTGCCAACAGTCACCCTTTGCCCTCTTGAAGGATTTGCAGTGGCTATAGAATTTGGCCTCTTATCTAAGCGCCTAATCTCGGCATTGATCTTCCGCAAGGCGGGGGCTTTCGCTGCTGTTCCGTGAGGCGTAGCAACTTGTTAATAAGACACTGTGCCCCTGCCGCAAGCCCGTCAGCAACGCTTCAATTATCTTTCAGTTGGTGACAATGACATTGAAGGTTGGGATCATTGGCGCCGGCATTGGTGGCCTGAGCGCCGCTATTGCTCTTCGACGGACAGGAGCCCAAGTTGAGGTTATCAAATCAACATCCAGCGATTGGGCTCGGCTGACATCGCGAAGGTCTTCGAGAGGTCCAACTTCAAGGATGAAATAGGCGCTGCTATCACCATCACACCAAATGGAATGCGTGTCCTTCGTCACCTCGGCTTTGATCCCAAGATAGCGCGCGGTGTGCAGAATAAGCAGATACGTATGGTAGATCCCCATACACTGGAGGACTTGGTAGTCGAAAACTTTGGTCATGTTGAAGATGACTATGGTGCGCCATTCATGTTCTTTCATCGTGTAGATCTTCATACTGCGTTGAAAGAAATGGCTCTGTCGAGCGATGAGCGATATCTGGGCTCGCCGGTGGTAATTCACAACGGAAACTCTGTTACGAGCCTTGATTGTGAGAGAGCCACGATTTTGTTGGACAATGGGGAGGCTTTTCGGAAAGATCTTGTAGTTGTTGCTGACGGTGTTCGAGCAAGTCCAGTATCTGTCACGTTGCAATCTTCACTGGCTAATCTTCCTTTCAGACCAAACTCGTCGACGAAATCACTCGGAAAGCCGCCCCTCTCGAAGATATCGGCTCCTCATTTTACCGCTGCCTAATCCCATTATCGGAAGTCAACAAAGACCCCGACCTCGAAACCATCTTTAAACACCAAGACCCAGGATTCTGGGTCCCCTTTGAACTTTCCACCGGGACTTTCCTCGTTACGTATCCCTGCCGCGATGGAAAGATGCTTAACGTTGCATTTCGTCACAAAACAAAGGCAGAGAATGAGCACGCCGTCGATTGGAATACAGATACCAACGTTCAAGACATCACTGCTATGGTTGGGGGGTTCAATCCGCTGGTGGCCAAGTTGTTTAGTTTGTCGACGAGTGTTTCTGTCCATAAGCTGTTCCGCAGGGAGCCACTTGAGACGTATACCAGGGAGAGAGCTGTTATAATTGGCGATGCTGCACATCCAATCCAGCCGACGCATGGTACGTTGTAAAATCCTTGAGCATCACACTGCTAACAAGAAACATAGCACAAGGCGCAGTCCTCGCGATCGAGGAAGCAGCAGTACTGGAAGCTCTCTTCAAGGACGTGCAGAACCCAAAAAAGATCGCAGAGCGTCTAGACTTGTACAATAACATTTTGAAGCGCCGCATTCATGTTACTCAACTGCTTTCTGATGCACAACCTGGAATTTCGAGTATTCTGCGGAAGCGAGCTGAAGATATCTGGGGAGAGGATATCTTTCCTCCTGAAGCGATGAACTTTACAAAGCCGATCAGGGACTTCTTTTATGCGTGGGATGTCATGGAAGAAGCGGAGAGGGTGTTGGCCCATACAACGTCATAGTGAATGAGTCTTGCTATTTAATTACTACATTAGCGATGTCGCGATTTCACTGAATACTATACCGGGACATCGCTCGATTCAGCTCGACTAATACTCATGGTAAGTCTAACTATATGATTATCTGCGGATAACCTAGTGAGGAGGGAGAGGATATGTTTTGAGCACGCTATTGACCAGATCATCATCATAGTCGTCCAGCTGCTGCTGTGTGCGGTCCTGCACAACAGGTATCATCAGCCTGCAGAATTGCGCGCATGGTAGACGATATGCCGACCTGTCCACGTCCTGAGACATGGCATCGAGCCGATCCGTGTCAAAGGTTTGATCAAGAAGACGTAGCTCCGCTGCACCCCTGCCAATGACTTGGGTCTCAAGAGCGAACCCGCGAATCTCAGGTCCTTGGACAGCGGTGTTATATCCGCCGTTCCAGAAGAGTTGTCTATACAAGGGGTATGTCGTTAGCTTTTGTTCGCATTAAGAACGGTCGATCTTACGAAATAGCTGATGCCGGGTATGTCTCGGCACACCAGCCATAGTCTTCTGTTAGGTTCCGTCGAAATCTAGCTATCCAAAACTGTTCTCGAGCAATCTCATTGGCAGCAATCAGCCCTGGAGTCGAGTGGCCTCGACAGACCTGCACGGCCTTCTGCAGCTTGATGTTCAGTGGAATTGTAAGTATCGCAAGAGTTTTATATTACCGCCACAATGGCCAACAAGTACACTATCATCATCAACAACAAGACTGGCAGCAGCCAGAACTATAACCTCTTCAGCGAGAAACCTGAGATTACTGGTGTTGTAAAGTCTAATATCTGGACTAACATCTACCAGACGGCTCAGGGTACTCCTGATGGTGCCAGTGCTGAGTTTGAGATGTGGAAGAGCTACTATGCCATTGTCAGTACCTGGAAGGGCGGTGAGAAGACTGGTGCCAAGGTCTCTATCACTCAGACCAAGCCTGTCACCCTCGGCTCCAAGGCCGCCGATGACACCGATATCCCAGGCACTACCCTTAACATGATTGCTGGGGCTGGTGCTCCCTCTTTCGACAAGGCTCCTGCTTCGTCTACTGCCTGGAATAACTCCTATGAAGTTGACACTGGCAACGACTTCACTCTAGAGGACGCCACCGACCGTAAGTATCCTCCCGTTTCCCTTGAGCGTCTACAAGTAAAGTCTAAACTTGATTGGAAAGGAAACTTTTTCGTTGGTCTCGCCAGCTCCCCTGATGGAGCTGGCAGTGTTCCTACTGCTACTCTCAGGCCTGAGCCTGGAAACCAGTACCAGATCCAGCCTGTTAACACCTACTACATCGCCTACGGTGCTACCTTCCAGGTTGCACAGCTCCTTGATGTTGCTAAGCTCGGAAAGAAGCCTCTTCAGATTGACTTTACTGTCCGTGGCCCTACTGTCACTGTCAACCACAACCCAGATGGTCAGCTTGTTATTGCCAAGTGAGGACAGCTGGATATACCAGGCGGCCCAAGCTGGAAGAGATTCTGCTTAGATTCTCGGGATAGATAGACAGTTATCTTCTTCTCTACTAGTTTATTATCAAACCACTGCTTCAGAACCTTTTTACATCCTTCTCACTTCTAATCTTTTGAATGTAACATAAAGAATCCCAAGTCTAAAGACACGTGTAGGACTCTTCCATACTGCCTCCTCTGTTCACGCGTACCTCACATTGGCGAGTTCGATCCTGCATGGATATTCAAAACAAGTATCACTTGCGATTCCGAGCATCTAGGCCGACAGGAGACAAATTAGGTGCCCAGGCATCGACATCACATGATTGAAGAAGCTGCCAGGCCCCGTCCGGACTACAATTGAGTCTTACATTCTATGCTAGCTCATGAGATTCTGACTCATTCAAATGCTTTCTAATACCCAGCATTCTATCTAAGGATGGTGCAGAACTACCTCTACCAGATATCCTCCTTCAAGATGTTAGCAATGGCTTCAACTTGGGGGGCGATGTACTTACCTGATATCTTGCAGTGTCCCTTAGACCCTTCACCTTCTCCGTTGCGCTCTGAACGGAGATATTGCGCTGTTCAGCCCAGATAGAGATGATCGTTGAGTTAACATCGCGTGCCATGTGCTTCGCATCGCCGCAAACGTAGACAATCGCCCCGTTGTCAATCATGTCTATCACCTCCTTGGCGTGACTCCTGATAAGATGCTGCACGTAGACCTTTTGCTTGGTCTCTCTTGAGAAGGCGACATGGATATCGAAGCTATGGCTAAGGGTCTCCTTGTGATCCTAACTTTGTGTCAGTGGCTATCCTAGAAAGGAGTGATTGTAAACTTACCCTCCATTCTGATTCATAGAGATAATCCCCGTCCCGTCGACGACATCCAAAGAACAACAGACTCTTTCCGACATTTTTACCCTGCTTCTTCAACGCCGCTCGCTCCTGCACGAAGCCTCTGAATGGAGCAACACCAGTTCCCGGACCGACCATGATGACAGGTCGAGACGAATCCTTCGGAAGTTTGAAGTTGGACTTGCGAAGATGAACGGGCGCTTTGAAGCCGATGTACTTCTCCCGAGGACCATTGAGTTGATAATCTTGTGATTGAGATTCCTGATTATGAGCCTGTTTGAGAGAGAGAAGGTAGTTCGTCGCAACGCCCTTGAAGACATCGGGTCGGCCTTGAATCTCAGCTGATTCAACGGCAGCGGTGATGGAAACGAGGGAGGGTTGGACGAGGGATGATGAGGAGATGGAGTAGTATCGAGGCTGAAGTTTGCTGAGTCCTTCTACGATAGCTGAGAAGGGCAGCTTAGGCCATGGTTGGCCGCCGCTGAGCATACTCAACACTTGAGCAAGTGAAAGACATTTCTGGCTGATTTTCTCATGGAAATACACCTTATCGCTACCAAGCTTCGTCGCTTCGACCTTTGCGATCTCGGTAGGTGCAAAAGCAGCGATGACGTTGATGAAATCTCGAGATACAGGTCCAGCAATTTCAAGGTAATATCGTAGTGCAGCAGCATATGTAGTCGGTGTAGGAACAGGTGACTTTGCTGTTGCCTCCCGACTGACGATGGAAATAACTGTATCCTTCTTCTCGGTCAGCCCAAGAATGTTGAGAAGTTGGGCGACTTGATCTTCTGAGTTGGTAGGCCAGATAGCGATGTGATCACCCGTCTCATAAGACAGACCTGAGTCGCCAAGATCGATCTCCATGTGAATGCAGTTCCGATCCTCGGAAGTGAACACCTCGCGAGACTCAGTGATCTTGGCGATGTAAGGGTTCGTGTTGCTGAACTGACGGTTGCCAGAGCTGGTATCAAGATGATCCGCGTTTGCTTCACCGAGAAAGACTCCAGGCGAGCTCGCACTCAGGTCATCTCTTTCCAGAACACCAAAGGTAGACTCATAGGCAACATCTCTCTCCTGAAGCCCAAACTCTTGGACAAGCTTCGGCCACATGTCCTGCTTCCATGCCAGAAAGTCCTCTTCAGTCGTCCCAGCCGCATCGTCAGCCTCCCCAACACTAGCAAGATTCTTCGCACCGAGCTGATCCAGTGCTTTGGAAACACGTCTCACCATAGCATTATAATGCTCATAGGTGCTATTCCCTAGACCGAAAGCAACATACTTGACGTTCTGAAGATCAGCATCCGGTTGATCCCCATCTTCACCGCCAGTGATGTAGGTGTAAAAGTCCTGGGCGTTATCAGTTGGTTCACCCTCGCCGTACGTAGCGAGGACAAACATCAACACGACTTGCTCTGAGAGTTCAGAAAGATCATTATAGTCATACTCCTCAAGATCAGCGACCATGGGATCGAGGCCATAGCGTGAACTGGCTTCTCGTGCCAGCTTTTGAGCGTAGTTCTCTGCGGTGCCGGTTTGTGAGCCGTAGAAGATGATGCAGTTTTTTCCGGTGGTGTTGCAGATGTGAGAGATGCTTCGAAGACTGTCTTCTTTTGAAGCTGTCGTCTCTGCTGATATGGTGGTTTTGGGGAAGAAGAGGTTTCGTAATTTGCCGTTTGACAGATAGACAATTGCTCCGAGGAGAAGGGAAACAAGGACGATCAAGTCGGTTGAGTCAATGACGGGAGACTCTGTTGTAAGAAGAGCTTCGTCCAAGATGGACTCGTTGGTCATGATGTCGATTTCAGCCATCGTGTCGAAAATTGGGGCAGATAGAATTGATGTTGATGATGATCTGCAACTATTCAGAAATCCTGAAAGCCTATTATACCATTTCGAGAAGTCATCGCGAACTTTCTCATGGCCCGAGTATCCGGCGCGGAATAGTTTTCCGACGACCGAGCTTTCGACGCAAAATCCAACAGCCAATCACAAGCATCATAAAGTCATCGGAACTTTCGCAATCTTTCCGACCAGAAGTCGAACCAAGGTGTTCAACAGCAAATCAAGATTTCGGTTACACTGGGAAATACGGATATAGAGATCACGATGTTTCTTTGATAGTTCTCCTTCATTCCACGCTTGAATTATGTTGCTACCACGATAATGTACAATGAGGATTAAGCCGCATTCTTCCAAGCATCTTTGACCAAACTCCACGTCGCAAACACCGCCAGCGGCGAAACAAAAGCCTCGGGTATCAAACCATTTCTCAGACTCCAATGAGTGGCAACACTAGCCCAAGCCAAATTCTGAAGCATATCGCTCTTCCATTTTGCCTTCCATGTCTTTGTCGCCAGTTTTTCCTTATCCTGCATAGTGTTAATCCAATCCAGTGACAAACGACCAATCTCAATCATTGTAAACGCCGCCCAGGAGCGAATTGCGAGGAATGTTAACTTTTCTTCTGATTTGGCCGAGCGTTTGAGAATTCCCCTTGCTGAGAGGAAACCAATTGCTTCGGAGACGTGGAATGATGTGAGGCAGAGTATTTGTGAAGTTTGGATTCCAATATCCAGCTTTTTCATGGGTTTTCCTGCTGATCTCTCGGCGGAGACTCGTTTAATGAGATCTCTGGCTGCCTTCCACATATCCAAGACCCCGAAGAGGCGATTCATTATCTGCCACTCATCAAGCATTGCACAAAGTGCTCTTGAACAGTTTGCGACTCGTGTTGTTGATGTTGCCATCGAGTTGATGTGAGATATTGTGAAGGATGATTCGGAGAGACCTCTCAATCTTTGACTCTGCAGTCTTTGGAGGTAAGATGCTAATAGGTCCATGATGAAGGTGACCAGGCGTATGGCTTCGCCAGCAAATAGAAGGACTACATCTCGACCTTCCCGCGACTCAATTGTTCTGTGTAGATGAGACAGAAACTGGCCAAGTTGTATGTTTCTGAGAATTGAGGGTTTCTTGTGACAGTCCGGTGAAGAGATCATGGTGAACTGCCGTGCGACAACTGAGAACAGGCAAGAATGCAGGCGATAGGGATAATCTGATATCTGATACGAGCCTTGCAACAAGTCAACAAAACATTACGCGGTCTTTCTGCAATGATACAGCATTGACTAATGCCTCAAAGGTTCCGACCGGAACGGACAAAATGAAACTGATAAGAATAGTGATGAACAAGCAGTCGAGTCATGGAGAAGCATATGTGATGGTAACACTCGGAATGCTCTAGTTCCGGGCTATCTGGTTCCGAAGAATGAGGAGATAACGAGGGACGCGTCAATTGATAGCGAAGCGAGCGCGCTTTTTAGTTATCTCCTAGTGTCGGGTTAGTACTTGATGAGGAATTAGTGAGTTTCTCTGCTTACTTCCGAAATGGGTAGTTTCTGGTCATGCCGTAAGAGGAAGTCATCACAAACACCAGGAAAGGTCATTAAAGTGACTTAATAGTAGTTTGGCAGTAATAATTATATCAAAATCTACAGCTTAAAAACATTGACCTTGACACACTTGACCTGCGTCCAATCATGCAGCGCATCCTCGCCATTCTCCCTCCCAAAGCCACTCTGCTTAATCCCACCAAACGGCGTATTAGCATTAACGCTTCCCCAGGAATTAACACAGACTAATCCACACTCAATCTTGTCCGACACGCGAATCGCCTTGCTGATGTCATTTGTAAATACTGAAGCTGCAAGACCGTAGACGTTGTCATTCGCAAGATCGATGACTTCTTGCTCGGTCTTGAACTTGGCGATGCTGGCGACGGGGCCAAAAACTTCTTCGCGGATGATGCTGGCTGATGGTGAGACGTTGATGTATGCTGTGTTGGGGACGAAATGACCCTTTGAGTCGTGCGATTGAGAGCCACCGTGGAGGACTTGTGTTCCCTCGGAGTTGGCCTTTGCGATGAAGCCCATGATCCTCTCCTTTTGCGTTGAGCTAATAACAGGTCCCTTCATAGTCTCCTCAAGCAAAGGATCGCCCATAACAGCATCCTTGGTCCTCTTCGAGAACTCCGCTACAAACTTATCATAAATATCCTCCTGCACATAAATCCTACTCCCCGCCGCGCAGATCTGGCCATTGTGAATGGTGATTCCCATGGTAGACCACATGAGCGCATTCTCCCAGTCGGCGTCGGAGAAGATAATGCTGGGGCCTTTGCCGCCGAGCTCGAGGGTCACGCGCTTGAGGTTAGACTTTGCGGCGCTGGCCAGGATGGTGCGCCCGACGCCGACGCTGCCGGTGAAGGAGAGCTTCCGGACTTCGCTGTGGTCGGCGAGCGCTTGGCCTGCGACGGTGCCGAGACCGCAGAGGATGTTGACCACGCCGGGGGGGAAGCCGGCTTCGACTATGAGCTGGCCAAGTTTTTGGCCGTAGAGAGGGGCGAGCTCGGGGGTTTTGATGATGAGGGTGTTACCTGCTGCGAGGGCGGGAGCCAGCTTCCATGAAGTGATCATACTATGCTTGTTAGTACTCAAAGGTAGTAGGCCGAGAAGGGATGTGACTTACAGAGGAGTGTTCCATGGAACAACAGCCGCACAAACACCAATTGGCTCTCTCTTGGTATACGCAAGACCGCTCTCGTAGTCAATGCTCTGCCCATCGAGTTTATCCGCCCAGCCCGCGAAATATCTACACGTCTCCGCTGCCTGCGGGACGCTCATCCCCATGGACATGTTATACAGCATGCCAGCATCAACAGCCTCAATGGACGCAAAGTCCTGAACATCTCGCTCAATAAGATCAGCGAGCTTATTCAACAGACGACGTCGTTCCTGAGGAGGTGTAATCTTCCAAGTCGCTGATGCTTTGCGTGACGACAGTACAGCGCGGTCGACGTCGGAGGTCTGGGCGGCGGAGACGGCGCCGACGGGGGAGGCTGTAGTGGGATTTTCGACTGTGACTGTTTTGTTGGCTTCTGCGGGGGTGAAGGTGTTGTCGATGAAGAGGCCGGTGGGGACTGTAAGAGTCAGTCATTTTGTAAATACACGTAATGGTAGTTCATGAGTGTAACGTACGTGTGATCTTTCGACCACCTGAGCCGGTGATTGTGAGTTCCGCCATATTGAGTTTGTGTATTTCGGGTATAAAACAATAATAATATCCACTTATCAAGATCTTATTAGACAGCGAGAAATCGATAACAGGCAGGCAAGAGAAGAGAAGGGTGCAGTGAAACCGCATGCATATTACTTATGTACATTACGGCAACCATTCCACTCGGAATCTAGGATGTTATGTTCCGGAATAGCACTGACCATGTTACATGAGGGGTTATGCATAATCCAGGGTCTCACAAAATCCTCCTCGTTTCTTACTCATTGCTTCACCGCAGTCAGATCATCTCCATATCTTACGTATATTTAATCCACTGCCCTACTCTATATGTTTCAGTTGAAGAAAGGATTACACGATGATGTGGTATCGAGTGCCACTATTCAGCAGGAGCCGCAATGCGGGCATAGCAGATGGAGAGGGTCGAGTCTTCCGATTGGGCCGCGGTTATGGTGTCGGAATCGCCACTGCGGTTCCGACGTCGCGGAGTTAGTGGACGAAATAAATGACGCGGATGGGGACAGGTCGATCAAGGGTCAGGCAACATCTCCGTAATCTCCAGCGGCCCGTGATCCGCGACACAGAGGACGTTGGAGTGGTCTTGGCGAGTCGGTAGTTGGCCGCCAAGGTAGAAAGGCCGAGATCCGTGACGATAAATGCATGGGAAAAAGCAATGTAACTATCCCGAGGTGACATTTATTTGTCAAGGATAAGCCTCGGTAAAACAGACGCGTAGTGAGCTCTAACTTGATTTGAGTAAGTGGTGTATCCTGCATATGATCATCTCGCGTCAGCCGCAATCATCAATTTGTCATGACTACAGGGTAACAGGTCATAGATTTAACAAATGTTTTGTTTCAACACGTTCACTACCGGAATCGTTTCACGGTACAAGCAGCAGCCGGCAGTTGTCTTTAGAAATCCCATTCATGCTAAAATAATGCAAACACTGATTTACAAGTTATGCCATGCCAAATAAATCAACACAATCAAAGGATGACAATCACAGTTTTGGACCCTCTTCCTTACAGCATCCCGAAGTCAATCTCGACGCAACATCCTTATCAGACGGAACATCAAGCGCCGGATTCCCCGTAAAGAAATCCGAAGGCGAGATGTGCAACTGCAGCATCTCAACCGGCATAACAGGCCAGTCCTCAACACGAGGATTATGCGTGAGTCCAAAGACACTCCAGCACACAACATCCTGATTCAACACGTCGTCGCATCGATCAGCTGCGTCGCTCACACCGCCGACTTCACTCTTGCTGAGGAGCGTGTACCGGCCGCCAGCGAAGAGCTCGTGGTCCTTGTACTTGGTGACCCAGAAGTGCTTCTTGGCGAATAGGGCGCGCTTGGCTTGTGTGCTGTTGGGGTCGGCGAGGAGGAGTTGTGTTGCGGGGGGCGTGATCTTGTAACCGACCGGTTTACCCGATACGCGGTTTAGTTTGTTCAGGTTCTGGACCTTGAAGACTCTGTTGTTGAATGGAGCTGCGTCGATGCCTTGAGAGGTGGTGATGTGCGTCTGGCGCACTTCATACATGTTTCCATTAGGGTTTGTCCTCTTATCCATTCTCAACGGAAGACTCTCCTCCTGCACAACAGTGTTCTCATTACCGTCGATTGAGGGATCAATACGAACGCAGAAAACATGCTGATGGTTCTGTGCAAGAGCTCCAGGGCTGACGACGTTTCCCCAGGGGGCCGTCTTGCCGGGGTCCATGTTGACGACAGACACAATGCCTGTTGCGCGGGCCTCGACGACGATGCCGGCTGCTTGGTCAAACTTGTAGTTGAAGACGTACTCGTAGTTGGCGAGGGTGATGATGAATTGGATAACGAGCTCACGGCGGCGTGTCACGACGGCGCGGCCAGTTCGCCAGTCGGTGTGTTTCCAGCCGATGCCGTTGTCTTGCTCGTGGAGACAGATGACGTTCTTGCTTTCCTGCGCGGTGCCGTCTGCGTCTGTGAGGACACCATCAAAGTACTAGAGTTGTTAGTCATGAGAATATGTCAAGTTTATGGTGTGCAGCATACCTTGATCACGCCGAGACAGTCGCAGCCGAGAGTAAGGTTGTTGACGCAGTGGCCGAGACCTCCGTCGCCAAAGTCAAAGGCTTGCTTGCGGTGGTATGGTGGACGAGGATCAGCATAAGGAACAGTCTGCAAATGTTAGTTTTGTCTCTTGTAAGTATCTCTCAGTAAACTTACCATGTCGCTGATGCTCAATCTGTACAAAACAGGCCGTCCATCATAGCGGATATCATGAATAACAGCACCCTCCCGAGGATTAAACGTTACCCTCATTCGCCACTTCTGCCACTGGATAAGATTCCCCTCTGTGATGGAGAAACTAGGTCCCTGCGGCTGCACAACCATCAAGGGCTTCAAATCCTTCCTTGTCCCATTGGGCAAAAGCTCTGGAACATACTCAGCAGACTGGCAGTGATCAATAGCCCCAGCAGCGTAGGTCTTGTCAGTGAGACTATCGCCCTTGCCGCCCGTAGCGGGCTCATCAATGCGGATGATCTCCTTGGTCGCTGCGTCCATGACGGGGATCAAGGGCATGGGGTAAGCGTAGAAGTTGGAGTCTTGGCCCTTGCGAGCATCACGCGCAAAGACGAGGGCTTGGAAGTAGCGGGTATTGCCATCTTCTAGGTCTGGTGCACCGTAGGGCCAGGGCTCAATGACTGTCTCGAAACCCTCGGGGAGCTTGATCTCCTTGAGTTTATCCTGGAACATCTTTGATCTCTTGCAAGACTCAACCACAATATCAAACTCGGCACTAACTAATCAGCTCAGTTACAGCATATAGGGTGATAGGGGACTTACGTAGTCAGACTGGCCTGGTGCTCCTCGCTGATAATCTCCTGCGCCACGATACTCCGCTTCGTAACATCAACCACAGACTCATAGTACTGCGACTTCTGATCTCCACCAATGACATCGTAGAAAACCTGCGCGCAGCGATCAGGTCTCGGCGAAGAAGTAGTCAGAGCACCTGAATGCTCAAGCTCAAGAAACCTGAGGACTTCTTCCTTGGGTGGCTCAAACAGATACGATTGTCTAAAGAACAGCAGCGCACCGGGGTGAGACGCCTTGACGATATCGCGTGCAAGGTTAGTCTCACGCGCTGAGAGGGCAGAGAGAGGATGTGGTGCAGCCATGTTGGACAAAAAAGACTAAAGACAATGGAATGGGGTTTGTTGGTTCAATCAGAGCCAGCAGCAAATGTGATGTTTCGCAGCTGTCAAATAGTACCCCCCGGAAGGTGTCGTTCCGAGCGTTGCACTCGGAACGCTTCTCGGAACGCGGAAGCACAATCTTGCTTATCTCCCCGCTATCAACACCCTGGTCAAGGATAACGCAGCTCGTAAAGAAAAACTAAGTTAGATTTCCCCGCGTTCTTGATACGGCCCCTGTTTAGCGTGTGTTTTGATCAAGATGCGATATGCCAGCAGGGGTGCGCCGATATCTCTTTTCTCTTATCAAGACGGTTTATAGAGACGACATTTCCGTGCTTTCCATAGCTCCATAAAACTGAAAAAAGACGAATTTGACTATAAAAACATTATTAACCTTTGTTTGAATATGGGCGAGCTCGAGAAGTATAACGTGGCTGTTGATAAAGACGCCATGAGCCTTGAGGGTGATACCGGAGTTTCGAGCGATGATGCCCTGCGTCTTGCGCAGCTGGGTCATACGCAGGAACTTCGAAGACAGTATTCTCTCTTTTCTCTCTGTGCTCTATGCGTTTGTCTCATGGCGACATGGGAAGCTTTATCCTCTGTCGTCGCTACAGCTCTCATCACCGGAGGAGCACCGTGTCTCTTCTACAACTAGTCCGTCTCCCTCCCCCAAAACAAGCACCGCTAACATGATCAGTCTATTATCAGCAGTATGCTCAATCTGCATCGCCAGCTCTCTCGGCGAGATCGCCTCTATTTATCCTACAGCTGGAGGTCAGTAATCTCTTCACTCTACCCCTGGACACGATCCTTTCAGCTCGAGACTAACGCTTCGGAATGATACTGCAGGTCAATACCACTGGGTAGCAGCCCTTGCGCCCGCTTCGATTCGATCGACCGCGTCTTGGGTCACAGGATGGGTTAGCATTGGCGGACAAGTTGTTCTCACCTCTTCTGCTGCTTTTGCTGCTGGGCTGCAGATGCAGGCTCTTATAATTGTGAACAACGAGACGTATGTTCCTGAGCGGTGGCAGGGCATGTTGTTCTACTGGCTGGTTCTGGTTTATGCGCTTGCTCTTAATATTTGGGGGGATAGGCTTTTGCCGTATATCAATACGGTATCGGGTGAGTACTTGTGCAGGCTGGAGAGGTGTTTGACTGACATTCCTAGGCGCTATCCATGTCATCGGCTTTGTTACGATCGTTGTTGTTCTTGGTGTTATGGCACCCAAGAACTCGGCTTCTTTTGTCTTTACAGAAGTCACCAACTCTAGTGGCTGGTCTAACGATGGTGTCTCTTGGCTCGTCGGCCTCTTGAGTGCCGTGTATCCGTTCCTCGGGTATGTCGTCCCCTCCCATTTATCCTTCCATCATCTAACCGTCACAGATACGACGCCGCCTGCCACTTAGCAGAAGAGATGCCCCACGCCAGCCGTAATGTTCCACTCGCTATGGTCGGTAGTGTGACCGTCAACGGTCTCATGGGTCTTGTCTACGTCATCATCTTTCTCTTCTCAACCGGCCCCCTCGAGAAGCTCCTCGCAACACCCACTGGTTTCCCCTTCATGCAGATCTTCCTTGACGCTACCAAGAGTCAAGCGGGTTGCACTGTTCTCTCCGTTATCATTACCTGCACTGCTGTTGCAGCGACTGTCGCGGGTGTCACTTCTACGTCAAGAACGCTGTGGGCTTTTGCGAGAGATAAGTCAACACCGTTTGACAAGCAGCTCAGCAAGGTCGACAAGCGTCTTCAGATTCCTGTTTACGCTGTCGTGGTTGTTACTGTTCTCCAGATGCTGCTTGGTCTCATCTACCTTGGCAACACCACTGCCTTCAATGCCATTCTTTCCATGTCAATCATTGGCATGTATGTCAGCTATGCATTCCCCATCATCGCCATGCTCTTTGCAAGGAAGAGTCTTCAAACCTCCAATGGCTTCGGTCCTTTCAAGCTCGGACATATCGCTGGTCCAGCTGCCAACGTTATTAGCTTGATATGGATTACTGTCGTTGTCATCTTTAGCACTTTCCCATCTGCTATGCCAGTTACACCGCAAAACATGAACTACTCCATCGTTGTCATGGCTGGATGGCTCTTTGCTGGCATTGCGTACTATGTGTTCCGCGGGAAGTATAAGTTTGAGGTTCCTGTCGTTGACTTTGACGTTGTTGAAGGTCTTCGTGATGGAGTTCATGACAAATAAGTTGGATAGTTATAGTAAAAAAGTCGGTGAGATGGATGTTTTCAAAAACTGCGTGTCATGGTCGGACAACATATTGTTTTGACATGATATACCATGGGATTAGACAGGACTTGGGGCATGACTAAATATGTACGAGATACTTATGCAATGGACACGCTCTTTGATACACTCATGCTTGATCATATTGTTACAGTCTGGTCCCCGACAAGTTACATCAAACCGTGACCTCTAGAAACCCCCATTGAACCGACTCAAGTCATCACTCTGCACAACACCGGCATTCTGATCCGGCAACGCAGCAGCTCCCTGATCGAGCCCACTGACCTGACTCACCGGCCTCAACATATTGTCCTGCTCAAACGCACTAAACAAATTCAGTAGATCCGTCTCCAACCCAAACATATCCGCCATATTCTCATCCATAAAATTATTCCCCACACCATTTCTCGGCCAGTTCGTAGGAACAAGAGTCTGCTGCTGCCGTACCTCCGGCGTTTCTTGTTGCAGAATCTCTGCGAGTGCCGTGTTTCCGGTGGGTGTGATGGGTGACTCTAGCGATAAAGCGCGATGAATCGTCCCCTTTAGTGAGCGCCAGAGTCGTCGACCGAGTTGTCCGTGCTGAGAGATGTTCTTCAAAAGACGGACGGCGTCTTGGAAGCTTTGTCGGCACCGATCGGCGAAGACGTCTGGGCCGTGACATACTGCTAGAAGGATTGTTGCTAAAGCGCCGGTGAGGAAATAATTAAAAGTTGCTTTCTGCCGAGCATAGATGTCACTTGTTTCGTTCAGGTTTACGAGAACTTGGATTGTATCCTGTGCAAGGCTGACGACGAGTTGAGCGCCTTGCATGTCAGAGCGTAGATTCTCAGCGCTCATGACATGATGTCGCAGGACCAAGTTTCGGATGTAATTCCCTCGTAGGTAGAGGAGTGTTCGTAAGCGCTGTAGAACTCGAGGTTGATGACGCGGAGCTTGTGAGAGTCGAGGATACACGAGCTGTAAATCATCGGGAATAGAGTGAATCCATTTCTGCGTCAGAAAGTCAAAAAAGTCGACTTTATCTTTTGGAACCATGAACGGTGAAGAATCAAGTGGTAGATCCTCCCAGACCTTGGAGCATAACTTGGCGTAGGAGACCATGCACCGAAGATATGGATGCTGGTCACTCTTTCAATCGTCAGTATACGCTTGTCCTTAGTATATGAGGGGAACTCACTGGCTCTGGACATTGGGGATCGATGTCCCGATCCGAAATGCCGAATGATAGACTAGTGCCATAACTCCACCTTCGGTCTAGGATGTATACACACCAGAAACAACGAATTGCTAAATCTCGTTCTGAAGGGTTTTTGAAGTTCTCAAAAAGGGAAGTTCGGCGGTGGAGGCCGATTTCCAGGGCTTCGCGACCGGCGTTGCCGATGGCTCTCCAGGCGAGGAGGTCTTCCCCACAGTGAAACCAGTAGATGCTCTAAACGTCGTCAATAATTGCAAGGAGAGTGAAGAACGGACTTACCAGCATGATCATGAGTTGAAGCTCTTGAAGGTCAATAAACGCCTCGCCTGATACCCTGCAAATAACAGGCTCAACATCATCAATCAACCTCTTGCTGATATTATTCAACCCCTGCGCCTCGATAGCAACAGACGTAGCAACCGCCAGCTTGATAGCCTGCACATCCTTAAGCGTATTCTCCATGGGCGTCTGAAATACCGAGACCGCCTTTCCCGATAACTCATCAACATCAATGAACGGATACACACTCTGAATCTCCTCACTATAAACATCCAACAGCCTCTGAACCTCCGCGATCCCCAAACTCGGCAGAATCTCAACATCCTCTATCCCCGGCGAAAGATGCTCACTCTCGACAACCGGTTCAGTCTCACTCGGCGATTCAACCGGCGTGCTTGTACCAGTAGCGTTTGGCTCTATTCCCATGCCAGTGAGGGAGTTTTCTGCGATCTGGAAACTATACGCTGAGCGCGTTGGACCGACGAATTGAGGCTCGCGCGGCTCGGTGCGTACGTTGCGGATGTCTTTGCGGTAGGTGGAGGGATGGCCTTGGGGAGTGGACTTTGTGGAGGAGAGTGTCATTTGGGGGAGGCGTTGGGATACGTCTTGGAGGGCTGATGTAAGGGCGTTGACTTGGTTTTGGAGTGCGATTACTTGTTGGCTCAGAGATGTGACGTCTGTTCTTTGATATTTGTCAGTGGTGGTTTGTGAGATGGGTGAGATGCTCACTGAGGTTCTTGAGTTGAGCGTCTTCGCGATGGCTCAGCATCTTCCTTCGCTGTTTGGGCGGTAGGGGCAAAGATGCATTCAACTTTATTAACATCGCATCTCTTACAAACCTCATCGCCCTCTTCTCTCACACACTTGAGCTTCTTCTTCTTGCACTCATTGCTAACAAAGTCAGTTAGTATATCTCAGATGATCAGGGATGGTCGCGTACCAGGCTACAGGCGCGTACTTGGCGCGTTTGCTCCGCTGATTAGAGGACGTCGCCGACTCTGCGATTGAGCCTATCCTCTTGCGACCAGTGTCCATGAGTCATTACTTATGTGTCGCGTGTTGTTGATTGAGACCTCATGAAATACGGGATGTTGTAGTGTCAAGGTCACTAAGGCATAAAATAAGGGCGGGGCTGCCTGTAATTATTTCTATTCGGGGTTCGCTTATCAAGATATTCCGCTAGACCAAAACTGATGACAGCTGATTTGAGGCCCAGGCCCTGCTGATCTACGCCTTATCAATTCTTTGGCACTTCTTATCGTACAGAAATAAAGTTTGGACCTTTCTCCAAGTGGTTATTACTTCCACTCACTAATCCTCTTTCTAGCCCCATAACTTATCAATACCTCATCTGTTCTGATACCACTGATATCATTCTGAGTTGGCATTTGCATTATACGCAATGACTGTTCTGTTTAATAGTCTGCTACATCTGTTCGTTGCTGTGCCGGGTATTGAACCCTTGCCGTTTTTTTTTCACATTATTTTCCGTTATAATCTGCCCCTTCAAGAGTTTGCCATCTTGGCGTGTAATCTTAAGCATCCCTACTTACACATAATACCCCAGCACTTGTTTAACACTATATTTACCCCGCTTGCAGGTCATTCGTGCACTGCTGCGTAGCGATAACTTGCCTCTAAACCTTCAAGCAAAAGGTGCCATGTCCTTATAGGGCGCTAAGGTAACATGTATATAACCTTGAAATCTCATAATACTCTTAACCTCACTGACTACCAAGTTTCTACCGCAACGACCTAAAATGAATCGCATAATAATAAAATGCCTGCGATGCAAGCGTATACCTCGCATCCCAACCACTAGATCCTACTCCTCCACCTACCGCCCCTCAATCGCCACAATGCCTACCCTCGATATATGCCATATTCGGAATAACGCAGATCTCTATGCGCAAACATGCCTCTCACGAAACTACCCGAACCTCGCCTCTAACCCATCCCGCATCATCGAGCTCATGGACTATCACCAGGCTTTGCAGGAGGATGCGAAATCTTTACTTGAACGCGCGAATGCTTTACAGGTGCAGCTTCTAGTGCTAAAAGTAGAGGGGAAGAACGTTGAGGGGGCGCTGAAGGAAGCGAGGGAGATCAAGACAAAGCTTCTTGAAGTTGAGAAGGAGGAGGGGCATGTTATGAGCAAGATAGAGGAGCTGGCGCTGGCGTTGCCGAATATCACAAGTAAGGAGATGCCGAGAGGGGCCGAGTTTGAGGTTCTTTGCTACGTCAACGCTGATGAAAAGACTATTCAGATCAAGGACAGCAAAGGGAAGCCAATTTCTCATGTTGACGTCGGAATGCGGCTTGGGATCCTCGACTTTGCTTCCGCTGACACCGCCTCCGGCCGGGGGTGGTACTACCTCGTCGGCGCCGGCGCCCTACTCGAAAAGGCCCTCGTCTCCTACGCTCTCGACATGACAACTCGCAACGGTTGGACTCCCGTCTCGCCCCCATCCCTAGTCTACTCTCACATCTCCGCCGCTTGCGGGTTTCAACCTCGTGATAGTAGCGGTGAGCAGCAGGTTTACAACATTGCGCAGGATGAGAAGGATAAGACAAGGGGTGTGCCTGAGATGAGTCTGACGAGGACAGGCGATATTGCACTGGCTGGTATGAAGGCAAACGCAATAATCTCGGAGGCGGAGTTGCCGCTCAAAAGGGTCGCTGCTTCAAGATGTTATAGGCCTGACGCTGGGGCGAGAGCAGCGGATACGAAGGGACTGTACGAAGTGCATGAGTTCACCACGGTGGAGTTATTGGCCTGGACGGAGCCAGACAAGGAAGAGATGGAATACATGTTGGACGAAATAATCGACATCCAAACCGATATCCTCGGCGCCCTCGGCCTTACATGCCGTGTCCTCGATATGCCAGTCCACAACCTTGGCGCTAGAGAAACCCGTAAAATCGCCATTGAAGCCTTCTTCCCCTCCCGCGCCGTGGGTAAGACACCGGACGACATCCAAGAAGCTGCCTGGGGGGAGATCGCCTCTGTGAGTTTCTGCACGGATTACCAGAGTCGACGGTTGGCTACGAGGATGAGGGACGCCGGGGATGGGACGCTAGGGTTCCCGTGGACGGTAAATGGGACGGTGCTGGCGGTGCCCAGGGTTTTGGCGGCGTTGTTGGAGATTGGGTGGGATGGGGAGGAGGGGATTGTGAGGCTGCCGGAGGTGTTGCACCAGTTTATGGGTACAGATAGGATTGAGGGACCCAAGAGGAACTGAGAGTAACGTGATCAATACCCAACATGGGCCTTAGTGCTCGCAGAACCTTTATACTCGACACTAATCAACTCCGTATCTAATTCCTTCACCCTAGCGCTCTTCTCCAAGTGGTTATTACTTCCACTCACTAATCCTCTCTCTAGAGTCTTGTTTCCCATAACTTATCAACACTTCATCTGTTCTCCTAACCCCACTAATATCATTCTGAGTCTTTGTATCGCGTAGTATACTCTCGTCGCTGGCGTTGGCATTGTAGGCAATGACTGTTCTGTTTGATGGTCCGCTGCCGCCGATAGTTTCTGTGCCGGGCATTGATCCGTTGCCATATTTCCGACCGCTGTGATTGCCGTACATGGGGAGTTTGTAGGAACTCGCTGCGCCAGAGCTGTCGCCTTGGCTGCCGTATCGGAAGCGCACGTAGAGAGGGCGGAGGACGGGGATAGAGGAGCACATTATTGTTACGGTGCTTTCGGTCGCGGACCAGATGAGCATGTCGACTGTGTCGTCTGTAAAGGTGAGTAGATGAATAATTGGTGAGGGATGAAGGGACATACAGATGTATTCACTGGCATTCAATCCGTTGAGAGCGACCGTACGAACAATACCGCAGATACCAGCACTAATATCGTCAGTCAAGATGATCCAGTATCGGTCAGAATGATAACTTACAAAATACCGAGACTTAGGCCGCATGCGACAGTGATCTTCTCTTTGCGCTTCATGTTGAGCTCCCATATGACAAACCACGGAAGAATCGCGAAACAAAAGTCCGCAACGACAAACCAAGCTACACAAATTAGCAACAGTCCAGCTCACCGAACCACCAGAGATACTCACACCCAACAGTCAAGCCGACCTTGGAAAAGTCAATCCAACACGTCCCCGGTACCCGTCGATCCCAAGTCCTCTGCACAGGATCACATTGAACAACAACAACGATACTAGAAAACAGCGTGATAAACACTGTTCCCGCGAGAAATGCCCAGATAAACGCCTTCTGGAACTTGTTCCGTACGATGCGCAGTAAGAAGATACCGACGGCGCATTTTCCTAGGCCGATTACCGTGAGCCCGGCTACTTGGCTGTATATCTCTAGCTCGACGGCTCGGAAGTATGCATCTGGGTTGCCAATATCTGCGAACTTTCGGCCGAGACCGTATTTTGTACCAGCTGTTACGAAGGCGGAGTAGATGATCTGGAAGACCTGGAGACTGTTAGTATATATCGATGGAGTCGTGTGAAGATCATACTAATGCGATGATAACGAGATAGTCATCTGCTCCGACAGAGTGCAGGATTTGAGACCGGGTGTATAGCCTCAATCCAACGAAGATTGCAAAGATGAAGACTTGAACCCATAGCACTGCATTCAGCATAGGTCCCAAGCCTCCGTAGTAACTCTCCATGATTTCGCTGATAACAAAGAAGAAGAACAAAAGCTGAAGTGGCTCGCCTGGTCTTGTGGAACTCATGGCCTTATCGGCTTCAAGTGAGACTCACCATCGCCCCTGATCACACGTTTCCAACAGCCGAATATCACCGGGGGGAAAGCAAGGAGCGAAGGATCACTCCCTAGTGCGTTTCAATGCATAGTTAAGGAGGATTGCCAACTATCCTCTGTCCTGAAAAGATCTACGGGGAAACCCTTGTTGGCGACAGGGTGTCTCTGGCACGCGAGAGACAAATTTGGAGATGGACCAATAATAAGTGGTTATGTAACGGTAGCGAGTTCTGTTGGTTATAAACTGGAGGCGAGGACAAATATGGCGTGACTGTTGGTTGATGCGGGCTTGATATCTCTTTTCTCATGAGATATCATATATGATAGACCTCGAGGTGCCTTTCAAAGCGAGAGCCTAGATTCTCGCAGAACCCGAATACTTGGGCAACTGCAGGAACACACTTTACTATTTTTAATTTAAGAGATGAAAAGATGTCTTGCGATGAACCCTACAGTCCATTAATTCTCCCTAGTTGCCGCCATCCATAGGATTTGCCGAGACAATGAACTGTCTCCACTCCCTCATCAAACAATCGCTCTCGTTGCTTTTTCTCCTCCGACCGGGTACGATGTTCCTCCACAATTATGACTCGCCCCATTGTCAACCAACTGCATACGATATCTGACAGTGACAACTCCACCAACAACAGCGAAACCGTCAGAGTAACATCGCCGACCGATGTCTCAGAAACTAAAGCAAGCTCGCATCCCAAAACCTTGATACGCGGCTCTGATGCAAGGACTCAACGTAAAAGATTACCACAGGTTCTTTCGAGACTAGTTGTAGGATTCAGGCGAGGCTCTGGTAGACCCACTATAGAACGACGGATATGATGATCGCGGCTCAACGTTGCATTTATGAACCGCGTCATTTCGTCCGGGCCGTTACGGGTCAACCGCCGTTAGGTCAACGATTCCAATGCATTGGCCAACGGCTTCTCAGCGTCGATATCGCAAGTAAGTATGAGGCCACCAGATCTTGGATACCCTTTGATTCGGATCATCCACCATGCTGAATCATTTATGTCGCAGCAACAACTGTATTCTGGGATACCCAGAGAGTCACTTGAGCCTCAAGAATTCGGGTGGAGCTATAACGCGAAGAATTATCCGAAGTATCCCACGTTCCCCGTGGGATTCGGATCCTGGCATGAACTAGCTAAGCGACCCTGTTGCAAAGAGAGCCAACAGAGGATGGGGCAACGATCCGTTCTCAATCAGTTGACATTTCATTATGAGCAGCAGTTCATGCTCATGTTTGCTAAGTGGCAGCACGGATATTACTGGTGCGTGATATGTGCTACGACACTATCATGAATACTATAATAACAACGATTAAGGTTAATACTGAATTTCTCTTAGACCAGTTCACAGCCGATATCCGAAGGATTGGTTTCATAGAAACTTTCCTTATCCCTTGAGGGTGGAGGGGTACCCCTTCAGTACTAATTAAACTAAGGATGTCAGGTACCTATTGTACCAACAGCTTTGCTATTTGTTGCAAGTTAACTTGTAACAAATCCAATATTGGATAAAGTCATCACGAGATAGCGTTCAAAGGGACACCCCCCCGCACCAGCTTCTCATCCCGGTAAGGGGCAGCAGGGTTCTCCCACATCAACTGAATTGCTAGTCTAAGTGAAGACATCTCAGTCTGGATCATGGACTTATTTATACAAGCGAGCTATCTCATTTTCTATCACAATCCGCAATTAACTTTTCTTTTTCGGCTCCACTCCAAAGCACACTCGCATTCTTGTACTTAACTTCTCACAATGGGCTCAGTAGGCACTTCAGCAAACGACCTCATCGCCACCCTCGACGGTGTTAGCCCCAGTCAATTCGGCGGCGATGAAGTCGAGCGTCTTCGTGTCCGTGCAGCTGCACGTCGTTTGCTAGCTAGAGTCGAAACTCCATATGAACGAGCATGGGGTTTTTGTTTCGAGCATCCTGCTGTTTTTGCAGCGCTGCAGACTGCGATTGATTTGGGAATCTGGAAGGCTTGGACCAAGGAGGGTGGGGGAAAGAAGACAATCGATGAGTTGGTCAAGTTGACTGGGAGGGATGTTGAACCAAACTTGTTACGTGAGTCCTCATATTGCTGTGATGTTGATCGAAGCTTACGTTTGTAGGACGTCTGTTCCGCCTTTTGGCTGCGTTTTATGTAGTTGAGGAGACAGGGGTAGATACCTTCAAGCCTACGCCCTTCTCGTACGCCATTGGTGATGAAAGTACCAAGGTCCGAGCCTCCCTCGAAGCAGCGTAAGTCTCCCAACCACAAAACCAACACGTCAACTAAGGAAACCCAGAACCTACCAGTACATCTCAGCTGGCCAAAATCTCCCCAAATACCTCGCCAAAATAGGCTACAAAGTCCCCACAGCAGCAGAAGACAACAACTACGCAGGGAGCGATCCCGACGGCCTCAACTTCTTCGGTCGTCTCCAGATGAGTCCAGAGTACTATGAAGCCTTCACGGGACACATGGAGGCGTGGACATCTTGGAAGACGCCCTGGACTAAGATTTACGATCCTAGCAAGTTGATCGAGGGTGCTGATCTTAGCAAACCGCTTGTCGTTGATGTTGGCGGCAATACTGGTATTGACATCTCGCATGTTCTCAAGGCCAGGCCGGATTTGCCAAAGGGCGTTTTGGTGTTGCAGGATTTGCCGGAGATTATTGAGCGGGCGGATGTTGATGAGAAGGTCACAGCTATGGCTCATGATTTCTTTAAACCTCAGCCTGTGAAGGGTAAGTCTCACCATTGTAACTAGATAGGAGCTCAAAGTACTAACCCAAGTCTAGGATGTCGGGCATACTTTATGCACGCTGTTCTCCATGACTGGCCCGATGCCCAAGCAACCCAACTTCTACAGAACACCAAAGATGCTATGACAAAGGGCTACTCTAAGCTCTTCGTCTACGATATCGTGCTACCACCAACTGGAGCTAGTATCAGTCAGACTACCATGGATGTTCAGATGATGTCCCTTCTTTCAGCTTCAGAGCGAACAAAGAGTCAATGGGAGGAATTGTTGACGGGGGCTGGGCTCAAGATTGTTAAGTTTTGGCCTGATCCCCAGCAGTATGAGATGCTGATCGAGGCAGAGATTGCATGAGCAAAGGACGAAAGAACGTCCATCAAAGACGGCATGTAATCACAATGAAGAGTAAAGAGATATCTGCTAGTTCGAGTATCCGCAAAGAGATTCTGATTATTTTATCATATCAGTAGGCCCAGGAAACAAGAGTAGTAGCAGTTCGGCAGTAGGATAAGCATCATCGATTTACCAACGGCAAGCTTAATCTTCCCTCTCAGATAGTGCAATAATACTAAACTCGGCGCTCCCCTCTCCTGCGTTAATAAAACGCCGCACCCCAATGTCCAAGACTTTGCTACTTAGCATATCCTCTCCCTCGCTCACAGGTCCGTAGCACATCATCCCGCCAAAGCTTCCATCCAACCCCCAGAGATTCCCGTCCATCCCTTTCACAAAGGCCATGAAGTGATACCCGATAGGATCCTCGGCATTGGGCGCCACTGTATCGCCTCTGGCTGCCGCCTTGCTGTGCGCTTCCTCCAGCACGGCTGAGTTATACAACAGATCCGCCCGCTGAGTGGGTAAGGGCAGCGCGAGAGCTTTGTCGAGGAGTCCTGCCAGAGACGATGAGGGCAAGAGGCGCTCGCGCAAGGAGCCGTTGAGTAGGGCGTGGACAAGGGCGACCATGCCGCAGGCGTTGCCGATTGTCTGGGGGAACCAGAGTACCGGGGGCACGCCGTCTGTTGGATAAAGGTCGTCAAAACCCTCCATTGAGTAGGTCTTCCGGTCAGGAGGAGCTGGCGTTCTTTTGCCAGCGGCCACATCTTCAGCCTCGACGGCGTGGTAGGCATTAGAGGGCGTGATGAAGATGAGGGCATGTGCTGGTCGCGGCACCATGGCTAGGAGGTCCGGCTCGTCGAGGGAGTAGACATCATGAAACGCCAGCTTGGGGTCCATCCCTAGGTCGTGGGCCAGATTGGTGAAGACCTGGGGGTTGTTCTCGAGCGGGACGAAGAACTTTCTGCCCTCGGGGCTGTGATAGACCGCCATCTTGACTCTCGGAGGTGCGGCTAACAGGCCTATAGCGCTGTACGGGTTAAGCGCGTCGCTTTGTATAGGTAGCAGTAAATAAGCTCAACGGGATGGCGATGCCTGGGATTGGAATTTATCATTCGGCGCTTGAAGTGGAGGCTGCGTGGCGTTTTTGTTCACGGGAGTTGGAGAAGGTAGGCATTCAGGCGTTGACGTAAGGCGGAGAGTGCTGCGCATGACGCTCCTCTGATTGGCTGAATATTGTCGGCATGTGTGCAACCTGATGCATTCAGTGGGCAACTTGACATGACAGAGGGTCTTTTATTTGTTATTCCTCAGTATTGAAAAGAGTTCGGGGCCATGCGATAGCGGCAACCAGATGTTTCTGCATTGTATTTATTGCCTCAGTGCTCCTCACGGCTGCATGTTTTAGGCCGAGACTGAGTTCCCGACAATCATGTTGCAATGGAGTCACTTAGACTAGCACTCCGCAGTGGAAGTTTAACCTACCCAACTTTATTATTTTATCAATCGGCAATATTCCAGATTCCAAGTCGGGAACCTTTACACATGCTTACCCGACAGCAGCCTGTGATTTGTTTCCAAGACCTCGGAATTCACCCGTGCGTTGACCTATCGGATCAGAACCGAACCACCGATTTTGGCGGCTGTGGTTCAGTTTCGGTGACGCAAACCTAAGCTGGTAGTTTCTAGGTTTAGTATATCAAAATTCATTCTTTCGATTGGCACTTTGTTACCTCTTTCAAAGCTATTAATTAGCCTGGCCAAGAACATTCCACACGCTTTCACGGCATCTTTGTTTTCACCACAGTAGTCTCTTGTCTCTCCCCGCTCGACTCGTCCCAAGATGGCCACCACAATGGCTGAGTCCCACCTGACTCTCATCATTGACGTCGCCAAAGAGACCAATTCCAACAGCCCCGCAGCAGACATCTGGCGCGCTCTCGATGCGGCCGTCAGTGCCATCTTTCCCAACCAGCTCTTCACCATCTCTGTCTACGACGAGGCTACTGGTACCACGTGTCGTCTTTACACCACGCGCAACGACGTCCAGCCTCTCGGTGCGCGGAAAAAGGTGACACAGAGTGCGTGGTCGGAACAGGTTCTTCAAGATGGCAAGCAGTTCTATGGCCAGTCAATTGAAGAAATCAAGAAGTCCTTTTCTGAGTGGGAATTCCTGTCTGCAATTGGCTGTGAGAGTGTATTGAACACCCCTGTTCGGAACAATGCGACTGGTGCCATAGTGGGAACCCTGAACATTCTGGGCGAGCCACATGCATTTGACGAGTCTCCGGTCAAGTTGGCTGTTGTGCTAGGTCAACTGGTCTCAGGAGCTATCGAGGCTTGTAGAGAGGACATCCTATCAATGCCTTTTGAAGGGGAGATGGAAACCGTCTAGGCTCATTACATGGCATTGCATGTCGTATGCTCCCTTGTCGCCTTGTTGACGATGGACTGAGCCAAAATAGGCGGCTCTTTTAGCTGTATACATTGCAGCTGTGTTGATGACGAAGTTATTGATATAGGCTAGGAGATTAGGTCCCTGATAGACTTAACTAATAAGAATTTTTATTAAAGCTTATATATTAAGGAGTAGTTTTAAAGTATTTTTAATATTAAGTTAGAGCCATAATAGGGGACTAAAGGTAGCCTTTTAATCCCTTAGAGAATATATTTAAAGTTCTCCTTACATATTAGACTTTACTAGATAGGCTAAAAGGCTTATCTTAGGTAATTATATAGGCAGTTAATATACTACCTAAACTATATTTATAAGATTATTTTAATTTAATAGACCTGATAGCTGATGCTTGCATCGCATGCGTTACTCGCATGCCGTATGCATGGATGGAATCGGTATACCAACGGCTTATAAGATAGTGTTAGAATAGGCAAGCCGTCTTTAATTACTTGTAGTCTCGACTTTTGCAACACGAATATTGGGTTACATAATCTATATAACTAATTGCTGGCCTTGAGACTAAGCTTTAGGCTCCTAACACACTTGACCAAGGGAAGATACCATTTTTTACAATACAAGCCTTCACCTAAAAAGCTACCACGGTGTTAGGTTTCAGAGAAAAGACAACAGGATAACAAAAAGGCGACAATCCTTTACGCCATACTTTAGTTGTAGGGACACGTTCTGGCCCGAGAAATGTCTAATAGACATATCGGAAGGATGGCTTCTCTTTGTCCGTCAGATCATTGAAGGCCTCGGAGGTTTCAACTTGGTGATCAACCTCAGTATGTCTGGTTTCTCGATCCCTCTTGCTATTCTCCTGACGACAAAGAACGCCGTACATAGAGATAGCGGCGATCGCCACGACAACACACACGAGAAGTCCAGTGAATCCAGCAGTGTAATTCGGGGCGTCTTTTGCTCTGAAAGCCTGAGGGCCTAAAGAGTAAGGACTTTAATTCTAGCCAGCAGAGTAACCTTGACACGAGCAACATACCTAGGATATTTCCGAGCGAGTATGCAATAAACCACAGTGCGTTCATGGCGACCTTCTTGGTATGGCCAGAGGTGTTGGCCATGGGTAGGGAGGTCGACAAGACATAGGGCGTGAAATAAGTCCAGAAGCATAGATAGGATGCCAACAAACCATGCCGATTATCTCGAGGGAGTTGCCAGAGGAGTACGGCACAGACCAGGGGAACTAAGTTAGCACAGGCTATGATGAAGCAACGATATCCCTTGAACTTAGCAGATGGAATAGATAACAGAATCTGGAAGGTTGTCCCGATAACACCAGTTGGGAGGTTAATGAGGATTGATTGTAAGGTGTTGAATCCAAAGCCAGACACAATAAGGCCGGAGAAGCTGGATATACCACCTTTTCTATCATTAGTGAAACTTGAGAGAAAAAAAGAGTTGATTCCGAATTCTCACCGTTGGGGACATTCTGAGCGGCCGCAAAGATGACCAGAAGCCAGGTTTTGGGATCAACCAAGAGCTCCCTGACCTGGTACCACTTGAACTTGACATCCTCAACACCTGTGTTGTTATCCTTGACCCTCTGGATAGCGACCCATTTCTCACGGTCGCTGAGTTGCGAGCTGCTGACTGGGGAGTCCGGAAGGAAGACCCAAAGAAGGCAGGCCCAGATGACGGTGAAGCCACCGATGACCAGGAAAAGGAGTCGCCACCTGGCCACGCCAGTATTCGTCAGACCGATGGCGTAGCTGACAATACCTGTGAAGGCCGTAGAAATTGTGTTGAACCAGATAGCCGTCCTCACGGGCTGCTCGGATCTGGTCCACCACATGACAGTAAGGATACTGTTGGTAGGGTATACAATGGCTTCGAGACCACCCACTTGATGCAAGTTAGTATTGAGGTTTTAAAAGGATTGGGCAATGGGGAAATTACTCAGGAATCGGACAACGGACAACCCAGCCATGTTGTGAACCGCTGCGGTGCACATGGCAAGGATGCCCCAGCCAAGAACCGTTACAGCAAGGAGCTTTCCGACAGGGAATCTTTGGATGAGAATGGCCATGGGCCACTCGAACACGAGATAGCCAATAAAGAAGAGACTGCCGACGAGCGAGAACTGATTCTTGGAAATGTTTGTGTCCTGCAAAATGCCCAGGATGGCCGTGTTGCCGATAATGTTCTTGTCGACGGCCGCCAGGATGGTCGTCACTGCCATGAGCGGCAGGACGGTGAGGTCAATCTTCCAGAGGACACGCCGGGATTCCTGGACAGAGATCGGCAGGTTCTTGATCTGCGGGTCCAGAGAGTTGACGAAGGCGGTGACGACGTCAACGTCGTGCCCTGCCGGCACGACGATGTCTCGTACGTCTCCTCGGCCGTCAGAGCCGTTAAGTGATGGGTTGGAAAGACGGCCGGTCTTTTCTGTAAGGTCATACATGTTGATGATCTGTAGAAAGAGATTGAGTAAATAGATGTGAAGACGAAAAGGGGACAATGATAGAAAGAATTGGAGGTCCCCACGACGGACGATTATAATAAATCTGGAATTCTGCACAATGGCCGAGAAGACGGAGCCTTTTATGCCATGTGCAATATTCCCAGAATCCGGGGAAAAGGGACTCTCCTTCTCCGCACGACCATCGCGTACCGTCTTGTGCTTATTTGGCAAAGCTCAGCAGGCTGACCAAATTGGCTATCTCTACCCTCAAACCTTGTCACCTCTCCACGCCTCCACATCCCAGATCTGGGTGTTAGTGCATCGGGCTAAATCAAGGGTGATAGATATGTAGCATGGGGGCGGTCTGGCGCAATATCCCCACCCCCGCAAAGCTGGCTGCAATATCTGTGGACTATCGGGATTTCGCGGTCAACTATCCGACGTTTCATTTGACAAGTGGTTTTGAGAATAGTTCTACTCTAAGTGTAATACGGCAGAGAGGACCTGGCTGGTCGGAGTCTAACCGATAGCTACAAGTTGGTACCTCAACCTGAATCAGTACTAGAGACTCACGCCCTCGGCTCAAGTCCGATATCACGCTTCCGCCAAGGATGAGAATCCTAGCTCTGTGTCCCCTGCGACAACCAACGACAGAGGTCTGCACCGTTCATTGCATCAAGGCAGATGTAAAGAAAAGGAGTCAGGGAATGAACATATTGAAGGCCCAAATTTGACTGGGCCAGACGGAAGACTTGCTTCTACCACCTCGAGACGATGTCATCTTTCTCATTTTACTATTATGCGCTATCAAAATTCTACGCCGCCATCATGAAGAAGGTGGTAACTGAGCAACATACAGTAGTGCTAGAACAGTTGAAGGATCAAGTTTCTTTTCCCAACAGGGGCATATAAAGTCTTGTGACTTGTGAATCAACTCACAATCCCTGCAGAAGACCACGGTCAAGAACCAGGCCAAAAGATGGGGATCATTGTTGGCGTTATTTGTGTACTAGTATCTACCGGCTACTCCAAACGTAATTGCCTTCTTGAGTCGTCTCCAGACTTCCTTTCTCAAAGCATGGTACTCGACTTTTGTTCTTGAAACGGCGTCTCTGTTCTCCACCGCCCTACGGAACAAGTATGAGATACAGTCTCCCAGCGTTCCCCAACTCAAGCACTTGTAGGCCTCCGGAGACGCGGGGACGTTCGTCCTGGGGTCCGCTGCGAGCTGGAGCAGCGTGCAGCTGACCTCATCAGCCATGCCGAGAAGCTGCCCATACTGGACCTTAGTCAATGGCAATCCCGCTTCGGCGCGTTGCTGCTGCACCTGGTAGGCGTGCAGCGCACTCTGCTTGTTGTGCGTGGCGAGGAACAGGTCCACCTTGGGAAAGCCGCTAGTAGTGTCAGGTCCGAGATCCTTGTATCGACGCTGCAGCAGGCCCTCTGCGATGCTGTTGTACGAGTCATCGGTCTGCTGCTTTGTGTCGTGGATGAGCCCCCGGGGCTCCGAGTTCATGTAAGCGCCTCGTACCAGCTTGACACCAATGGTAAAGCCCTCATCCTTGGCACAGCGAAGATGGCCAAGAAGGGTGGATGGTGTCGACTTCAGGTAGGCTTGGTATGTGTTGTAAACGATTGCTTGTTGTCGGTTGTATCTACGCATAAGGCTGAGCGCAATGTCGTCAATCGCAGGCTGCACAAATTGCTGTTCAGCGTCGATGAGGATGCCCGCCTTTCGCTCTATAGCCCTTTGACAGACAGCATCGAGAGCATCCTGCATCTGCTTCGGAAGAGGGGTCTGGTCCTTTAATGCTTGCATCACTCCAACTCCAGCTCCAGTGAACCTGGATATTGTCAGTGTCAATGTGAAAAAGGATGTTAGAGGTGACCTTACTTGAGTGCTAAGAAATCACCTTTCTCAAGCATGGAAGCGGTCTCCAGGACGCCCTGTCGCCATGCTTCAATTCCTTCATCGAAAGTTGGCTCTTGCGCCGGAATGCCTTCTTCTTTGAGTTCCTTGACTCCGACACCAACTTCCTGCTCCCCGGAAGCTTCAATGACGACTTCCCGAGCATATGTCAAGATCACACCCTTGAATCCCATGTCCTTGATGCTGTCGATGGTGTCTTTAACTTCGCGCACATCTTCACCGGCGCAGAAGTGTCGATATATGGTGGACTTGAAGATGGCGTTGAGTATGGGGTTCTTGTCGACGCTGAAAAGAGGCGAGTGGGGGTTGGTGAAGAAGGACAACATCGCTAAGGAGGGAGTAAGGAGAATGCGGTTGCTGGACACTGTTGCAATGAGCAATGATCTTAGCAGCATCCCCGTTGGCAGGAGGGAATGTGGCGGAGGCGCACGAGTTGGGGTTGTCGTGGTTCCAGCATGACGTCTTTGTGAGATTCTGTTGGCGGTTCGGAGAAGAGTAAGCCGTGAGTGTGCCTGAATACGTGAAAGAGCAGAGGGCGCTGGACGCATTGTGTCTATACGCAGGTGTGCTGTGCAAGTTGTTGGTAATGGACAAGGATTATGGCATTAGATATCCCAAGTCTACGATTTTGAAAACAACGCTGCCGGGTAATTGAATTCCACTGGCTTTTCGCATTCAAGAGTCTGACCCTCTGTCCCTATCCGGACATAGTGGTGTGGTACGTACAGTAGCCTACCCTGCATATCGGTGCTCGGACCAGCAGCCGATACCCCTCCCATCGGCAACGTGTCACACGGCCCGTCGGCAGTTTGCCCACCCCGACCTCTTCCCAGTCTTCGGTAGCAAGGATAGCCGACAGCTTTACCCCAACTCTTGATCACGCCAGGAATGTGGCTGCGCCTGACTTTACTGGCAGTCTATCGCAGCGCGCGAAAGTAAGCGGTAGCTCAGACCATATCGAAGCATTTCCCCGGCATCGAGTTGAAACAGATACGTAGTAGGGGCGCTGTTGTTTGACTGTTATCCCTGGAAGCAAGCTCGTCTTTAATATGATATAGACTGTGTATATCCGTATTTATGCTTGCGCACTTTTCCTCCGGTGGACCGTGAACCTCTATAAGTCTGCCAAAGGGAGCGCAGGACATGTTAAGCTGAACTTTTATAATTGCTGTCGCATCTGATCTATGACACGAGTGAAGTGATAAGACTTGGAAATTATTCAAGTGACAGCTTGCAATCCAAAGACTATTAGAAAGTAGAAGCAAATTCCAGCAAGCCGAGTCTTGTGTTTTGTTTCATTATGCTGTCCATGTATAGACCTTGTGACTCATTGTCGGCACTGCGAGTAATAATAAGAGGTTATCTTCGACCAACTCGTGTCCTTAAAAGCACATCTTGCATACATCCAAGATAAAACGAGCGCGATAGATAATACACTATTTCCAGAGGACCCAACGGCCAAGCCAGAGCTCTACAGTGATTCACTCCTGGATTCCACCAATAGTCTCCCCAAGGGAGTCGCTTTGAGTTGCAGATCACATATTGAGCTTTTATACCTCGTTAGAAGGGTACTTGACCTCGTCGGCACCAATTAAATCTTCCTTCATACTCCTGATGCTTGTGAAACGAGATAGGAGGTTAGTGCTGGTGGCTTTGTCGTTGGTGCCCGAAGCCCGACCGCCTCCGAAAGGCTGGTGACCAACAACGGCGCCACTGCTCTTACAGTTGACATAAAAGTTACCAGCCGACTGTCGAAGAGCCTTCTCGGCTTCAGCGATGGCGGTTCGGTCGCGGGCAAAGACGGCGCCGGTAAGGGCAAACTTGGTAGACCTGTCGATCAACTCCATAGTCTGCTTGAATTTGGCATCTGGGTATACGTAGACGGAGAGGATAGGACCAAATAACTCATTCTTCATGAGGCTGTGTGAAGGATTCCTGGTTTGGAAGATAGTGGGCTGGATAAACCAACCCTTGGACTTATCAGTAGAGCCGCCGGCAAGGAGCTCGACTTCCTTGTCTGCCTTGGCGTCCTGGATGACCTTGTTAAGCTTCTCCCAGGACCGCTTGTGGATGACAGGGCCAATGAAGTTCTTGAAGTCCTCGGGGGGTCCGACCTGGAGCTTCTCCGTCTCTGCGACCAGCTCCTCTTTAAACTTGAGCCAGATAGACTCGGGAACATAGAGACGAGACGTAGCAGAGCACTTCTGTCCCTGGTACTCGAAGGCTCCACGGACGGTGTTGACAACAGCATTCCGGATATCAGCGCTATTGTGGATTAGATGAAAATTCTTTCCACCAGTTTCTCCAACAACACGAGGGTAGTTCTCGTAGAGACCGGACCGAATTCCGTCACCGATCTTGCCGTAGAGATCACGAAAAACATCAGTGGAGCCTGTAAAGTGAAGAGCACCAAACTTGGGGTGCTCAAGAACAGCCTTTGTGACCTTCTCGGCGTCACCGGGGAGGAACTGAATGACACCATCCGGGAGACCGGCTTCCTCGAGGACCTTCTGGAGTACGTAGCCAGCATAGATGGCGCTGTCTGACGGCTTCCAGATAACGACGTTACCCATGATGGCTGGTGCAGCAGTCAGATTGGCGCCAATGGCTGTGAAGTTGAAGGGGCTGATAGCGTAAACGAAGCCTTCGAGGGGGCGGTACTCCATCTTGCTGCAAATGGTTTATTAGCACGCTTACAGTGTTGGAGTGATCACCGAGGTGTTCAGCTTACTTCCAGACTCCGGCATCGTTCATTGTGTTCTGCTGCTTGTACAGCTCAGCGGCATAGTGCACGTTGAATCTGAGTCCACAGTTAACCATTATTTCCTAATCACATCCGCTGCTGACCAGGCTGATAATAAGTACCTGTAGAAATCACAACTCTCGGCTGCTGAGTCGATCTCGGCCTGCCAAATGTTCTTACCCTGCCCGAGCATAGTGGCGGCCATGATCTCGTAGCGGTACTTTCCAGCAATCAGCTCCGCTGCTCGGAGAAAAACGGCCGCTCGGTTCTCAAATGAAGTGTTGGCCCAATCCTCTTTCGCGGCCATGGCCTTCTCGATCGCTTCCGACACCTGGTCAGGGGTCGCTGTAGCATATTCGGCGAGGGTAGTGGTATGGGCAGAGGGAATGGGTTGAGAGCCAGTGGCTTTGGAGGCGACCTATACGGATAGTCAAGTGAGCCTTTTGCCTGGAAATTCACTAGAATAGAAAAGAAGACACACCGTCTGGCCACTGATCTTTAGCGGAACCTTGATGGGAAGACGCTGCTTGAGGCTATCAAGAGCTTCCTGCAACTTTTGGCGCTCCAGGGAACCCTTTGCGTAGGTGGGCTACAAGCATGTCAGTATGATTGATCATCTCAAGCTGAATCGGGCGTAGGGCTGCGTAGGTGTGCATACGTTGGGTTCATTTCGAATTGGGGGGACCCTGAAAGTCCCCAGGCAGCGGGTAGTGAGCTGTCGAGGAGCTGCCTGACAGCGAATAGCCTGACGGACGTTCAGCATCATGTGTGAAGCCATTTTTGTGAATTGGAGAAGTATGTGTCTTGACAAAAAAAAAAGAAGGGAGAGGGGTCAATTGGAGGACAATTAAAACTACTTAAAAGGATGTGAGTTAAGAATGACCCCAAACAAAGGAAACCCAGAAATCTTTTACGAGTCCGCCATCGGCTATAATCGGTACCGGGCGACAACTACCGTGATGCCACAACACCGCACGCAGATCCAAGCTACCCAGGCTGGCAATCTCTTGGAGTGAATTACCGACCACCAAGTTAACATTGAATGCCCTCTCGGCTGATGTGCCCGAAATATGAGAATAGCGGGATTGGAGGGCCTGTCCCGGTAAACAGCCGATGGACTCTGCGGCAGATATCCGATGCCTTGTCCATGTCAATATCCCGACCTTGCCTATCTTGCCCCCACACTCTAACAACCTAACAAGATCACGGAATGTGGCGCGGCTCTAGAATGGTCTCGGCGTGTTGCCGACTTCGTGGGTGCGGTTCTGCTGTATTATCAGATACCGCTCACAAGGTTTGAGCCTGCAAAACAAGAAATCCCTGTAAGCAACACACACGCACGACAGCCATGGCAGACACAATCAGAGATATTGTCGCGGGGGCGATGGGGGGCGCTGCGCAGGTTCTAATTGGTAAATATTCCAAAAAGGTATAGGAACGAACAAGACACTCACTCATGATGGATGATTAGGGCAGCCATTCGGTATGATACTCCATATTCAATTAGTTCTCGTAATCATCTCTCACCCACGCTTGTAGACATCGTCAAGGTGCGACTTCAAGCATACGGTGGTGACGCATTAGATGTTACTCGAAAGATCTGGAGTTTAGAAGGACCACGATCTTTCTACAAGGTTAGAAAACACACTTGTTACCATGTTCTTGGTGCACATTTGCTGACTGAACACTGAACCCAGGGCACTCTACCGCCACTCCTCGGAGTCGGTGCCTGCGTTAGACAAACCATCCCGCATAACTCTTGAGGACTAGTTATTGACGATTTCATAGGTCAGCATTCAATTTGGTGCATTTCACTTTTTCAGTCAACAGTTTGACAACTTCAACAAGCAGCAACGTTCTAACCATGAAGGCTCCTTGTCTCTCGGCCAGGTTTACCTAGCTGGTGGCTTAGCCGGTGTCACCAACAGTGTCATATCTGGCCCTATCGAGCACATCAGAATTCGACTTCAGACGCAGCCCCATGGTGAGAAGAAGCTTTACCCTGGGGTATCTGACTGCGTCAGAAAGATCTGGCAACACCAGGGCATCTCAGGCATCTACCGCGCCCAGGCCGTCACCATTCTTCGCGAATTTCACGGCTACGGAGTCTGGTTCGCCGCGTACGAGGGCCTCGTCCAGCATGTCGCAAGGATGGAGGGTAAGAATCGAAGCGAGATTGAGAGCTGGAAGTTTGCAGTATGCGGCGGTCTTGCTGGGGAGTTTCTTTGGCTCCTGAGCCATCCTCTTGATGTCATCAAAAGCAAGATGCAAAGTGACGGATTTGGTCACGACCAAAAGTACAAGACCATGCGAGAGGCTATTCGACAGACTTGGCGAATGGGTGGTATTTCTGGGTTGTTCGAGGGTATTGGTCCTGCGCTACTGCGAGCTATGCCAGTTTCAGCGGGAACATTTGCGACGTGAGTCTGTTTTCTATTCTTCAAGCTTCACAGTCCAGGCAGTTCAAAGCTGATTTTTCTTTAGTGTCGAGGTTGTTCGCAAGATGCTGTCGAGTGGAGATGAGACGCCAGAGATGATAGAAATCTAAATTCGACCACATTTATTCTAATCAAGAAAACCTATACGTCTACGGAACATAAGCTATGCATTCATTATGTCACATCGCAGAAACCACTATCATATCTACATCAACCAAAAGTCCCAATAGTCTGTTATCTGTCACCTCCCAAGTTGAAGATCTTGCCAATCTCTGCCCAGTCAACGTCATCCACGCCTGTCAGTGGTAACGTCGGATCGTTGAAGCTAGAGTAGATATCAGTAGCCTCATGGCTCAGATCCATCTCGAAGCTCTGAGGCATATTGAAATCCAGAGGATTCGCCTGCTGGTCCGGACCCATCTGCCACGGCACCCAGGCCGAGGTGGTCATGTACTCATCTTGAACTGCAAACACGCGTTCACCGCTTGCATCCAGTGTAGCTCGCTCAGTAAAAGGTAAACCTCCAAGGCTTGAATCACCTTCTTCCAGCCATGATTGTCTGTCCGTATCGGATGTTGGCGACCAGACCTGTTCATAAAACTGTTTCAGCTCGTCCAGTCGCCGCTGGGCTGCATGATTCCCAGCCCTGGAGAGGTGTCTCAAGATTCCAGCAGCTTGCTTAAGGCCTTCTGGAGGCGCTCCGTCTTGGCCTTGTACAAAGCCCATCATTGTCAATATGAATGCAGCCGAGAATGTAGCATCGAGATCGAAATAACCAAATAATGCTATCACGTAGTCAATATATACACCTGTACTGTGTCGACAGGGTCCGACCGCTTACCGATTCGCTTTTCTGCGCGGAGAGTCGAGAGGATTCGGATGCTCTTAGTGGCAGCATCCTGACATGTCAGGCATAGACGATTGATTACTGGAGACACACGTGTTGGAGGGCTGTCGCTCGATAATTGTACTTTATCCTTGACCCGTTGTAGCAGTATTGGTCTGATACACAGTATGATTGCCTAAGAAATCGAGTCAGAAAGTTGGAACGAGACGAAAAGCATGTTAACAGTGACCTACCTGAAATAACATCAAATACAGCGATGCGCTTGTCCTCGTGGTGGCGGTCGTCATGTTACAGAAGTCCATGGCCAACGAACTAGGTATGGAACGCCCTATCTCGTAAAGATTGTGAAGAGTGTCTTGAATCCTTGTCACAAACTCAGTCTGAGTGATTGTCATGTTTCCATAGAACGCTGTAGAGGTCAGAACGTTTACGGTCTAGGACAAATCTGACAAACTCACATGCCATGATCTCGTCTGTCGTTTGTGCTATTCTGATGTTTATAATCATCGGTAGAGGGTGTTGATATCCAGAAAAAGGGTGAGGAAGCTCAGCCCGCAATTGGCGTCCATCCACGCCCGGAGGAAAGCCAAGACCGGTTGATAGGCGACTATAATTACTTGTCAGCCAAAGAAAATGCTCATAATGCACTTCCCGGATCCACTCACCGATCAAGCATGTAGGCCGTCCACCAGACCCTTACTCGGTGATTGACTTCCGATCGGAGCCCCTGCTGTTCATCATGTGGAAGCTGACAGCCCAGGGCCATGGCTAGACGCAGAGCAGAACCAACCTTTACTATGGTCAGCTTTCTATCTTGGAGGAAAGGATGAGACATTGAGACTACAAGACGCACATAAACATAGGCATCATGCTTACGATCACACCACTGCAGGTAGAGACCAGCCAAACACAGCGTCTCAACCGCCAACACTCCATGTGAACCAAGTTCGTAAGTTGGCGGAATATTCTTGATTGCTTCTGCAAAGAACGAAGTTCCTGGCGGGGACGCTGGACTCTCACTCGGCGATCCTATGAGCATACCTACTGCCATAACCAATAGGTACTGTGTATACCACAGTGTTTGCATCTGCCTGAGCCGGGTAGCTTCATCATGATATAGGAGATCTAGAGAGTCAGAAAACGCTCTCGGATCGACAAAGTGTTGGTTAACTCCCATCAAAGATAGAAACGTCTCAAAAAGCTGACGGGATTGGCCCTGGGATATCAACTCGGGCGTGGGACTTCCGTGTACAAGAGTGGCAGCGGTGTTCCATTGGCTTTGCTTTGGTGGACCATTGCCAGAAGACGTAATTATTGTGGTTGCCGGCGAACTGTGGGAGTTTTGGTTGTCGACGTGATCGCGTACCATGGTTCGCACGCTGCACTCAAAGGCAGGCCCAGACACAACAGTAAGAACTGTGAGAATTCAGAAAGACATCCGTTTTCAAAGACGGCATATGAGATGTGTTATGGTTCTTACCTGGACTTAGCAGCATCTCTGCTTCCCGGGCAGGCTCAGAATCTCCCTCGACTGCATCACGGTTCATGGACGGCCCAATAAAAGGGGTGCTGGATTGTTTCCCTACGCGGAACACATATTTAGATCGAAATCAAGTCAGGTGGGTGCAGAGAAGACTTACGCGATACTTCTTCAAGTTTCTCTTCTAAACCTTTAATGGTCTTGACAAGGTCTTGGACGTAGCTTCTGAACGTTAGATCATTTTTATTTCTTAACTTTATATCTCCGTCGCTGAGGACAAATAAATAGATAGCGTATAACTTACGCCTCCGAGTAGCCGCGGCGAGCGATGGTGCCAAATCTACACTCGAAACCGTGGCGCGTGCAGGTCAGACATGGTTGACTGCCAGAACACTTGACTTTTCGACGGCGGCAGCTTTCACAACTATATTAATGTAAGCAATTTTGGTTTAAGTGGGATCTTTTTTTTTCCCCTTCTTCTTGTTCTTGTTCTAGGGTCTTCTACTTACGCGTTGCTCGCCCGAGTGAGCGGAACTGTGGTATTTGCTGGCATTTTCTCCGGTGCAAAGGAAAAGACAGAATCAGCGAACAAGGGCCTCGATCTGCGTTCTAGGGTAAAACGACCATGAGAGGAAGAGGGGAAGCGAGGCATATGAGGAGGACACGAGGGGATCGGGGATGGAATGATCCGCATGGCGGCTTTAGACTACTACTATAGTTAGGTTCATCGGTAATTTGTCCACCCATGCACTTTGATGAGAACGGTAGCCGATAACACACTCCCGGCAAGTTTTAGCTGGCTTGTGAGGGATTATGAGACCAGCGATATTGAGACTTCTAGGCTGGAGAGTATATTGGCTCAAATTGATTTGGAATTTATGGGTTTTCTTCTTTTTTAGTTTTCTATTTATTGAGTCTGATCTTAACCTTGCTATTTCAACGCTCATTTAGTAGCTTCTTCCAAAAAGCGTCCACTTCTGCGCCAACCTGTCACATTCTGGGTTCAAACACTTGCGTCCCTCTTCAATCTCACTAGGCTGCTCAAACGGAATGCACAGACTCTTCATTCCCATTGAGGCGGTTCTCTGGTCGCCCAAGTCATCCTCCTTGGTCGTCAACTGCTTGATGCGCTCTTCACATTTACCATCAAGACAAAATGGGATCAGGACCACATTCTTGCTGTCCAAGGCGGGAGTAACCTCGTCCCAATTTCCAATGACTTTGCGATGCTGGCTGTATGCTAGATTCGCCTTGTCGTACATACCCTTCTGGATCTGTTCGAGCAGCCTGGTCGCCTGGGGCCCAATCTCGGCAACAGGTATCGTTCCCTTTTCGTTGTTGTGCCTGACGGCATAGCTGACGACATGACTTTTCGCGTCTTTTGGTCCGAATTCCATTCTCAAGGGAACACCCTTCATCTCCCAGTCGTTGAACTTCCACGCTGGAGTGTATCCTTCACGCGTGTCGACCTCGACGCGGAGGCCCAACTTCTTCAACATCTTGCGCATCTCGTACAGCTGGTCCATCAGACGGTCCTTATCTTCGGCTGAGGTCTTCCTGTTGATGCCGACGGGCACCATCACGATCTGGGTCTGGGCCACGCGAGGCGGTAGAACCAGTCCCTTATTGTCGCCGTGGATCATGACCATAACGCCGATGACTCGTGTTGAAAACGCCCACGAGTTCTGCCAGACATAGAGTCGCCCCGAGCCGGCCGGATCTTCAACAGAGATGTCAAACATCTTGCTGAAGTTCTGACCCAGACAGTGCGATGTAGCTCCCTGGATGCCTCGTCCGTTGGATGGGATGTATCCTTCCAAGGTCATTGTATAGTACCCCCCAGCGAATCGTTCATTTTCCGTCTTTCGACCACGGACAACGGGCACCGCCAGAAGATCTTCATAGAGCTGTGCATATAGCTCCAAGATCTCCAGAACCTCGATTCCCGCCTGCTCTTCTGTCAGATGAGCTGTATGACCTTCTTGCCAGAGAAATTCGCGGGTGCGCAGGAAGGGTGTCGTTTGTTTTGTTTCCCAACGCACAACAGAGTTCCACTGGTTCAGTCGCAATGGAAGATCTCGGTGACTTCTGATCCATTTGCTGTAATAGGGATACATGATTGCCTCGGAGGTCGGACGAATAGCTACGGGAACGTCTAGTTTCTTTTCGCCGCTGAGAAACGTTAGCGCGGGTCCTTGGACAGTATTTGTTGACTTGCGCTTTTGTTACCCATGCCAGTTCTGGTGCAAAGCCTTCAATGTGATCTTTTTCCTTTGCCAGTGACTTGGCCGACAGAAACAGAGGGAATGCTGCTTCGCCAATGTCCATTTCGTCGAGATGGCTCTGGAACCATTTGCGTAGCTCATTCCAAATGAACATAGTCAGCGGGCGGAGGACAAAGAGCCCAGCAATTTCTGTATAATACTCGACCATTCCGGCTTTGACTACCACTTCTTGATACCATTGTGGGAAGTCCTCCTCTTTCGTAGCAGTGATGCCGATTATCTCGGCAGGCTTTTGGTTCAGGGTCAGAGGTGGTTGGATTGACTAGAGATATTGATTAGCGCTGATGTCAAAAAACCATCGCAGAAAAAGATTGGTTCATACCATTGCTGCTGGTTTCGGTGGCCCCGTTGATTCGAGCTGTTTGTAAAGCATATATTAGTGCAATGAAAATTATTTGACAGAGTCAGAATCTTGTGAAGAACCTTGCCAGTAATTGAAAGAAACGAAAATTTCTTGGGGTATCTCCTTGACGACTTTCCCTCGACATTTCGGTGATTTTTGTCGGTACATCGTGTCTGCCGACAGGGGGAACCGTACCCTATACGGCCGGCTATCTGTCCAGCCTTCGGTAACGCCTTGTCACTACCGGTAGAGCTATCGGGTTGCTAACCGTCGGCAAGCTAAGTTGACTAGCCTACCCGGTCCCACTTCTCGGGTGTTAGCCGACGATCAACAGCGCAAGGTACTCGAAGGGAGAAAGTTTTGGTTACAGGTTACACAGTTGTGCAGTGTGTCTTACCAATTTAAATGGGTTACCGTCATTCCTAACGCCTTTCTTACGTCCAATCGTCCACAGCAGCCAATGCAAAGGCTGAGTATTAATTCATACAACAAGCTCTATCAGAGATCCCTCGCCTGATATCCATACTCAAACCGAACTAGGGCTACAAGCAGCAACAATGACGGTCATCACAAGGCCAGCAGAAGCAAATGGTAGCTTTTTCGGAAGCGCAGAATACTATCCTCCCGATGCCATTTTCGCTTTGACCGAAGCGTACCATAAAGACCCCTCGCCAAACAAGGTCAACTTGGGCCAGGGGGCGTACCGAGATGATCGCGGATTGCCGCAGGTTCTGCACTGCGTGGAAGAGGCTTTGGACGCTCTAGATGAGAAGGGATTAGATCACGAGTATCTCCCCATCTTGGGGTTGACTGGGTTTCGAGAACGCGTTGCCGAGCTAGTCATCGGCAAGGATGTTTTCAAGTCCAAGAAAGACCGGGTAAATGACAAAATGATCAATAATCCTCATTTCTTTCTTCATTCTAACAATCAACCAGGTGGCAAGCTGTCAAACGCTCTCTGGCACCGGCTCGCTTCATCTGCTCGGCAAGCTAATTGCCCACTGTCACTCATCAAAGCCAAAGATCTTGATACCCCAGCCAACATGGTCCAATCATACCCATATCTATGCATCGCTAGGTTTTGAATGCATTTCGTTTCAGTACTACGACCCAGACACCAAGTCATTAGACTTCGACGCCTATATGACAGCGCTGAAAGAGGCAGAGCCTGGTACCGTCATCATTTTACATGCCTGCGCTCACAACCCTACTGGCTGCGATCCTTCACAGGAGCAGTGGTGCCAGATCGGTCGAACGGTTAAAGAGCGTAGATTATTCCCCGTCTTTGATGCGGCATATCTCGGTTTCAATTCTGGCTCCTATGATCGAGATGCATTTCCCATAAGGCACTTTGTGAACGACCTTGAGCTAGAAGCAGCTATATGCATTTCCTTTGCTAAGAACATGGGACTCTATGGTATGTTGACTCAACTCCATGCGCCCTTGTCCTCTCCTGACCGTCCTAGGTGAACGTGTAGGATGCCTAGTTCTCCATACATCCACGCCTGAGGCGGCCACGAACTCGACATCCGTGCTAGAGCGAATACAACGAGGTGAAATCTCGAATCCACCTGCTTACGGTGCAAAGATCGTCGAAACTGTGCTGAGCAATCCAGAGCTCACCGAAACATGGTATCAAGACATGGCCAACATGAGCAACCGAATCTCGTCTATGAGACACGCCTTGTATAACAATCTACTTGACCATGGTAAGAATCTCTGTTCTACAGGCACATAGACTCATACTGACATGGCATGATGCAGCAACCCCGGGCCTCTGGAAGCATCTGTTTCGACAATCAGGAATGTTTGGCTTCCTTGGCCTGTCCCCAAACGTTGTCAAAGAGTTGCGAGGTATGAGAAGCTCACCCCTATTTATCCAGATAGTCACTGACCTGGCGAAAGAAACATACCATATCTACATGGCTGATAACGCCCGAATTTCTCTGGCTGGTCTTAATGAGAGCAATGTCGCATATGTGGCTGCGTCTATTGCTGCATGTGTTCGACGAGAGGTACAGCACTAGCAACAACCAATGGTGTTATCTCAATGGTCAAACTGATCATAGCACATACATGTATGTTCTATGGCACGCAATGGAATTCCTGCCCCTATTCTCAGAACAGATAGTCCTACGACGGCAAAATAGGCAGGTCAATGGCACCATCAGACATGGAAGAGCAAAGAGCCGTTTTGTGAAGATTGAAGGGGATGGTGATTAGATAATAGCGAGAGGTGTAGCAATCTGAGCCCGCTTGTTGCCATCACCTACATTGCAAGCGGCCAGGAGTATTATTATTCTTGTTGGTGTCTTTTCAAAGCCTCAGGGACCGGAAGGCTTGGCTGCTCCCTCTTCTACCTCGCTGTTCATGACCTTATTCGACTGCTGGTTAAGATGAGTACCCAGCAAAGTCCAGAACGTCTAATCCAGTGAGGCCCATCAGGAAATTCTGGTCATCATGATACAGCGTCGAAAGATGGTCGTTCCCCACTATATCCAACCCTGACGCCCCGCTGGGCAGTGATATCGATGGTCTCTGTGCAGAGGAAGCCTCAACCCCTGGATGTAACTCTCCACTCCAGCTCTCTCCAAGGGTTATCGAGACTGGCCATAACGACGGTGTTCCTCCTACTGGTACATTCCCAGAAGTTGTCTCCCTTGCCGGTACCGAGTATCCTTGATTGAACGACCGCTCCTGCGCCGCAAGCCACTCTGCCCAACAATTGTACGCTGAGGGCGACGTTGCCTCTTCTCGTTCATGTGTATCCGTGAAAGTGCCCGACTGGCGCAGTTTTCGAGCCGATTCGTCAGAAATGGACTGCAGTGTTTCCACGAACTTGACGCCTACTGTGGCTGCTGGGTTCCCATTCACCATCTGCCGTAGACAGTTGAGACCAAAGTTTACCCTAGTATCGTACGTAGAGTCACGCTGGAGGATGCCTGCAATAAGAGTAATGATAGTTGCAATGCTGCAACCTTGGAAGTCGGTAAATGAGAATCGAGCAGAGTTTCCAGATTGAACAAGTTTCTCGAATAACTGGAGTAGCTTTTTGGCTGCTCTAGTGCAGGAAGCGGACAGATTCTCGGCAGTCGGATCAACTGGACGGGGTTGAGATCCTTGGCCTAGGTGACGTTGAAGATTTGTCCTTACTCTCATGATTAGAGAAGCCTTTCCAATAACGATCCAAGCATAGTAATAATTGAGGTAGAGATGGAAAATCGCTCGGTATCTTGAGCTGCGTGGATCGGTATCCTCCAAGTCAAATTCTTCCGGTAAAGACCTTTTCCAGCTCCTTAGTTCAGCTTGGATTTTATTTGGATCAGTTGGTGTTGAGGAGTTTGTAAGCCAGCTACAGCTGCCAATTAGCTGTGAATCTTTCCGTTGAGGGTACTTACGTTGAGTCTGAGTAGCCATCGAGGATCAGCATTAGGCGCGCATAGGCTATCTGGAGCTCAAGATTTTCGAATTTCTGGTCCCTGTCGAGAGAAGGCATCGGAGAAGGTAGGGGTATTCCTATGATGGTTGCGGGGACAGATCGGGGACGATTTAACTTTAGAGTTGTGCAGCTACACGGTTGTTAAAAAGATGGTCATTGACAGTCAAATCCTGTGAGTTTACTTACCGTTCGAGTGAATATATTGACCACCAGAGTCGGCACCGAATCTCCTTCTCCCGGTCATCAATCATCTGATCATCTGGACTCTGATGCAGATCAAAAGCTAATGCCTTTCGCAACGCCATGCCCATGTAGACATAGGAGGAACCGGCAGCATTCAGAGGCATGAGATATATACCAAGAAGAAAGCATGCTTGAATGGCTTTCAAGTCCGTCCTTTCGATCACATCAGGTATCAAAAGTTTGGCTTGTCTAAAAAAGACTCGGCCGAGATCACTGTCATCGCCGTGAGGCAATGGAGAGTCTATCGGCATCTCGAGAGGTGTCCAGTTACTTCCCAGAGCGAACAGTCCAAGAGCTAGGCAGATAAAGCTTGGATCGGTTCGAAGTGGTGACGAGCTGTTGGTGTAGAACTGGGCAATCTCATCAATAATTTGAGCTTGATCAAAGTAGAAAAAAATGTCAACACCATGTCTGATACACACTGACACCAAAAAGTCGGCCACAGGTCGTGGGGGGAAAGAATCAACTACGGACTTTAAGCGTGCATACTCGCAGTCCGAAAGGCGGTTGGTATGGGCGGTTTGCTAGAGATGTCAGCAAGTGGTTAGACAACCGAATACTTAAACAAACCGCTTGCGTAACGACGACTTCCTGTTCTTCGGGATTGGGGACAGAGTCTACGAAGAAAGCTTGCCTCAATCTAGAAAGAAAACGGGGCCAGAGTATACTTTCAGTCGGGTCTTGATGGGTAAGCAGAGGTTGCCTGCATAGACGGGAATGTAACATACGGTTATCAATAGTAATGTTTTCCTCGGGTCCGTCCAAGACTTCATTCTGAAAGACAACGGGTCGAGGCGTCGAAGTCTCGCTGTCTGATGAAGGAAGCCTCTCCCTGCATTACGTCAATAAGCCTTGGGTTAAGGCGATGACAGGAAGTACATACTTTTCGAAGTGGCAGCTGAGGTTGCTGGCCTGACATCGCTGGCATGAGCCTGGGCGTGTTTCGATGCATTTACTTTTTCTTGCTTTACAGCGATCGCAACTGGGACCAAGGTTAGCCGGCACTCTTTTATAAATAGTTAAGCTTGTGGTGAGAAGTGCCTACGCTCTGGCTGCGCGCTTCCGGCTGGTGTCTGCAACGCGACGACGCCGGCGATGGCGATTCTGAGATTGTTGGTCCATATGGTATTAGCAGAGTCTGCTCATCCGTATTAGGAAACGAGGTCCGTGTCCAGACGTCGGTGAGTTGATCTACTGGCAATACAACTTTATGAGGTGGAGCGTGGAGTTGGTTTGGGGTTGATGGCCGAGGTTGACTAAGCAACAGCATTGGTAGAGTTTGAGCTGAGATCGAGAGCCGGATAAATAACATCCGTGATCCCGACATGATGACGGCGTCTGGAACTAATCTGAAACTGGAAAGGTGATTTGGACTGTTGATGGCCCGGCCTGAAGCTTCTGTTTAGGTTATCTTGGTGCTATATCGTCGTTCTCAGCCCTTCGCATCACTATAGCGCAAGTCTATTTGTCCCAGTCATGCAATCCAATTAGTTACATAAACCCAGATACCCTTCCCGTAATTCTCTATTTAATAGACATCCAAAGCCAAAGGTTGGTAGAACTCGCACACATCTCACAATAGTAGCCGGCATGATGTCTGCTCGGATGCGAGACAATCTCTCCACCACTGTAGCGCCGCTGTTTCTGTTGTAATAGTCCAAGCCGAGGAGATGCACGGGCGTGGAGACGATTTGTGACAGTATTGGCACCGTCGTCTGAGTTGCCATGATCTTCCCATGCGGGCTGGCAAACACCGAGTCGGGAACAGCTGAAGCGAGCAGCGTAGGCAGTGTGAATGAGCCAAACATTGTTGCACTGTCTCGGATTAAGAAGGCCGTCATCGAAGCCCTCGAAACGCTCTTAACGACCTGGCGCACTTTGGCGCATTCCGTAGGCTGAGAGCTGTATATCTGCGCCAACTTGAGGTCCTTCCAGATACCAAGGGGCACATTGACCAGCGAGATGGGAATGAACGACAAACTGCTGATGGTTGTGCTCTTGAGTCTTGATGCTACCGTTTCAGTAGCATTCGCAGTTCCAAATGTCACCGCATACAACACCCAAACTATTCCAAAAGGCCGACTGAATATAAAGGATACTGGTTTCTTCAAACAATTTTGCGAGTGCCGCCTTAGGCCTTCGATTATAGGTTGGTTGAAGGATGACTTTTCAACAAGAGCCCTGACTAAAGTTATTTGAGATTGTCCTAGCCTTGAAGGTAGAGGACTTACCTGTCTAGCAGAACTACAGAAGGTGCGACAAATGCAGAGGCAACCATGGCAGCTACTGTATCACCCACAAGATCGCGTCCAAGGATAAAAGCACCATAGCTTCCAGAGTTGCTAGGCTCGCTTTTAGAACTCACGGGCGGCATGACGCACTCCCACCACGTTGCAAAGTTGTCCTCCCAAAGCATTTCTGTTGGTAATTAGTCGTTTGAACTCAAGGGGCTCAAAGGTATTTTCCGGTGATGTCAGGTATCAGTCAATCAGAATGGAGCTGATATCGGGGATACCTTAGGATGGTGGTGGTTCCAGGGAACTCGGTATGTGAGACCGCTAAACTAGCAATAAGCCTTTTCCATAAAAGATGTCATGTACAAACTCCCATAGCATGCAAGATTTCGGACTGGTTCCTGCGGAAGAGAACCGCATTGTTGCCGAAACATCAGATCGGACAGCCTCTCTATCGGCGTATTGAGCCGTGACGTGTCGGTTATGAGCCGGATTGTGAACTTTCAGGTTCGGCCAATACCCGAGAAATTGGCCACACGGATATATCCGAACAGTTCTACGCCCTTACGTGAACATGCATGTCATCTGTTTCCTTCTCAGTGGGCTGCAACGTATCAAAAGTCCCAGAAGAGCCTGGAATGGTTTTACTTTTCCTTCCGCTACTGAGTTGGCTCTACTGACTGGCCCCGGATATTACTCTCGTGGAGAGTGGCTTCCAGGCAAGGCCAACATGCCATTCTTGATTGCTATAGGCGGCTCAGGTGGTAATGAAGTGCTGCTTCGACAACGACGGTTGTGGACGATATCCTCAATGATAAAAGGTGATTGTTACCCACCTCTTAGCGCAGAATCTTGGGCCGGAAATCCCTCATACACATGTCTGATAGCTGGTTTCTGAACCCTGCTGTCGGTTTGTCAACAAATACAGATCATGTGAGTACAACTTTGTAATTCGAAAGATGAAGCTGGAGAAATCTATACCTGCTTCCTTGATTCAAACTCGGACCTGGCAGCTGTGGATAAGTTGGATTGGGCGTTTATACACAATATGTTGCTAGCAATAGAAGAATAATGAGAAACGAGTCGAAATCTAACCTAAGTCCCATTATTCTTCCCTGGTCTAATCCCACTAAGCCAACGGTACGCGCTTTCTTGCTTGGGGCTGTGCACAAATAGTAAAGCTATAGCTTCGCCGATTCCATAAGTGACTTTTCCATTTTCACAAGTGATTCCAACGCGCTGATATCTCCTTCACTTAGCTTTCTCACATCCACATTTGGAAGTGGGCTCCTAACTTTCCCGCTGCCATAACCGAACCACTTCTCACAAGCCGTCTTCACCCCTGAGATACCAAACTTTAGAAGAGCCCAATCAGCCTTGGACAGTTCGGCTTGTATAGCCTTTGCCCTCTCAAGGTCCCCAGCGGCATAGAGCCGAATGACCTCGACATGAACCCTTGGAACCACGTTTGCCAAGGCTGAGATGACGCCGTTGGAGCCGACTACAAGGCCCGGCAGCAAGAAGTCAGCCTTTCCAGCAAAAGCGGCGAATCTTTCTTGGTCGACCGACGCCGAGATACGTTGCAGCTTGCCCAGGTTGCCGCATGTAAGCTTAACACCCACGATGTTGGATGACTCGTTGGCTAGCTCGAGAATAAGGTCCGAGTCAACGTCGATGCCACTAGTGACTCCAGGAAAGTTGTATATGAGTACGGGAAGGGGAGATTTAGAAGCAACCTACAATAACGTTAACATACGTAATGCCGGTGAGTGGAAGCTACTCGTACCCCGAGATAGAAGGCTTTGATGACCTGTTTGTTCATGGCCGCACTCCAGTAACTTGGAGGTAGCACAAGAGAAAAGTCTGCACCCGCATCGCAAGCAGCTTGGATGTGACGAACAGTTTTCAGCACGCTGTTTGCGCTGCATCCCGCGATAATCACAGCATCGCTGTTGAACCTGGACACCAAGCCACGAATATGTCGGATAACTTGAGCTCGTTCATCGGACAATAGGTGAGTAGCTTCTCCGTTGCTACCATGAACAACGAGTCCTTTCACGCCAGCCTGAAGCAGTCTGCTAGCGTGTTGTGTTATGGCGTCGTAATTGATACTTTCGTCGTCGTTGAAGAACGTAACGACCGGGGTATAGACTCCAAAGGGTGGAGTTCTTGTTGCAGAGCCCATGATGATTTTGCGAGTGTGTTATTTTGAATATTTCGGCATTTGTAAGGCTGCGTCACGATATTTCAGTGATAGTTAAGTTTAATGAGTTTTATCACCAACATATCGAACGACGGCGGCTACCTGCCATTGTCGGCATCTTCGCCGGGTCGGGATCTTGACGTACCGGCTACGGTCCGAGTCTGAGTAGCGATCGGCACAGAACGAGAACGACTCCACATACCTTGTAGGCCCAGTGAGACTTAGTAGCCAAAGCCACTGCGAAGTCGGAACTTTTATTCGCAGAAATCCTAGGGAACGACTTGAGGAGAAGTTAGCTTCCTCATTTCTAGACTTTTGGGACTTGCGGTCAGACTTCAGCCGGGGCAGTGAACGATTTTGTACTGGGACAGCCATTTATCCGACAGGAGCACGTTCTTCACAGAGTACTTGATCTAAATCTCAACCATTAGCACATCGAACCGCCTCCGTCATGCGATCTTAGCAGGCATTTCGAGAGAATCTTTATGGACATTCCTCTAAAGTAACTTGATAAATACTGGTTCAATTCTCGAAGAAACGCAGGCATCTGCTGTCTACAGTGACGAGAACTTTGAGACCCTGAACGGGCTTGCCCCAGGCGGCCTGGGAGAAGCTCCCACATCCAGAAGTGTGTGAATGGCTCGCAGTCACGGTTGAGCTAGGACTCATTGTGTCTTCATGGATAACATCTTCTCCTAGGCAGCCCTCTCCCATGCGCTTCGAGATCGAGGTCACGGGCTATAGACACATCTATGCCTGCTTGCGTCATCCGCAAAGCCACCAGCATGTATGGGACACGGCCCAAACCCGTGCCAAACGGATACGATGGCTTGGACCCGTCACACTCCTGGAATATCTGCATCAGAAACTTCGGAGATGATATTAGTAAGTACACCACATGGGACGGAACTCATCCGGGCAGATGTAAACGCTATTCTCTGAGTCAGGTCACATTAGATCCCCCCCATGTAGTATAGTAAATCCTCCATCCTCAGCTTGCGCTTGTCAATCTGTGTACAAGGTGCTTAAAGACTCCTTGCTAAAGGAACTATTGTATAATCGTCACCTAAACAGCGTCCAAAGGACCTGACTGTTTGCGAAGAAATAGCCACGCGACTCTATTGCTAGCAGTGATGATAGTGAAAGATAAGCCGAACGAGGGAAATAAACACACGCAAACTTTTCGTATCTCTTCGTTCTATAGAGACATTCCTTGACGCTTGGTCGCAGGACCTCCACTAGTACATTGCCCTGGCCCTAACAAAATAGCTATACTACCCCGGGGTGACGGTCGCCGTATCATAACATCTTATCATCGAGGGGGTGTACCTAGAACGGCTCAAAGCCGATCCTCTACCCCGGATTCAGTTTGCGGGGAAAGGGGATAAGGATATGGGAAAGCTCAAGATTAAATACCAGCTATAATACCCTTGAACCAAATCTCCTGATTGCCACCTATTCTCTCATGCTTGTTTAGATGTTAAAATAGTAAAGCAACAATCTGTTATCACACGCTTAGGTCTTTATACCTTTTCCCTTCTTCTCTTGAACAACGGAATCGGACTCCGACCCAGTCATAATCATGTTGGCCCAACCGGACAACCACCAGGAGAAAAAGGGCCCTGACCCCCTCAGCCCCCATGATACCGACCCCATCACGTATGCTGAAGGTCTCACAGAGATAAGCACTCTCCAGCGAACCGAGACGAAGCGAAACATCAAATCTCGCCATGCACAAATGATTGCTATTGGCGGTACCATCGGTACCGGCTTGTTCGTTGGCATCGGCCAAGCCCTCGCAACCTCCGGGCCTGTCAGTGTTCTCCTAGCCTACTCCCTCATATGCGTCGTCGTGTACGGCATGATTACCGCAACAACTGAAGTCAGCGCCTACTTGCCAGTAGGTGGATCGTCAATGGCCTACTACGGCTCTCGCTTCGTCTCCAGGAGCCTTGGCTTTGCTATGGGATGTCTTTACTTTTACTCCTTTGGCATTCTTGTTGCCTATGAGATCACTGCCGCTGCCTTGGTCATTGAGTACTGGCCAAACGCGGTACCTATTGCCGCGTGGATCACCATTATGCTTGTTGTCATTGTTGCGCTCAACCTATCGCCAGTGGGAGTCTACGCCGAGACAGAATTCTAGTTCGCATCTGTCAAGGTCATCATGCTTGTTGGACTTTTGATCCTATCAGTAGTGCTCTGCCTCGGTGGAGGACCTTCACACGATAGGCTTGGTTTCCGGTACTGGAAACACGGCGCAATGAACGAGTATCTGGCACATGGTGACGCTGGTCGCTTCTGGGGGTTTCTCTACGCTTTGACATTCTCAGTCTTTTCCTTCAACTTTGGACCAGAGTTGATCGTCTTGACTAGTGGAGAAATGAGAGCACCGAGAAAGAACTTGCCTCGCGCAGCCAAGACATTTATCTGGCGCCTGATCGCCTTCTACATCCTGGGGTCATTTGCAATTGGCATTATCTGCCGTAGTGATGCTCCAGGCCTCACAAGCGGAGGACATGGTGCTGCAGCTTCCCCTTGGGTCATTGCGATCAAAACCGCCGGTGTCGACAGCCTTGATAGCGTCATCAATGCCGGCATTATCATATCAGCATGGTCCTCGGGCAATTCTTATCTTTATATGTCAAGCCGGTCTCTATACTCTCTGTCAAAGTCAGGAAGCGCACCAAAGATCTTCCAGCGATGCACCAGTTGGGGACTCCCTATCTATGCGGTAATGGCAAGCTCCATCTTTGGGCTTCTTGCCTATCTGAACGTTTCCTCTTCAACATCCGAGGTGTTCAACTGGTTCATCAACCTTACAAACACGGCTGGTTTTACGTCTTGGATCTGCTGCAGTATCATTTTGTTGAGGTTCCGAAAGGCATGCAAGGCCCAAGGCGTAACAGACTTGCCGTTCCAGTCAAGACTCCAGCCGTACGCAGCATACAGTTGTCTGGTATTCTTGTCCATATTGATGCTGCTGAATGGATTCTCAGTCTTCTTCCCTGGACAATGGTCTGCCGCTTCATTCTTGACAGCCTACATCGGTATTCCGATCTTCCTGACGCTCTATTTCGGTCATAGACTCTGGCACAAGCAGGACTCATGGGTAAAAGCACCTTCGGATGTCGACTTGCACTCTGGCTTGGATGAAATCCTTGTGTTTGAGGACATGGACGGCGTAGAAATGGGAGATGATAAAGGAGATTTTCTTCACCGAGTGTGGAACAAGATTCGTAGTTGAACTATTTACCGTTTTAACAATTCAACCTCCATGGTTTTATGTTCTCAATCTTGGTAGTTGTAAGGTTCTCATTTCTATATTTATTAAACGTGTACACATTGTCAGTATTTCAAACTCAAGCGTCATATGTAAAAGGGGCCAGCATAGAGTACTTGAATATTAATGCTTTGAGAATGTTTATGATAGATTGACTCGAAGGCAAATATTTGTCTGCCAGACTCAGGTTGGTGGATAAACTACAGGGTATGTCTATAAGTACAGTTTCGCTTAGAATACTCCGAACCGTAACCTAATTATATTAATTCGGGGCTTTCTTGAACTTTAATTAACATCCTTGAACTTTGAGCACTTTATTCGACTCAGTCTCAACTTTGTGGATAAACTTTGTTCTGCTATCCCATTCAACATTGGATAGTGGCACAGTATCATGCGTTATTTGCGCCTGGCGCTAACACGGCTCGGCAGAAGATCATCGACTGTTGAGCAACAAAACCTTGAATACGAACAGCAACACGTACCCAAAAAGTCAGTTCTTCTCGGTCACAGGCGCTTAATTGACTTTTTGGCGATGTAGAAGCCTAACAAGTCTTGACTAACAAAGAGTAAAAAAATGAGGCTATAGCGAAAACAGTAATAGAGTGGTCAGCATGTGGCGCGATCAGCAAAACTCACTGAAGCCATGAATCGGTCGCAAAAAAAAAAAAAAAAAGAAAAAAGAAAAAGAGGAGGGAGGCTGGGCCCTTGAAACCGATCTCATTAACCTTATTGTTATCGTTGAACGGAGCATCACTCGTATCACCTTGCACCGAACGGCTCCTCACATCCGATCGTGCCACAAATAGTACGTGAAGCCGAGGCGTCCGAGGAAGCGCTAGAAACAGCGGTATTGGTTCGAGAAGTTCTGTCGAGATCTCAGCCACCTCGGGAAGGTTATCTCCAAAAGTGTCGTCTGACTCACTAACCGCGTGGCGAGGCGTTCTTTTTTAGTCTTGTCAGACTCGCGTGTGGCTTGCATGCGGAGGAATGTAAATGGCTTGCTTATCAACGATAAGTGAGATGATCAATGGATTGAATTGCGTAGTTTGTACTCTTTGCTCAAGTCTATGCAGATCGGAAGCGTCTTGTGTCTAACCGAGACAAAGATCCCCATCGTTGAACCAATTGTTTCAATTATAGAGATAAGGCACCCACGTAAGATTACAAGGATATTTTGTAACCCCAAGGCCCCGTCCTTTTGTAGCGTGAGAAATAGCGATGACGATTAGAAAAGCTAGCACTTTCTCGAGTAAACAAGCTACAGTGGATAAGGAAAATGAGGGGAAGAACTGCCGTTAAGCCTGAACGAAATCAAGATCGGCGCCTCCAAAAAAGCCCAAAAGATCCCTGCGCTTTTGGAGAAAGCACAGCAGCTCGCCAGGATAGGAAGGTCTGTGTACTAGACGACGTGAGGGGGGGCGGAACTTTTGCTCTCCACACTTGTACCGAGTGAGGCAGTTCCCGATCCAACATGGATGCTTCGTTATGTACGATGCCGTTCTTACCGGTCAATCTGTACATTCATTATGGGCTATGCAACAATAATCCTTGACATGGTGCAAGTGCCGTGTTTCCGTGCTGTGACATCAGATTACCCATGACGCAGAATCAATTTGGTGATCAATGCTATGTCTGTCAGACCCTTATAGAGCTATAAGAACCTCCCCGCCATGACCAATTGATCGTCTCTGCACGACCAAACTGTCTCTCAAAAATGCGGTTCAGTCTGATCAGCACTCTTCTGGCCTTTGGGACACTGTCCCAGGCTGCCTTCAACAAAGGTGCCATCAACGCCTTCAATCGTGTGCATCCACGCCGATACGATGAGAGGCGTGCTGCTGCACCGGCCCCAGAGCAGCCCGCCTTTGAGAAGCGATCCAAGAGCAAGTTCCTGAACAAGCATTCTGAAAAGTTTGTTGTCAACGGATCTGCTATTCCTGAGGTCAAATTTGACGTTGGAGAGTCTTATGCTGGACTGCTCCCGATTTCTCAGGATCCTGATGAGGAGCGCAAGTTGTATTTTTGGTTCTTCCCTAGTACCAACCCCAAGGCTAAGAAGGAAGAGGTTGTCATTTGGTGAGTACAGCTCCAATTGAAGTGACGGATGCGTGCTGATCTTTTAGGTTGAATGGTGGCCCTGGCTGCAGTTCGCTCAGTGGTCTCCTCACTGAGAACGGTCCTTTCCTCTGGCAAGAAGGAACTCTCGCTCCCGTGCCCAACACCTACAGCTGGACCAACCTGTAAGTTCCACGATTAGCTTTAACCATGGCTCGACTAACAGTACTAGCACCAACGTTATCTGGATCGAACAGCCCGTCGGTGTAGGCTACAGCCAAGGCAAGCCCAACATCACCAACGAAGTAGAGCTCGGCAAGCAATTCATCGGCTTCTGGAAGAACTTCATCGACACCTTTGAGCTCAAGGGCGCCACCACCTACATCACTGGAGAGTCCTATGCAGGCTACTACGTCCCTTATATTGCCGATGCTTTCATCACGGCCAACGATGACGATTACTACAAGCTCGGCGGCGTAGCCATCAATGATCCCATTATCGGTGATGGCACTCTTCAGCAGCAGGCTGTCATCTTCCCCTACATCGAGTACTGGTCGAACTTGTTCTACCTTAACCAGACATACACGAATGCTCTGCGATGGACGCATCAGCACTGCGGATATGAGAAGTATCTCAAGAAGTATGGAACTTTCCCTCCGCCCGAGGAGAAGTTCCCTGTTCTGCCTGATCCGTATGCCGATACGAACCCCAAGAGCAACTATACTTGTGATATCTTCGATTATGCTTACGCCGCTGCTCTTGACTCGAACCCTTGCTTCAACATTTATCATATCACTGATACTTGCCCTCATGTCTACAGCCAGCTCGGCATTGTCAACCAGGTAAGCTCATCGCTATCACTTCTTACAAAAACATGCTAACATGTGCAGGGGGACTATTCTCCTCCTGGAGCCAAGGTCTACTTCAACCGCACAGACGTCAAGAAGGCTCTCAACGCCCCCATCGACCAAACCTGGTATCAATGCACTCCCAACAAGGTCTTTGGCTTCGGCGACCCCAACTCCAACCGCAGCGACACTTCTCTCGCCCCCGCTCAAAACGACGTTCTGAAGCGTGTCATCGAGCACACCAACAATACCATCATCGGTGTAGGTCGACTCGACTTCCTCCTCCCTCCCAACGGAACCCTCTTCGCCATCCAGAACGCCACCTGGAACGGCAAGAAGGGTTTCCAGAAGTATCCCCAAGACAAGCAGTTCTACGTGCCCTTCCACATTGATTATAATGGCGGACGACTCAGTGAGGAGGGTATTGTTGGACAGTGGGGTGAGGAGCGTGGTTTGACGTGGTATGAGGTTCAGCTTGCGGGCCATGAACTTCCAGGATATACTGCTGGTGCGGGTTACCGCGTTGTTGAGAAGTTGCTGGGAAGGATCAAGAATCTGGGAACAATTGAGAACTTTACTACGCAGAAGGGTAACTTCCAGGGTAACCCTCATGAGCGCGACTTTAGCGTCGTGAACCCTCTAGGTCTTCCTTGGGGCCATGGATTTACCTACGCTTAAGCGTTTATCTGCGGATAATTCTTGACTTAGTAGCAAAAAACCAAATTATTTATTGAGAAAAACCTTTCATTATGCAAATGAATCGAAGCCTATCCGTAGGAGAAACCAGGCTTCAAGTGTAGTTGTCGCGCGGTAGAGTTTGAACGCCAGTTACAAAAGTCAGGGAATTCTCATAACACGTGACAAACTCAAATTCGTGCAACCATTCTCTTCACGCACTTTTGCACCTCAATTCGACATGACCCGTCGGCCACTCGTCAGGGGCCTTGACTGAGCCTCAAACCTGCAGTCCAAGGGTCAAATCAATCATCAAAATGCTTCCGACGCCGCTGCAGGGCACGTACCAGCAGTACAATGCACAGTTCTACAAAATGTCAGAAGTGTTCTTCACCCCCGATTCCTACCGGCGTGCCATTATACGATTGGATTCAATGCCTGACAAATCATTTCAGCGGTGACAACGTCTACAACCATTGCGAAATGTTCTCGACGTACCAAGTTATATCCGGCCTGAAAAAGCTTAGGACGATGAAAAGACCTACGAAGTTGAATCGCAATGGGCTATCGATGATGCTATGGTATCCTATGCTGTTATACTGGACGTTCTCTCCAGGGAATCTTTCCACCAGTATTACATTTTGCTAAATTACTATCTTATAAGTCTAGAATCTCACTAATATATAATCTTATATTAGTATAATCTTGGTTCAAGGTAGCTGGTATCTAGATTTTAGAGGTCTAAAACTCATAGTATAAAAAATCCATATTATATATAATTAGACCTCTGCTAACTTCCCTACAACCACAGTGGCTGCATCCAGTATAACTTGGAGTTTTCTTTAAGTAAACTCACGCCCATCGCTGCAAGACTATAATAAGCCGCCTTATAAGTCTTGCGGTCAAACTTCTAACTTTCCGGTAAGCTTCGGCTTACACCATGAGCCACCGCCCGTATATGTATACATGTATTCAGTATTAGACAGAACAAAGGTCACCAACCAGTAAAAAAACCTCGTTGTACTATACTAAATTTACTCTTAAGAGATATAATACTTCGCCTTAATTCTCAACACGCCTAACACTATCTACCAATAAAAAAACCCTGTCCAAACTAATTATCTATAGTTGGGTGCCAATTTGTTACGGATTTATCACAACAGGTTGCCTATTGAGCCTTGCAATGCGGAGTAAAATTAACAAAAAACACCAACAAGGCAGAATCCGGACCTACATAGGTGTGCATATATTAGGACTACAATTATCAGGTGCTGGTTTAGTAAAGAGGCCCAACCTCACAGCAGAAGCTGGAAGTCAGCCCCCACGACATCAGCATGCCAACGTGGACCAATTAGATAGGAGGTCAACCACTAGAGAAATGCACGCATGTGCTTAAATATGACGTGAAAGAAATTAACATGCAGAGTCAAAAACTCTTCCCCGCCTGTTGATAATAGAGCAACCCATCTTAGGCGCAGAGCTTTACACCCACAATAAAAAAGACTCGCAAAATTTGTTACAATGAATAAGAAAGGTGAACTGATTCATATTAGTGGGGACACCTTCGATCGCTTTGTACTACACTCTGCATTGTTACGTCTGATCGACCCTGTCCGAGGCAAACCGACCCGGAGTACACTCGACGAGAACCCAGACGGCAGCTTTTTGGGTGCATGGCAGCTCCAGCAAAAGTTTCTAGACTCATTTGCTCTTATTTGCTCAACGTCTAGCTCAGGAGCGGAAACAGCTACGGCTGTGTGCCTGGAAACCTATGACCAAGTTGGAAATATCCTCCGTTTGGCGCGCAACCATGGCTTGACACCGGAGGATCTAGCTGGACTAAAAAGAGTGTTGCAAGTACTGCAAGAGGCTTCTAGAAAGGGTATGCGATCTTGTGAAAATTGAATGACCTTGACTAACATGGCGAGCGATACAGAAAAACCATCAACGCAAGCCGAGACCGAGATTCTACAACTGGTTGCTGAGCTTGACAAAGGCCGAATTTTGTCAATTGCAGAGAGGATTAAAAAGCGAGGCATTCTCCGGTTTCTACAAAAAATACAGTCTGAAGTTCATGAGAGTCAACTCCAGTCAGAAAGATTCAGGATCTGGCTTGAGAGCTGCCCTTTCACGGCCTCTCCCTCCCTTATCCAGAATTGGACTGGTGAGACTACCGTCAAGCTCATCCATTGGGCGTCGGAAGCTCGATGGCACTACGCTGAGCAACTACGAACTTTACTAAAACTTGATGAATCACAAAGTCAGGCCTGGTTGGATAATCTACACAAAGTAGCTCGCTATCATTCTGCGATCAAGTCTATGGTCAAGTTTGCTGTGAAGGAGCCCGGCATCTTTGTCAAGTTCGTCATCCGAGCGATCAATGCTCCTAATCCACGTCGATTCAAATTCCCGAACGACGAAGCTCCACTGCTTGCAGTCGTTCGCACGCTTGTGGGAAAAGATACAAACATGACAATGGAGAAGCTTGAAAAACATTTGGGTACCCAGGATGTTGAAGCGAGGCTGCGTAAAGCCTGTCGCCTGGAGCTGACGCTTCATGCCGAGATGCAAATCGTTGTTTTTTACGAAGGCAACCCTGGGTTAGCTCCCCACCTGAGGCTCATTGGAACGAGCAAAAAAGCTTGCTTTCTTTGCGACAAATATCTACGTCATCATCCACTCAGACTGCAAGCTTCCGCTTGTCACCAAAAGATTTATCCATCGTGGATGCCACCTCCGTACTATAACGTCCCAGGAAAGTCAACACAACTCCCCTTCATAAAGCTAAGTGGCGATATCGAGAAATTGACGAAGCAGGAGTTGAAGGCAGCACTAACTGCTCCCCTCCGGCCACCAAACTATGATTCGACTGCTGGGCCTTCTCTGACCTTAACAGCAACTGTACCCACGGAACTGAGATCACTGCGAAAGAGTCAAGCAAAATCCACGGTTCAAGATGATAGTTTCTCAGAGGATTCTGATTGAAACGCTGTGGCGCGGTCTGGGCGCGGGATGTCCAATAAAGTGCAACAACAATAATCCAAAACTGTCCACATACATGCATGCATGGTGCACTATCCCACACCACCAACGTGAGCTAGGCCGCTGTTACAAGCGAAATTCGGCGAATTGGATGGCGGAAACAAGCTCGACGGGCCAACAGTTTGTTCAAGACCAATTATTTTGCGACACCTACAGTTAGTGTAAATAATGGACCAGGGGAATGAAAATGTCTTGATGCCTGATCCTGCAGGAGGCCGACCGACCATCTCATCATCGCGATGTATACCGGATTTGATATCGGAGATCAGAGCTCGGCGAGTTCTAATTGTAGGTGCAAAATATAAAACCGCCATTACTGCCACCGATCCTAACAGAAACACTGTAACCTTCATCTATTATCTACAAAAGTAATGGGGACAGCTGAAACCAACGCAAACATTGCCGTGGGAGATCACCGAGATCTTCTGGATATCATTGACAAGCTCCGTTTGCAGGGAGTTAGTCATTATGTTGCCCTACCCGAAATTATTGTCTGCGGAGATCAGTCTGCGGGGAAGAGCTCTGTCCTCGAGGCCGTCTCCGGTAAGCAGTTCCCCATCAAGGACGGCCTCTGTACGCGTTTCGCCACGGAGTTGGTTCTTCGTCGGGACCGCAATATTAGTATCAAAGTATCCATCACCCCTGGCGAGAGCCGGTTTGGTGAAGACAAAGAACGCCTTGAGAATTGGATACCAACGGCCAGCATTGATGAAGAGTGTCTGGGCGCCGTGACCAAGGAGGCAGAGGCTATGATGGCTATCCCAACCGGCACAGGGGAGTTCTACGAAGATACACTCCGTGTCGAGCTCAGTGGGCCAGAACAGCCACACCTAACAATGGTGGACCTTCCTGGACTCTTCAGAGGAGGGAACAAGAGTCAATCTGACGCCGATATCAGCATTGTCCACGATATGGTGGAGAGGTATATGGCGCGACCGCGGAGTATCATACTCACTGTCGTGTCAGCCAAGTACGAGTATGTCCTGCAAGAAGTTACTCTGATGGCCAAGAAAGCCGATCCAGAAGGCTTGAGGACCATGGGCCTTATCACAAAGCCTGACACGCTGGATGTTGGCTCTCCATCTGAACACTACTTTGTCCGTCTAGCCCAAAATATCGCAGAAGAGCTCCACCTTGGTTGGCATGTTTTAAAAAACCGCAGTTACGACGAGCGTGATTTCACACTGGCACAGAGGAACGATAAAGAGAAAGAGTTCCTTTCCCAAGGAGTATGGAGTTCCATTGAGTCTTCACACTGCGGAGTAGAGTCCTTAAAGGTCAGATTGAGCAACGTCTTGAGAGATCAAATTCTTGTTCAGCTTCCGAGTCTTATACAGGATGTTGAAGATGGTATCCTCAACTGCGTTGAGAGGCTCGACCGTCTAGGTCCGGTACGAGGTACCTCACAGCAGCAACGAAGCTACCTCTTGCGTGTGAGTGAGAATTACACACTCTTGATGAGGCAGGCAGTCGATGGCACTTACACTGATCGCTTCTTCGGCAACCGAAACGAACGTGCTAGTTTTGGCAAAAGACTGAGAGCTGTGGTACGGTTGAGACTTGACGAGTTCGCAGAGGAAATGCGAGTCGACGGCCAGAGTCAACACATCGTTGATTCAGCGAGTGAAGATGAAGACCATACCAACTCCCGCGTCTTCGCGCCAAGCATCTCACGGTCTGAATTCATCAATAAAGTTGCTCGACGTCTCAAATACAACAGAGGCCGCGAGCTTCCAGGTCTCTTCAATCCTCTGATCGTCAATGACCTTTTCGTCGAGCAATGCACGCCTTGGAAGAGGATTGCCAAGAGCCTTGCTGATGACGTGCTCGATGCAGTGCACCTTACGACTGAAAAGGTAGTCGAGCAAAGTGCCGCGACGGAAGTCTCCGAAGGGGTCTTGAAACTCATTCGTAAAGAAGTAGAGGGTCTAAGAATCAAAATGAGCCGTCGTATTGACGCACTGCTTGTATCAGCTACGCAGAATCCTATTACGAATAACCCGGAGCTTGTCCAGCACGTCCAGCAGACTCAGGAAGACCGACACAAACGCACGGTTAAGTCACTGATTACTAAGATGTTTGGAACGAACCGTTTCGACGGCTCCGACAAAAAGATCAGTATAAATCCGGTTGAACTCTTAGCGCTAGCTGGAGAGGGATTCGAGCCAAACATGGAGCGTTTCGGAAGCGCATTGGCAGTAGATTACATGAAAGCATTTTATAAGGTAAGATATATCCCCGAGCTAAGATTTACTGATTCAGTCGCACTGACAGGTTTGATATACTCGTAGGTTGCAGTCAACAGATTCATCGATGATGTGAGCGTCCTAGCGATAGAAGATTGTCTCATCAGCAAGCTTCCTTCGCTTTTCACATCAAGCAGTGTCGCGGAGATGAGTGATGAAAAGTTATACCTCCTTGCAGGCGAAACTAAGGAATCATTCGTCGAGAGACAACGCCTAGAGCTGAAACAGGGAATCCTGGAGAAAGGGCTACAGGATCTCAAGAGCCTCTACAAACGCAGCACGGTCGTCGGCCACAGAGGGTACCACGGCTTATCGTCAGAAGATTCTGAGAAGATGTCGGTCATAACACAGAGAAAATCTGAAAAGGGATCATCCATTACAGATAGTCCAAGGGCAGCCTCTGAAGTATTCGGCGAGGCAGTCCCTATCAATGAGGAGCAACACCCTGCATTTCAAGCAGATCACATTAAATGGCCAGGTCAAGATGGAATGAAGGACTTCTGGCCACCTCCTGCGATGAGGAAAGCCGTGAAGGACGTCATGGGTGAAGATAGTCGATGGGGCGGCTGAAATCTATCTCACATAGACTAAGAAGGCGATCCAGCTATCTTAAGAGCTCTGTCAATATACCTAGGATAGCCGCTTTCAACTGCCAGACTTCATGATACCACCTGCACCCGAAAAGGTGTTCATTATCCACCTGTACAGTAGCCAATCCGATACTTCATTTCTCGTCTCCTCTCGGGGATAAGTATTTCGTATCGCGCCTCCTTACAAGTCAGGCAATTCAACTATCTGTGGTGATATCAACACTTCCATTGTCCAATGCGGTTCCAACTGCTTGCGATCCGATAAAAAGCTCTCCAACGGGATTTCTTGATGCACGTGTACCCTTTCGTGATGACGTTCTCGCGGCAGCATTATATGTTTGCTTTGAAGGCGTGGCAAGCTCAGAAGACCTTATATAGAAGATTCTAGACCGTAGCCCCAATACAAGGACGACTAAAAGCATGGAGCACTATGAGTTCAGCCATCCTATTTTTAAACTCAACAGGGAAAGAGATCTATGGATGGAGGCAACGACTTTGGTGGGCCATGGTCATATGCATTAGGGTTAGGTATTTCGCGATTAGGGTGGCGGGGAAGATGTATGGGCTGCAGTTTGAGGATGCGGATGATGGTGATAGTGATGCGTCTGAGCTGCCAGATCTTGAGTAGGGTCAAAATGACGGTAGCGTACAGCTGTCATACATGTTATGTCAAGTCATTCAAAAGTAGGATAGAAAAATGAGATCGATCTTTGAAGTATCTAGCTGTAATTCCGCCGTGAAAGCTAGTCTTAGTGTCGAGCTGCTCCCTTCAACTCTCGTACAGACTGATACATCTGCCATGTGTTTTCGCGAACACGTCGACCCCAGATAGCGCAGGGGATGAACAACAGACAAACAAGAGTAGCGACGCATCCGCTGATGATGAAGAGTTTTGAGATGCCGATGGATGATATCCAGCCAACAACACCAAAGGGAACTCCAATGGAGGGGATGTTGCGGATGAACGTAACAGAGATGAAGGCCTCTGCTGTGAGCTAGTACTTGTCAGCGAGTGTCTTGAGGGTTTGGTTCGGTTGACGTACGGTTTGGTAAATGTCGATGACAATGGTGCATGATATATCAATCATGGATGCCATGCCAAAGCCAAACATGGCACCGCCAATACTAGGATAGATCCAGTGCCAGCCCTATCACACAAGTTAGACCGTGGGCTTATTCAACATCTAACACAGTACTTACCTTATCAGCTGATATCCCAAAGAAAACAAGCCCCCCACCCGTAAGAAGCGCCGGCAACAAGAGAATATACAACCTCATCTCCGGCTCAAAGATTCCCTTGTTTCTCTTGGCCAGCTTGACAACAACCCAATCACCAAGGACACCACCATAAACACTCCCCAGAAAGTTTCCCACAAACGGACCGAGGGACATGAGGCCCACGCCTGCTGTGTTGAAGTTATATGGCGGTGCGGAAAAGATCATGGATATAGATGATGTGAGAAGGATGAGAAAAGCGACGCAGCTAGCTACCTGAAGGGCTGAGAAGAGGACGTGGGGAAAGAGGAACATCTTGAGGGGGACGAGGTAATTACGCCAAAGGGGTTCGTCTGTGCGTGTTATGAAGCGCATTCGTTGTTTGTATGTAAGTCGCGGTGGGTGAGTCTCTGAGTTGAGGTCCGAGTCTTGAATGTCGGCTTGGGTTGAGTCGTCTTTTGGGTTCTTGAGTGTAGGTGTGCCTTGACCTGAGGTATTGCGTGTTTCTCCAATAGTGACGGGGATGAACTTTGTCTCTTCAAAGAAGAAGATGAAGAGGAGGAAGAGGACGGTTAGGACGATGCCGGTGGTGTAGTATGTCCATCGCCAGCCTTGAGCTGCTGCTTGGACGCCCACGATGCAGGGACAGACGAATTGACCGACCATGACAGCCATGATATAAAACCCATTTGCTGTACCTCGCTGATGAACAAAGAACAAATCTGCAATCTGAATCCTGTCAGCACCCGTCTACCACCCATCATTGCATCCTGTCCAATTACCGTGATCTCCGAAATGGTCTCATTGATACTCGCAGCAAGACCCGAGAGGAAATTCGTGACATACATCTCCCCCACCGTCTCCATCCTGCCACTCCACCACGAGACAGCAGCCATAAGACCAGTGGAGAGGATATAGCATGGACGGGAACCGTATTTTCGAGCGAGTGGGATGAAGAGGAAACTTCCGAGGGCGAGACCGGCTGAGTTGAAGGCGACGCCGTAGTTCAGTTGGTCGTAGGTTACGTGCATGTCGATGATCATTTGTTGCCATAGGACCATTTGCATGACGATGCTGAAGTTGTTAGTGTTGGGTGAGGATGGGGTAGGGAGGGATGAGGACATACGCTGAGAAGAATGCTACTGTTACGGCGAGGACGAGCGTGAAGTTCCATGCTTTTCTCCGTTTGCTCCAGTTCTGGGGATGGTTAGATGAGACGCTAAGGGGGGAGAGAGTAACTGACCAGAGGATCGTTGGGATCCTGTGAGGGTGTTGGAACTAGAATAATCTCAGAGCGACCTGTACAATACGTCAGTACCTACGTATAGTGGTTGATGGTGATGCAACTGACTGAGGAGACGAGAAGTCCCAGGGGGGAAGCTCAACTCGCTATCCATCTTTGTCAATAATTCGAAGAAAATAACAAAGGCGAAGGAATAGTGAGATGCTCGTCAGGTCAAGAGCCTGTTGTCCTCTCAGCCAAGTCCTCGAGGATACCCCAGATTTATAACAATCCCCCTTATCACCCGAAACCGGCTTCACCCCAATCCTGGAGAAATCTTTCACCAAGCCATCGGTATTTTGCGGGGTATACCGATGGGCCTAGCATCCAAGCAGTAGGTCCACCCACTCATCCAGATAACACTTGTAACACCTCATTGGCTGCGTGTCGACCATCCTAAAACAGCCTAGCTAAAACAAACTCAACTCAACGCCTCTCAATTTCGTCTCTTTATCAAGATCAACATCATTATCGCCCCTTTCTAACGCCTTATCTAGTATTTCCTCTAGAATTAGTGCATTAGGTGTGTCGCGGTATGCGTCACAGATACTGCCGCATCGGCGTAGGGTTTGTACCCAGGTTGGTCGTGTTTGCAGAATAGTTACTTCGAGACGGGCTGCGGTGTAGGGATACAGCATGCTGTTCGTAGCGAGGATGTGGGCGTATTCTTCACGCTGTCGAGTTTCGTATAGTGCGTCGAGGGTTGCTACTAGACGACATACGAGTATCTCGTTGGATGGTGATTCAGAATGTGTGCGCTTATGTCGTCGACTCAATAGTATGCCTGATAGCCGAAAGGCTTCCCAGAGATGAACATGCGGAATAGACCCCTCATGGCCCTCCCAATCCGCAAGGGCCTTCTCCACATCTTCATGTGCCATTCGACCGAAGATATCGAGTAGACTTCGCGGTAAGCCCGAGACGCTTTCGACACCGCCAACTAGCCCCGTTGAAGACGCTTTCTGAGCCGAGCGGAGAAAACCCCAGATTCCAAGCGTCGGTGTGTCGCGCCCACGAACAAAAGTGGGAATATCCATTATCGCCATGGCCTCAAGCGAAAAGCGATATTCCAGATCCCCAATTCGATGAGCGTTTTTGGACTGCGGGAACAGGTGGTATACCCACATCATATGATTCAAATGCGCCGTCCAGGGGATCCCTTGGAACAACTACCTAATCAGTACTTGAGATCTGAGAGGATGGGGGGACTTACGTGGAGTGTGCAGAGGAAGACACCAGCGTTGATCAGACCCCCATCCAACGTCCCATCAAACCGACTTAGCTGCTCGCGAAAAAGACGGAGACTTTGATTACAGAGATCATGAAATAAAGGTGGTGGGTTTCGAGGATTGGTGTTGTATACGTGGGTGGCGATTAGCCCGAGATATAGTGGTTCGTTTTGGAGGGCGAGGCGTTGGAGTTCAAGAGGGAATGGGTCTTCTGTAGAGGTAGAGTAGAACAGAAAGACGGTTTTTTGTATAACTTGATTGTCAGTGGGGAAGTATAGGCGTTGGTGGGCGGCTTACATTCTTTGAAGAGTTGTTTTTCTTGGTCACTTCTTCTTTGGAGCCACTGCGGTTCTTCAGTCTCGATTACTGGATACTCCATGTCCATCAAAACCTCCGATCCCAGGCCACTCGCCTCCACTTGTCCAAGTGGCAAAGCCTGGAACTGCCCAAAAGACCCCTCCGCACCATCAATCTCCAGCCCCCTCTCCCTCTTCCTCTCATTACCAGCGCCCAGAACAGGAAGTGAAGCACCAGTAAGCTTTCCCCTCGACGCAACCCCTACATCCCACTGTAACTTAAGAGCATAACCTTCACAGGTGAGGTTATTCTTTTGACATTCGAGACATGTTGGTTTTGTCTCGTCACATTTTCGATGGCGTCTTTTGCATGTTGAACAGCCGGTTCTTGAGCGTGACATTGTTATGGGTGAGTTGGAGATAAGATATGGGGAGTATGATGTTGGAGTGATAGCGGGATGGGGCGGTCTGGGGTAGCAGAAATTAGCTTGTTGGTCGGGCCGAGAATACATCGTCGTGTCTACTCGAGTACTATCCTAGAGTCAAGATATGACAGTCATTTTAACAACATGATTTGATCTCTCTCTTTTTGTATGTAGAATAGCTAAACAATAATATACACCAGTTCTACGCAACTACAGTGTTAGCGCATAATCGAGAACTACTTCTTATAAACCCTCTCACCCCCAAACCACGTCTCATCAACCTTCATCTCCAATAACCCATCGACTTTCACAACCCCTGGTAACACCATAAAATCCGCCCTCAACCCCTTCTCCAACCTCCCCGTCCAGCTCTCCGCAAATCTCGAATACGCAGCCCCATACGTCGCCCCCCTCACAGCCTGCTCCAGCGTCAACGCACTATCCCCATTAGTAACCGTCTCCCTCTCAGGCTCCAGCGCCGACTTTCTCGTCGTAGCATTATACAAGTTCGGGAACGGTAAATGTCGCGCCGTAGGGGAATCTGTACCAATAGCGACATTCGCGTGTCCGTCGAGACATTCTTTGTAGGGGAAGCAGTGTTTCCACGCTGAGGGTTTCACCAGCTTTTCGTAGCCTTCGAGAATGGCGGGATCGCTGTGGACTGGTTGTACGGAGGCTGTGATTCCTAGGCTGCCGAGACGTCGGGCGTCTTCGGGGGTGGCCATCTCGAGATGTTCGATGCGGTGACGCGCGGTGGGATTGTTGGTGCTTGCGATGGCGGAGATGGCTTGGGAGACTGCTACGTCGCCTATAGCGTGGATGGCGCATTGCATTCCAGCTTTCGTGATTTGTGAAAGTACGCGGTTCATTGCTTCGCCGGGCCATAGAGGTTGGATCAGATCAGTTGATTCGCCGTAGGGATAAGACAATGCAGCTGTGCAGCCATCAACGACACCATCGCACATGAGCTTAACGCCCACGATACAGAACTCTGGCGATTTTGAAGGATGGAATCTACTGTGCATGTCGATAGCTTCTTGGATCTTCTCATCGAGTACCTTCTCGTCCGCTTCGTATGGAACGAACCAATGAGCTGCGATGTGAAGATTAATCCCCTTCCTCTCTCGCAACGTCTGTAACGCCTGCCAAGCTACTGCATCCATCGCCATGTCGATAACGCCAGTGTAGCCTTCAGCAGAGTAAGCTTGAACGGCTCGTTCCAGGGCTTCAAGTTTATCGTCCATGGACAGTGATTGAATCAAAAAGGGCCAGATAAATGCTGTGACAGCCCATTCTGCCAAAAGTCCAGTCGGCTTGCCGTCCTCATCGCATGTAAGATGCTCCGGGCACTTCGCCTTGATCTCATCAATTGGAAGTTCTTTCAAAGCAGCAGTGTTGCACCACGCGGAGTGAAGATCATTCGAATCGATAAAAATGGGTCGTGGGTCAATATCATCAATCATACTCGCGAGAGCAACTCCATCCGTCGCAGATTGAAGCCATCCTCTGCACAGGATCTTGGGTAGGTCAGGATTGGCAGCAGCAAAGTCTGTTATACGCTGCCGAATCTCTTGTAGGGATTTGCAACCCCCAAGATCGAGTTTTTGCTGTGATAGACCGAAGAATAAAAGATGAACATGACTGTCGATAAAACCAGGAAGAACAACGCGATTTTCAAGATCCAGAATTTCTGCGCCTTGAGATTTTGCGTCTTGGACTGCTTTGTCGTTTTCGGACCCGATGTAGGCGATTTGAGATCCTTCGATGATCATGCACTCTCGATGCGAGTCATCATCGCCAACGAAACGGCCATTGGTGAGAATTGTTGAAGACATGCTTACGCCCGCGTATGATAAGAAAGATAATATGAGAAGAGACGGACGGGAAATAAATAGTAAAGGTAACGGAATGGAATTACAGGGTCTTATCAATATGAGGGGGGTCAAGACTACGATGAAAGTGGCAGCAATTCTGAGATGGAGGGTTCAGCGCATCGACCTTCTGAATGGGTTGACCTGCTGAAAGCACTAAGCCTGTGAAGGGGTTGAGTTTCTGGGCGTGTCGACCTGCTGGAAGGGGTTTAGAGCAGTGGGAGCTAGGGGATCCCGCAGTCGAGTTCGCCTAACCTGGGGATCTAGAGGCTGATGTTGATTGGGTGTTGGGGATGAGAATTTAGATCAAACTCAATCTAGAGGGAAACGCCGTATGGGGTCCGCGGGATACGTTACGGGGGAACTGACTGGCTATGGTGAGATCGTTAATACCGCTTGATTGAATATTGTCAAAGTCGCAGTTGACCGAAGGTTACATCGCCGCTTCGGCTCCGACGCTCGGATTTCTGCACCTCCACTCCTCTCAGATTTTATGTGGATGCGGAACAAGGCACCAGATGCAATCATGAATTGGGTTCTGACTACAGACTCTCTACCCGGTGGCTCAACACAGTCAGCGCCATTGATAGGGGAGTCAATTTTCGAAAGCGAAGATGCTGAAGACTGGGGCGATTTTGTCGACTCCGATGAAGAGCCCGATGTGGAATTCGCCTGCGAAGCTATCAACCTCTACCCTAAAGGATCTTGCTACCCAATTTCTATCAGTGACATTATCGTCGAGCGGTATCGCATTATCCATAAACTCGGTCATAGCGCTTTCTCGACTGTTTGGGTAGCGCAAGATATGACTAAAAATAGAGATGTGGCGCTCAAGATCTTGATGCTGGGGAGTCCCGATGACCGTGACTGTCAAATGCAGAGCGAGATCATCAGCATAGCAAAGGATTTGACGTATTTGTTACTCTATCATCGAACGTTTCTGCTGCCCAGCCCTCATGGTCAACACCGTGTTTTCGTCTTTCCCCCCAAAGGACCAAACTTGAGAAATTACCCACCTAGAAAAGCGCCTATCGCTACCAGTATGCTATTTGCAGTACAGTTACTCAAGGCCTTAAAAGCACTTCACGAAGCTGAGATTGTTCATGCAGGTACGGTCACCCAACAGAAATGATATCAAAGCTAATTCATAAGCAGACTTAAACACCGCTAACATAATGTACACCCTACAACCTCTCAATAACATTATATCTGAAAAGTACAAGCAAATCGGGAGACCGAGAAAAATGAAACTATGGACTGAGCAGTGGAAAGATGGCGAACTGGTTATGCCAATGAAGCCAAAAGAGGAACTCATAGGAGATTCCATCGTTCTCGGTGACTTTTAATCAGCCTGTACTGTAGCGGATACATCATACTGTAGTGGGCTATTGGTCAGCGCCGTGCCGCCTCGAATATCCCTATCCCATGGAGATTTGAACTAACACACTGGCCCCATGGGAAGGTTGAGGAGACAAACAAAACCTATGGAGGATAAGGAATGGCCCACTATTTGAACGGAAAACCGGCACCATCGGTGAATTCTTTTACCATGTATATTGTGTTGGTTGCTCCTCGGGTAATCTGAAAGCCGACTTGGGCTAAATCAAGCTCAAGGTATAGGTCCCCATCACCCGATAAATAAACCGGCCACAAATAGCATCTGAATAAAATCTTAGTCGATGAAATTCACCGGATATGATTACGCAGCGCGATATGCAGACACCCAAACCCTTCATCCTCTTTTTCAGCCCGGTTAGGCACGCCAAGGCAGCATATGAAGAGCTGCAGGAGGTCGCCAGAGTTGAGGTGGTCACCAGCACGAACAGGCAAGAATTCTTCAAGGATATTCAGGACAAGTACAAGGACATTCAAGTGATTTACAGGACATCAGCAAGTGGTGCTGTCAGTCTCCCCGGTTTAACATACCTTTATTTGCGCATTCACATGTTTTGACATGCTATAGGTCGCTGGGAACTTTGACGTCGAATTTATTGAGCATCTTCCACCAAGCTGCAGAGTTATTTGCCACAACGGAGCAGGTGAGTGTTTCCATTTCTGTAGTAGCCGACATGATATTTATAGCCGCATGGTCAGGATATGATCAAATTGATGTCAAGGCTTGCGCCAATCGAGGAATTACCGTCACCTACGCGCCTGACCCCGTCACCAATGCCACAGCTGACCTGGCTCTCTGGCTATTGCTGGGATCATTGCGGCAACTCAACCCATCCCTTGGCTCTTTACGCAGGGGAAACTTCAAGACGGGAGTTGATTTCGGCCATGATCCAGAAGGCAAAGTGTTAGGTATCCTGGGAATGGGCCGAATTGGCCGTGCCCTCAAAGCGCGATGTGAGCCCTTCGGTATCATCACACGATATCACAACCGCTCAGAACTGCCCCCTGACCAAGCAGCGGGTGCGACATATGTATCTTTCGAAAAGCTGATTTCTGAGAGTGATATGATCAGCATTAACATTCCGCTGAACCCTCAGACAAGGCATCTCATTGGCGCCGAACAAATCACCAAGATGAAGGATGGAGTCATCATCGTCAACACAGCTCGAGGTGCCGTCATTGACGAAGATGCACTGGCTGAGGCACTAGATTCTGGTAAAATTGCCTCTGTTGGCCTGGATGTTTATGAGCATGAACCTATGATCAACGAACGCCTCTTGAAGAACGAGAGGGCTCTTCTTGTGCCACATTTGGGAACGCACACGGTAGAGACTCTGACAAAAATGGAGACATGTGCTATGAAGAATGCGCGACGGGCTGTTTTGGGGGAGCCTCTTCTTACACCTGTTCCAGAGCACGCTGGGCTGCAACGATCTCCTAGCAACTGTACCAGAGATGTGTAGGGCCATAAAATGGAAATGTTTGTAAAATAATAACCCCGTTTTATGGTGATCTGAAGGAAAGAACTATAGATGTTTATTTAACTTTGTTTTCTTTGTGTATGTTTATCGAGGTGATGAACTTATGTACTGTGCAACGCAACAGTGTGGCCAGCCCGAACGGCTGGTAAATTCGGCAGCAAATCAGAGGAAAAATAAAAGCACGTCTGTAAGGTTTTGTTATCGATCAGGTAACACAATAGACGGGAGGCCTTTCAAGTTTGCTAGAGGTTCATAGGTATAATAGGTCACTGGACGTAGAAATGTGACGTGAGATAAGCAACTCGTACTCAAAGCCAACCAACTGTTTCCTGATATAATTCGTTTTGATATGACTGTGTTTATTTGTATGCATATTCCAGGACGTGCTAGGCTGAGCTATCATCGCCGTTTGACCCGACCAAGACTACCCCCGCTTTAGAGCTGTTTTATCCACCGTCACGTCCTACGAAGACAAAGCTAGCCAATGTGAGCGTGATCATCAGATCCACCAACGTCTGACGATAGACCAACCGAACGAAAAGCTCAGGGCAATCGGTAAAAAGCTTTGCCGTCGCTATATTTCACCCGAACTACCATTGTTGCTTGACTCGCATCATCGCAAAGTACTGGCTATAAAGCCATGCCATTATCTCCAGGGTTTGGCGGGGCCATGCACATGTGTTGCATGATCACATACTTGTTTATAACAACCAGCTCATTCATTAACAACCATCCGCCATGACAAAGATTGCTCTTCTTGGTGCTGCTGGTCAGATTGGGACCCCTCTTAGTCTCCTTTGCAAAGCTGTGAGCAGTCTGCGCATTCACACGTGCTCCAAACGCTGACTACGCAAATAGAGCAATCTGTTTACGGAAATCGCCCTCTACGATCTCGTCCATGCACCTGGCATTGCCACCGATCTGAACCACATTGACACCAAAGCGACTGTTTCTGGCTTTTTGCCTGCTGATGATGGTTTGGCCAAGGCACTCAGCGGAGCCGACATTGTCGTCGTCACTGCTGGGATTGCCAGGAAACCAGGAATGACTCGAGATGGTAAGTCCATCCTCGCAAATTATCTCGCCAGGGCATGTCATTAATTATTACCTTAGACCTGTTCAATGTGAGAACTTTGCTCCCTGTTGATTAACCAGCAGCATGTTCACAGATCCTTAGACCAACGCTTCAATCATTAGAGACATCTTCACCCAAGTTGCAAAGACCTGCCCGAAGGCCATTTCGTGTATCATTACCAATCCAGTGAACTCAACAGTTCCAGTTGCAGCCGAGACTTTGCGTACAGCCGGTGTCTTTGAACCCGCGCGCCTTTTCGGCGTAACTACTTTGGATGTCGTGCGAGCTTCAACATTTGCTGCACACGCTCTTGGCGGCGACGCCGAGCCTACCAGTATCAAAGTCCCCGTTATCGGTGGCCACAGCGGTGCTACCATTCTTCCTCTCTACAGCCAGGCTCAACCCCCTATTGACCTCGGTGCCGAACTACCAAACGTTATAAACCGTATGTCTTCCCCGCTCCGAGAGCAGATATCGGCTGTTAGTTAACTAGTCACAACAGGTGTACAATTTGGTGGTGATGAAATCGTGAAGAGCAAGCAAGGAGCCGGCAGTGCTACGACTTGTATGGCTTATGCGGGTTTCAGATTTGTCAAGGCCCTGCTTACCGCGAGTTCCGGAACTCTAGTCATCGAAGAGGCTTATGTCTATCTGCCGGGGATTAGTGGAGGAAAGGAGATCTCGACCCAGCTTCAGGTCGACTACTTTTCCGTCAAAGTCAAGCTGGGTAAGCAAGGAGCACGCGAGGTCCTTCCCATTGGCAATCTGTCAGATGATGAAAGGATCCTCCTTGAAAAGGCTGTTGAAGAGCTGAGGGTGAACATCCAAACCGGTTTCTCATTCGTAGCTGGAAAATAAGTAAGCTTTTTGACCCGTTAGATGGCCGGCTGCTCGTCTATAGCTGTATATGCATAAAATAGCGAAATGATCAGGATGAGTTTTAAATAGAAAATAAATTAGTTTACTAATTTTGGATTTTTAACTTTTCATCTCATGGCAGAATAATAGTACCTGTATGGTTTCTTCCTTGCACATCTGACCAGAACCAAAGAATAGGAGGATTTAGGGCCACCATATCTGGAATAAATAAGAAGACTATCTGGCATCATTCCACGCTACCATAGAAATTGTTGTTTGAAGTCTGCTGGTAGTTCAATCCCATGAGACGTGGTGATATTTTGCAACTTATTGGCTACATCTGCTGGTTCAGGAGCGTGTATGATGTCTACCGATGCAATCTCCATAGGTGCCTGGGATATTGGGTCTTGGTCGACTGCATGGTCATGGCAAGGACTTTCAACCGACAGATCATCCCCAGTACCGACGTGGCTCTGAATATCAGCCTCGGGCTGATGATTGATATTGTCAGAAGGTTTCACTGCTTGTGATAGTTCCGGCATCTCCTCATTCGGCTGATTTTCAACCCGATCTTGCACAACAGAGTTCTTTGTGACTTGCTCAATCCACTGCTCAACGTTATCAGCTGTCCTGAGGGGGAAGCGCTCCCAATGATCCATCAGCGCTAGCATTTTCTGTTCGCCTATGCCTGATGAGTTGTGCTCGGTGATTTGCCCGTTGACTAAGTCCTTAGCGTCGTCATTGAAGGCACGAGTTAATAAGTCCTTATCATTTGTTGAATGTAGGAGCCGTATCAGAACCAGTTCAGTCTCCCGAAGCCGCGTTTCCAATGCTTTCGTATACCCTTTCGGCGGACCCCTGGATGCCATAAGTATTTGCTATTCATGGCATGTGAATATAGGCCTTACCGTTTCAAGACTGTTGGCCAAGTACACTGGGAACCGAAGCTTCGACATCTTGAGCATGCTGGCCTTCTAACATAAGCACTTGGTCCATTGACGCAGCAACTTGCTACCATACCTGATCCCATCGCACTGCATGAAATTCGTTCGTGTGAGCAATTTTGACAGTTTTTGGAATATTTATGATCTGTGTAGGGTTCTGTCTTACCTTTTGTTTTCGTGATCGGCAAATATTGCATGCTGCACGGCCTCGGGCTGGCGGCATCGTTGCTATATAATTTCGCCGACTGTTGGCTAAATCACCAGAAATAGATATAGCAATAACTGGTTATGCGACAGGGCCGTCGGTAAAAATTCATAACCAGACGAGTGGAGAGGAGGCCGGGTTTATGGAGTGGCGAATGACATGAGGCATTAAACTATATGACTCTGATGCAACGGCTAAAACTTTGGCCGATGGACTAGCAAGAATTGTACTAGTAGCAATATATATCATTATCAGTATTTCTATCCTTTGGTTTATCATAATAACATTAATATTTCATATAATTAATTTAAATTAGTTTACTCTCCCTATTTTTGAGTCTCATTTGCATTGGATTGGTTAGAAAAATGCATTATCCCAGGTTGGATCATCCTGATTGATACCTCCCAGCAGTGATTCCCAAGTAATGCCAGCCAGCAGGTCAGGCATCCCACTCTCCCAATTACTTAATCTGCCTGGATCACCAACAGATCGGAAGTCATCTTCAATGGCCGGGTCCGTAGCATTAAAAATTCCAAAGCTGTATCCCAGTGGTTCGTCCGCGGACGCGCTGACGATATTGGTAGATATTTGATTAGAAGGCTGTCCAGATCCATCGTTGTTTTGATTTGACCTGGAACGCGATTCTGGATCTGGCCTTGCTCTTTTCCTGGGACGAGTTTCAGAGTTCACAGTAGAACATACTGAGTCCCTGCCTACGGGGTCTTGAACAGAGGGTGGATGTACAGAATTGGATGTAGAATCCAAGATATCAAACGCCGGTCTCTTTGCAGTATGCTCCATCTCCTGGAAAGCTTCTGTAAGATCCGAGAGAACAGCGTGGCAATTCTTTGCAAGCTTCCATCGCTCGGACATATGAAGCAGGGCCTCAAGGCACATAGCAATCTCCCTTCAGTTTGTCAGTAAATGCGTCTAAAGTTCCGTAGTAGTACACTGGTTAGGTTGTTACGGGACCTTGCACAACAGGCAAGGACACATCTAATCGGGGATCAAGATAATTCACAGTTTTCTCTCACCTCTTGCCTTTCTCCACCGAGTAGAGCCGCAGTTGGCATGCAAAGGCCAACACGATGCCGGCCATCCATGTGACGGAGAGATAGCCCGGCCAGAACAGAGCATACCCTGCATTGTGCTGCTTGTTTATAATTTTAATTATCTCTCGCGCTTCGCTGATGCAGATTTGGATCGCGGACTGGAACTCTGGGGTAGATGGCTCCAGAGATAGCCTAGGGCGATGAATTAAAAGTACTAATTGACTGTGGAGCAGGATGAAGTGTGCCGATTCATTGAAAATTTGAGTTTGGTTTCCGTCAGTACTAGCATTAGATGAGGGATCAAATTCTTGTAGAGATGAAGGCAGTGCATTCCACAATGCGTTGATGTCTGTTTGAAGTGAGAGAATTGACCCGCTGTCGATGGATCGAATGTGAAGTGATTTGTGGAAGAGCTCCAGGGCACGACCAAGAAGACGCGAGTATTGGACCTGAAAGGATAAACTTGAATGACGATGATGCTTCTGACTAGAGTTGTCCTCGCTTGTTGCCCTGCCTGAACCTGTTTCACTCTGTCTTGAGGAGATGGGAATATCCCTGAACTGGCTACTGGGCGAGTTCGCTGAGCGCCCAGAAAATGGCGAAGTAACGTCATTATGACTTGAAGGGACAGTAGGAAAGAGCTGAGGGTGGTGAAGCTCAGGCCCATTCAACGGACAAACATCTATATCAGAGTCTTGGATTCCCAACGGGTGCCCAAGAGCCTGGGAGAGATAACGATCAAAGACATAGATACACCAGAAAAGCCTCTTTCTAATATCACAATCATCCGCCGTAAGCTTTGCATAGCGGCAAGGACAACGATGAAGACCTGCCAGAAAGACGGCTCGGGATAGAAGGCCACTAACAACCGCAGCTGCACGGAGAGACATGCGAGCGACCAGGAGCAGACCAGCCGCAAAGAGGGCTTGGATAGAAACAAGATCTCCCTTGACTGCAAGGCCGGGAAGATAAGAGAGCACGTCGGTAGGCTTTTGGATCTCGGATGCTACTGGGAGTTGGCTGCTGTCATGCAGGCTTGCGAGATTGAAGATGCACTGCAGGATGAGGGCTCTTGAAAGTGTCATTGGGACCCTTGGCGTGATGGGCCCTGAAGCCGCACCGTGTTGATCAAAAGAACTATACAGATCCTCCATGTTCTTAAGGATAGTTGGACCGTGCAAAAAGGGAAAGAAGCGATGCCATGTCTGGAAATACGTCATGAAAAGCTGCTTTGCAACTTCCGGCTGAGGTGGTCTGCCGAGCCCAGCAGGTATTCCAGGGCCATAGCAAAAAGAAGACGGTAGTAGAGAGGCATCCGTAGAAGACTCGTTGGTTCTTTGCTGCTCATCCTCACCGTCAGCAACGATGCATTCCTCAGGAGTCGGGTGCGTCGTATCGAGAAGACGAGACGACAGCCGCGTGTTGGCACTTATGAAGGCTCGTCGAACTGTGTTTACAAAGTAGATGCCACTGGAGCTGCCGATGAATTGACTTTTGCCCAGGGCTGCCGTCAGATCAGATTAACAATCAGATATATCAATCAATTCAATCAATTCAGATCAAATACGGTATCCTAACAGATCAATCAATTCAGACACAAGCATCTGTGCATCTGATATATCTGATATCCTTATAAAGGAAGATGACTACCCTAGAACTGCCGGATCATCCATATTTTCCGGTCCTCAGAGTGGGGCACTTCCCTAACAAGCAGTGATGCTACAGGGCGGAGTCAAGCCGATTGGCTGGGTTTGAACCCCAGCCCGCTCAGGGCTCGGTTGGAGAGCAATCTACAGGCAGATTAATTGGTTAGGTTGCCCCTTTTTCCTACCTCTTGCCCCGGTACGACACAGCCCTAGCCAGAGAAGCCGACACATCCTTCAATGTTTGGAAGCATATCTTGGCTGATGGGTTTCAATCTGTTGAAGCCCCTGCTGATTGCAACATACAATGTCGGGGACCGCTATAAAAGGCAGCCTTGCTGGTAGCCCGTCGTCATCGCCGCCACCACCCGCATTTCCTCGTCTCGGATCCCGGTCTAAGGCCATCGCTAAGCAGTATGATGCCGCTTTAACTTTGGCCTCGACTGCCGATTCGTCCGTTGATGACCTTTACAAGATCATTTGGGGCCAACGACGTTTTGTTATTGCAAGCCTCTTAGATAAGAGGAAAAGTAGGGGCAGGCGAAGCTGGATCGGAAACCATGGCTGGTTCCTTGCAGAGCTGAGGAAAGACAATACATCCAGTGGAGATATCTGGTGTTGCCGGCTCTGCGATAATAAGGGTGCGCCTCGATTTTTCAATGCCCAGTCGACATCATCGGCATCAGCTCATCTTTTCAAGTTCGTGATACTTCTCATTTCCGGGCTATTACTAACGGTTCTTAGAGCTCATGGGATCACCGAGACCTTTGAAGCGGGTTCATCTGGTGACTCTTCAGTTATCGATCTCCAGAGAAATGCATCCAAGAAACGGCCCGCCTCTTCTTCCTTCCTTCTTCCTCGAGCAAAGATGGCACGGATTAGAGAGCTCTCTGTTGGTTATATCGTTGATTCTAATCTCCCCTTTACTACCTTTGAGAGTACCTATCTGCAGGAGCTGTTCCGTCAGCTGGACT